TCATAAATATACACATTTGCATGAATAAGTTTATACACGTTTGTAACACTAAGGTAAAAAAACACTCAGTACTCGAGTTTAAAAATATACATTTCAACCAATTGTCACTAATACCACGAATAATAAATGTACTTCTAAACTATCCATAAAATATTAATATTATAAATAAAAAAATTATTATAAACACAAATATTAGAAATAAACTAATTAATATAAATTATAAAATAAAATTCATTAAGGTCACATATTTTGTGTACAGGTCTCAACTTTAGGTACATGTACATGGGCCCATGGTGGCATACACTTTTATCACAGCATCTATACGTCCACTCCATTAACCCTTCTTCATTAAACATATCTTAAACCATTCTCAATCAATAGCAAAACACGTTAAGAAATTACCAAGCACCGGAGTAAAAAGAAAAAGGAATTCGACGTTGACCATATAGGTCTATTGAATAGCAATCAGTGGCCGGGTGAACGCAAATACCATAAGCCTGAGTGTTGCACGTAGGTTTCCCCCTAGGGCACGTCAGTTGCAATTTCAGCTCTTCTGTTGCGGGTCGTTTGCGGAGTATCAAGGGTAGATAATTCAATTTCAAGCATGGGTTACGGGTGACGTCGGATTGCTTAATGCCAGCCGATGATCTGAAACACTTAGATTTAACGTTATCCGAGTTCAAGAAAGACTCTTTCCCATAGGAACTCGGAGATTGGTACAGTTGTTCTCTGCGCCCGCGAAAAGCTCAGCTAACCTACAACTGCTACCGTGCTACGGTGTTGCTGGTGATTCTGTTCGGTTTCTAGAACCTTAAATATTGTTGGCCTTTTCCAAATCAAAATAGGCAACGGGGGAATTGCTGGGTATGAAGTGGGCCTAAGCCTGCTGTGGTATTATCCCATTTGAGGCCCAAATTGCCCACTTGAATTCCAATAGAAGCAGGCCGGAAATCAGAAGCCATCAAAACGGAGCGCTTCATTAAATTTGCAGGGTCAGGAAAAGACCAAAACACCATTCCGTGAAGCTCTCTGGAAGCAGCTTTTTTGAATCCCAGCAATTTAAAGTCATGAATCTGCTTCATAAATTTTATAGATAGATAGATGTGTAACCAACTACAACCTAGACGAAAAAATTAATCCTACAGTTAACGGGAAGAATTCATCAGATAATTGATTACACATGGCACAGAGTACCTTAAGTGGATCTGCATTTTTGTGTTGCTTCTCACATAAGAAACTAAGAACAAGCTTGAAGACTGCATGAAGGTGCTTCTCATTCACGGAACAAGTGGCTTTCATTGGGAATATGCAGTGGCCGATCCATGGCCATGACACATCTAAAATTTGAAAAACCGATTATTCAAATTCGGGCACCGCTAAAATTTGAAAAAAGATTATCCAATTCCCGGTAGTAGTTTGCGTATGGGGCAAAAAGAACATTTAAGTGGTAGCTTATGTGATTAGAACATGGGTCACTGCTACTATTAGTAAACATAATTTCAGTAGACTACAACTCATTTGTTTTTGTATTTGAAATTCAAATATAATAGTATAAAACTATTTCTTATCCCCAATTACGTGCTCCCTTATCTACTATGATATACCTAGAGAGATTTGTAGAGTAGTATTAGACACCAAATATATTTTACAATGTTTCCAAAGAAAGTGTTAAAAAGCATTCAAAAGATCTGCTCTAACTTTATTTGGCTTGGAGAAAAATCAGGAAGAGCAAAATTGGCTTGAGAATCTTTGGCGTTTCCTAAAAGGGAAGGTGGTATGTGTTTGAAGGATCTGATTTCATGGAATGTGGACGCATTGGCTAGGCTTATTTGGTTGCTTCTCCTTTAGGGAGGTAGCTTCTGGGTGGCCTGTATTTCTAACTACAGACTCATGTGGGTCTCAATCTGGGAAGCTCGAATCACCTCCTCAGGCTCTTAGATCTGGAAGCAGATTTTGAAGATCCGACCATGGTTAAGGTTTAGGATGGATGTGGAGCAAGGTTGCGTTACCTAACAGTGTAAGAAGCTGGAAAAGTTTTCGATCTCGATGGTTTGGGAGTCGATCAGAAGGAAGCAGACATGAGTTGAATGGTGGAAAGTCATTTGGAATAAGTTTGTTTTACCTCGAAATAGTGTTATTGTCTGGTTAATCATTATTGATTGAATAGCCACCAAGGACAAACTGAAGCTTTGGGGGCTTACTAATGATAGCTCATGCATCCTTTGTGTGGCAGCGGAGGAATCTCGAAATCATTTGTTCTGTCAATGTGTGTATATGCAGGAATTTGTTGCTGTTTTCCTGCGAAATAAGGTGGAATCCCCAGTGGATTGGTCTGCAATGCTGCTGTTTATGGTCAAACGAATCCAGTCTCAAGGAAGTTGCGGTGTGATTTAAGCCTCAGTTTGGTGTTGGTGTGTCAGTTTTGTATGGAAAGAGAGATGTCGAAGAGTATTTGGAGAGCAACCTCGAGTTGCTCAGGTGCTGGCTGAACTTCTAAGGGAAGAGTTTCGACTCTATGCTTGTGCGCACGCCGATTTCCATGTTCTTTTACAGAAAACTACTAGCTGCTGTCAATGCTTAGAGTAGTTGTTTTTCTTTGTTTCTCCTTGTAACAGGATGTGTGTAGACTTCTGCCTTTGTATTTTTCTAGCTCTTGTGTTGTTTTTGGCCAAGAGTGTGCTTAATGTTAAAGTTCTAATTACCGGGGGAAAGTTATAAGAATTTCGAAAATGAAAAAATAATTTCGATGTCATGTTAATAGCATACGAAATTCAATAATTCAAATAATTTAAATACACATCATAAATACATTGTATTCAAATAACATTTCGACCAACGAGTAGAATAACAATCTAGTTATTATTTAACACGTCTCACATCCTTCACCCCTCCTTGAGGCGACTGGTGAGGCGGCGGCGTGGGCGGAAGAGCCATGCTTGTGGAGATTAGAGGACGGCCTGTTTCATTCCACCCTCCGCTGCGACACCGAAACCACTTAAAGACTGTTGATTAATTAGAGAAAGGAATGAAAGAAATTGATCACCAAACTATACAAGTAGCAGTAGGTTATGGTGGCAAGTTCCGTGCCACGTGATGATCTGTATTTGTTTTTTGGTTTGGGTGTAGTGTATATGGTTGAAAGTTTGGTATCAGTATTTGGGATATTACCAAATACTGTATCGAATTTGTTTGTATTTGTATTATCCAATACACGTATTATTTTATGGGGTTGGGATTGTGATTGAATTTTAATTGTCATTCGGTATTAGAGATTATGGGATTGAGATCGGTATATGCCGAAATACCGATCGATACCGAAATATAAGCTAGTGTGTATTTTATCCTCTCAACTAGACTCTCTCATTCACTACTACGCGACCCTCAACCACCAAGAGTGTCATTTAATTATACATAGATCATTCCATCACTATTTCACACTAGTATTAGTCGTCTCTCAACCTCAAATTCGTCAAATTAAATATTACCAATTAGAAGAACTTGAGATGTTAGCTCTAGGCAACTCAATACTCTTTGCTTAGTCTCTTTTCCCTAAATTAAAGAATAAAATCTAATTTATATATTTACTTATTAATTGGAAATGTAATTAATTTTGTATTCGATAATACTGATTGAGATACAGAAGTACCGATTGGGATACCAAAATATTTAGGAATTGGGATACCAAAATTATTTAGTGATTAAGATTGTCATTGATTTTATAGTATAATTCGGTATTTGGTATTGGGATACCAATACCTGGGAATGGATAAGGTGAGTAACCTTATGGTGAGTAACCATGAGTAACCCGTCCATATCAGCATGACATCAGCATCCTCTCTCTCCTGAAAAACCTTTAATTTTCCCTTCTTTAATATTTGACGGACGATTTCTCACTCATTTTAAGTCGAAATTTAAGACTGTAGGATGGTTGAATACATGATAGTAGAAGTATATTAATTGTTATTTACGACTTTTAACATTGTATACCACACAATACCACCCCGTAACAGGGTGGTATTGTATGGTATTTTTTGGTCATGTAATTTGTTCACCCAGAAATTTGTAGATCCAATAGATCATGATGAACTCGTCCCTTCTATGCAAACGTTTTCAAAAACGAATTAAAAACGAAGAAGATACCATACAATACCACCCCGTACCAGGGTGGTATTGTATGATATTGTGTGATATTTTTTGGTCCTGTAATTTGTTCACCCAGAAATTTGTAGATCCAATAGATCATGATGAACTCGTCCCTTCTGTGCAAACTTTTTCAAAAACGAATTAAAAACGAAGAAGATACCATATTGTATGCAGTTGGTACCGAGAGGCCATAATTTTTTTTTTCTAAAAAAATATTGAAAATTGATCTCATTTTGTAGAGCACGATGAAGTCGTTCCATCTGTGGAAAAAAAAATTAAAATCCGAGTTAAAACGAAAAAGATATGAGTCAATTAAGAAAGCTAGAAAAAATAAAAATGGTCTTTAATTCTCTTTCATTAGGTCTGAAATTTCTAAATAAAGTGTCTAGATTTGGTTATTGATGGGTGCATAACCCATGATTATATACTCTATCTTGAGCCCCAATACCGTACCGATTTCCACGTAGTAGTGTCGGGTTTATATAAAGATTAAAGAGGAAATACATGAAACATCTTTATCGCCATCACCACGTTCGTCATTCGATCTAGAAGCCCAAACCGTCTTTTCTTCTTCTTTCGTGCCCCTTTTTACCAGTTTTTTGCACGGTCGCGGATAGGTGGTTCGGCGCGTACGTTCGCGGCGATTTCCTTCCCCATTTTTTCTGTCACTATTAAATATCCATTACAAAAAGGCATACCGTTCCTTCCTGATCTCGGTCCTCGGCCGCCGGGATATATGCCCCTTTTTGTCGTCCATATCTGCCTGACTGACTCTTCCTCACCTTTTTAGCTCTGTAACGCTTTGCTTTCTCTTTCAAGATCAATCGGAAACCAGAGCAAGGCATTGATATTGAGGGATGGCTTCTCCCGTTCATTTCCTCCGTTCCCCTTTGGCTCCCTCTCCTTCACTGTGAGTACTTCTTTCTGTCTCTACCTTTTCTTCATCTTGGTTTTCTGGATCTCAGTTCTGTAGCTGATCCTCATTCCTAAATCGATTCAAAGGTTTTGTCTTTGATGGGATTGTACCAATTCAATCCCCATCCAATCTATTACGCTTAATTTTCCCTGTTGCTCTCACACCCTTTTCCCTGATCCTGGAAGCTTTCCATTTTCATGCTTGATGGTGATGGTGATGTTGCCCCTAATTTTGAACTTAGACGAGCATCCTGTTTACATTAGTCTCACAATATATGGCTTATTTATGTGTTTTCTTTTTGACTTACAGAAGTTACCCTGGAAAGAATTGCTTGCATCCGCTGGCAGTGAATGGAAACTGTAACAATGTGGTCTCCTCCACTGCTGCTGCTAGAAAACTCAACGGTGCTGGTTTTAAGGGGTTGGGCAGAAACAACAGAAGTGGTAGAACTAATAGAGCCTCTGTGATTTCTGGGGAAGGCGATCTTCTGTCTTTCCCCAGAAAGGATACACAAGGTATCTTTGACACTGATAATGTGACGAACTCGCTTTCTGGGATTGAGTTGCAACCTGATGCTGTAGATTTCGCAACTCTCTCTGCTGAGTTAACCCCCACCAGGACTAGTTTTTCCCCTGATAATGATGAATATGACTTGGATCGTCCTACCGAAGGCTTTAGCTCCATCCCTGATGCTATTGAGGATATCCGCCAGGGCAAGGTTGGTTGGTAGCCTCTATCCTTCTTGATGTGAAGTTTGGTATTCAATGTTAGAGAGAATGAAGTTTGTAATATTATTTACGCCAATCATGCAGTTTGTGATCGTGGTTGACGACGAGGATAGGGAGAATGAAGGTGACCTGATCATGGCAGCTTCGAAGGCAACACCTGAAGCAATGGCATTCATTGTCAAGCATGGAACTGGGATAGTTTGTGTGAGCATGAAAGATGAAGATTTGGAGAGGCTGCAGCTGCCTCTGATGGTATCCACCAAGGAAAACGAGGAAAAGCTTTGCACAGCTTTTACAGTGTCAGTTGTAAGTAGTAGTTTGATCATCTTTACTTATGCTGCTGACTGCTTGTATTATGAGCTCAGAAGTGAAGTATTCCTCTAACTTGAGTTTTGGCTCACGTTTAGGATGCCAAAGTTGGCACATCAACCGGTGTTTCAGCCCGTGACAGAGCGACAACTATATTGGCTCTTGCTTCTAAGGATTCCAAACCAGAAGATTTTAACCGTCCGGGTCATATTTTTCCTCTCAAGTATAGGGAGGGAGGGGTTCTGAAGAGAGCTGGTCATACTGAAGCTTCTGTTGATTTATCGGTGCTTGCTGGGTTGGAACCTGTTGCAGTTTTGTGTGAGATTGTTGATGATGATGGCTCTATGGCCAGACTACCCAGATTGAGAGAGTTTGCAAAAGCAGAGAATCTAAAGATAGTCTCTATAGCTGATCTTATAAGGTACTGTAGTCAGTAGTTTATCATAGATAAAAAGTTCTCTCAAAATCTTTAAGACTAAACATATTTTTGGATGTACCTTATATTTTATTTTTGAACCATCTTGTTTCTGAATGAAGGAAATTATTGGCTTATGACTTTGCAGATTCAGGAGGAAAAGAGACAGATTAGTGGAGCTGTCTGCTGCTGCTCGGATACCAACCATGTGGGGACCATTCAAAGCCTATTGTTACAGGTCGTTGATTGACGGAATTGAACATATTGCCATGGTTAAAGTAAGCTCCTCCCCTATTTAGCATACACATACAGGCAAACAGATTGGACAGGTCTATATTACCTTACATTTGATGCAGACACTGAGTTAAGATTACTTGATAAATACCTTCTGTTGCAGCTTCAGTTTTATGCCATTTCGATACTTTTTGCTCCACATGAGTGTGGGATGAATGTCCATATTTAAAAAAAAAAAAAAAAGAGGGGGATGAATGTTGAAGTCTTTTGCTTTCTGTGTTTCCCTCTTTCCTCTGGTTTTCCTGATAAATACTCCTAGAAGAGCACTTGGGTTTTGAGTTATGTCATACTTCGTCTGCAATGAGTAAACTATCAATCCAGTGTTGTAGCTATTTGATTGTTTCATTATCGAAGACAAAAGTTTACAACTTTACATGCATAATGATGTCCATCTTTAGGTCTTTTGTCTTCCAACTAATAATAATACTGATTCTTGCATCATGAAGGGTGAAATTGGGGAAGGAAAGGATATCCTTGTTCGAGTGCATTCCGAGTGTCTGACAGGTGACATATTTGGTTCAGCAAGATGTGATTGTGGCAGTCAGCTAGCGCTTGCTATGAAGCAAATAGAAGCAGCTGGTAGAGGTGTGTTGGTGTATCTCCGTGGACACGAAGGTAGAGGTATCGGTTTGGGCCATAAGCTTCGTGCTTACAACCTCCAGGATGATGGACGTGATACAGTTGAAGCCAATGAAGAGCTCGGTTTACCAGTCGATTCCCGTGAATATGGCATTGGTGCACAGGTATGTAGTTTTCCTAATCATCCAAATGCAGCCAGAAAAACCAATATCATAAATACATATTGTCTAATGCTTTACAATGGCTAAACTTCTCATCATCTGTTTTCAGATACTCAGAGACCTTGGTGTTCGCACGATGAAGCTGATGACAAACAATCCCAAAAAATACATTGGCCTCAAAGGATATGGTCTCTCGGTTGCTGGAAGAGTCCCATTGATTACTCCAATCACAACAGAAAATCGGAGATACCTGGAAACCAAGAAACAAAAGATGGGTCACATCTATGGTCCTGATAATGGCCATTCCAATGGAACCCCAGAAGATCGTCTGTTGGAGGCATAGGCCTTCTTCACGTGTTCTGTCTTCTCGGCATCCTGACTCACTGCACACTGAACAGGGAACTTGCTGGTCTTCCTTATTGACAGGAACTTTTACATTCTTTGAACGAGATGCATCTGCTGCTTAAAAAATCGTTCAGTTGGTTTCTAGAACTGTAAATATTTAGTCAGATGAGTGTTCTATTGTTTATTTCTGTCGAGAAGCTATATTTTCAATCTTTTTGTTGTACCGTCTGCTGAGCAATTTGCATTTGCGCTCCTCCGCATCAGCTACGGCTGAAGAGAGTAATAAAACCCACGTTTGTTTGCTTCCTATTCATATTATTGTCTAGACTCTAGTGCCATCATTTGGCTTTCCTCAATTGCTGTTTTAGTACTTAGGGTCGTTTGGAAGTTGCGATTGTTAAATAAATGTATTGTTGAGAATGCATGTATAATATTATACATGTATTGTCGAATTTGATGCATTGAAGTACAACGTATGGTATGTGTGATTGTGTATGTCGCATCAGCTAAAAGCTGAAACAAAACAATCTCAACTCAACTATCTCAACAATCACAACTAAAAGTTGAGATATAACAATCACTCAAAATGAGTGATAGTTTCTGTCACATCATAAAAAGAATCCATGTATTGTTTCTGCTAAAAAAACAACAAAAACGATGCATTGTAAACAATACATGCATAATGACAATCTCAACAAAACAATCGCAACTTCCAAACGACCTCTTAGTACCTTTTTTGGCTTCCTTCAGAATGAGGTGAAAAAGGCTCTCATAAACTTCAATTGCAGACACCAGCATGTCAAATCAGTAGCGGAGCCAGCAAGCCGAATGAGGGGCTGACTTGAATAGGGGTGATAATCGGTCGGTTAATGGTTTAATCGGTAACTGACCGACAGGTTATCAGTATAGCGCTAAAGTGGACGCAAAATTTGAATATCAATACTGATTACAAACTAGTATTACCGACATACCGCAAAGAAATGAAGAAACACGTATTTCAGTTCGGTTAACCAAGAAATAGACGGTTGGAATCTGGACAGGCCTATAATGTAATGGTCCAATTTTTATTTTTTTGGTTTTTTTTTTGCATTTATATGTAATTAATAATTTAATCCCTAATTCCTTACTTAGAATATTTTATAATTTTTATACTTCCATTCATGTACTATGAATAATTGACTATGTTAATATGAAACATTAAACCAGTTTGTTAATTTACCACTTGTTCTTTGTTAATTTACCGCTTAGTTAATTACTCTACTTACTCACCAATTAACACCCTTGCAAATTAGATAATATAACAATCTGTCAACCTCAATATCATATTCATCAAACATCATCAAAGAGACAACAACTCAGACAAATTCAAGTATTTAACAATCAACATAATCGTCAATCGACTAAAATACAACTTCAAACACAAGTTCAAACTTAAAAATTAATATAGAGTTTAGAAATCCCAAAATTGAACACAAACATCAAGTAGAAGTCACAAGTCACAACCACTAGCTCATGCTCCTCACCTCCATCTCCGGTAGAACTTGTACCACCATGATGGAAACACGGGCATAGGGGGCGGGGTGGGTTGAGTCGTATGTGACTGGGTGGTTCGGGTATTATTATTAGTTATTTTGTGTTATTTTGCAGAACTACTATTTAAGGAGCAGAACCTCATTCGGATGATTATTATGAATATATCACAATATTAAACCCAATCCCTAATCTCTTCTCTCAATTCTCTTCTCCAATTCTCTTCTCAATTTTCTCTAGAATCCCTATTCCCAAATTCTCAATCACTAGTTCTTCTACTGTTTATCATATTGGTATCAGAATTGTCAAAGCTCACCGATTCGGAACGCGCTCAGATGGTGGAGCAATTTCAACAGGCGGACGAACGCGCCCTAGCCCTGGAGCGTTCGCGCGGCGGCAACCGCGGCGCGTGAACAGAAGTTGTACCCGCTGCGTCAGGTGGAGGCATCTATAGGGCCGACCGAGGAAGGAGCAACGAAGATGGAGGAAACAGCGTCGGCAAAGCAGACTAGACCAGACGACACGCTCGCGATCGGAGAAGTGACGCCGGAGCTGTCGCTCCACTCCGTGACAGGTCATGCGTCGCCGGGAACCCTCCGGTTCCGTGCGCAGCTGGAGGGGTTGTTTGCGATAATTCTTGTGGACAACGAAGCTTCCTTAAAATTTGTAAGTGAGAGATTTGCGAAGACATTGCCGCACAAAGCCAAATCGATAGCACCGGTATTGGTTAAGGTGGCCAACAACGCACCTATGCAGTGCCAAACAATTTATAGTGGGATCACGCTGGTGATTCAAGGTTTGGAGATGACAACCAACTTGTGTGTTCTGCCACTCACGGAATTTGATGTGATCCTCGCATTCCTTGGCTTCACAGTCTGGGATTGGAATTTGTTGACGATGCGGTTAAAGTGGAGGGATAAGGAGTGGACATTGCAAGGAATGACAACCGCTAGGGGAATCATCTCCATGAAGGAGTGCGTGCTGGGTGGGGACGTGGAGCTCGCCATCTTTTTCTGGCCGATCGACTTGGCAGAGTCCCGAGAGGTGGACGTGGAACTGCAGGCGGTGTTGGAACGATTTTAGGAGTTGTTTGAGAGCCATCTGTCCTGCCACCCCATAGACGGGTTGATCACCAGATCACGCTGAAAGAGGAGGTTAAGCAGTCAACGTGCGACCGTATAGGTATGGGCATTCTCAGAAGACTAAGATCGAGAATCAGGTTGGGGAGATGTTTGAGACTGGACTGATTCGCCCCAACACTAGCCCTTTTTCATCGTCGGTTCTTTTGGTGAAGAAGAAGGATGGAACTTGGCGCTTCTGTACGAAATACAGAGCTCTGAACGAAGCTACAATGAAGTATCGATTTCCCAATCCGACTATGAATTACATGCTAGATGAGCTACAGTGGTAAAGTTACTTCACAAAGCTAGATTCAAGAGCGGGGTATCACCAGATCAGAATGTAGGAGTAGGATCTGTACAATACTCCGTTTCGGACTCGTAATGGGCACTATGAGTACCTGGTGATGTCGTTTGGGTTGTGCAATGCCCCATTGCCGGTATGTACTGGTCTTCTTCGATGACATATTAGTATACAACCCGACCTGGGAGGATCACCTTTATCACTGGAAGGCAGTGTTTGGAATTCTAAGACAACATCAGTACTATGTCAAGGCATCCAAATGCGCCTTCAGTATTCGAGAGGTAGAGTACCTGGGTCACATTGTGACACCCCACGTCGTGAAGGTCGAGCACACAAAGATGCGAGAGATGGTGGAGTGGCCGGTTCCGGCAAACGTGACTGAGCTGCGCGACTTCCTTGGTTTGACAGGTTACTATCGGAAGTTTGTGCAGGGATACAACATGATTGCTTGGCCTCTTATGGATCTGCTGAAAAAGGGGGGATTTGAGTGGACGCCTACAGCGGAGTCGGCCTTCCAGGAGCTCAAGCATGCGATGACGTCTTCGCCAACATTGGCACTACCCGAGTTCGCCAAGCCCTTTGTGATCGAAGTTGATGCTTCCGGCAGAGGGATTGAAGCGATACTTTCCCAGAATCGATATCCCATAGCTTACATGAGCAAAATCTTGGCACCGACTAAGAAAGCATGGTCGACGTATAAGAAGGAGATGCATGCCATTATCACAGCAGTACAAACCTGGAGATCGTAGTTACTGGGACAGAAGTTCCACATCTACACTGACCAATAGAGCTTGAAGCATTTGCTGGGGCAGAAGGTGTCCACTGTTGGGGCAGAAGGTGTCCACCCTGGACCAGCATTACTAGGTGTCCAAGTTGATGGGGTATGACTACACGATCCATTACCAACCGAGTCCCATGAATGTGGTAGCAAATGGATTGTCCTGCAGTCAAGGTGGCGAGGTACTGGCAGCAGTGTCAGAACCTGTACCCCAGTTTTGGGATGAGCTGTGTTCTCTTACTGAGACTGATCATTACATACAGGAATGCTGGAGCACGGTAGTTAGCGGGACGCCAGGCAGGTACGCATTTCGCCATGGGCTTGTGACCTTCAAGGTTTGCATGGTATTACCCACCAGGTCGTCCCTGGTCACGACAGTTCTAGCAGAGTTCCATGATTCACCGTTTGGGGGTCTGATGACTCGATATTTGCACATGTTTTCTCCTTTGTTTCTTGATCGTTTAAGCTTGTATTATCTCTTCTTTGGCCTATTTTACGCTAGGTTGTGTTCCTTTGTCACATTTCAGGTCACAATCATCAAAGGAAAGGCTAGGCGCAAGTTTCAAGTCAAATGGATATCAATTGGCGATTCGGAAGAAGAAACTCGGGCATGACCTGAAGAAGAATTGATTTATACCTCATTTATGGACAAAGAATCATGCAAGCTTGTCATCAAAATAAAGAGGACGAGACTAAGAGCATCTAGGATCAAACGGCGACTGATTCGGAGTCCGGACGAGGGAGAAACGAATCATTGAATATAGGGGAACATGTTCGGCAGTAAAAACACGGGCATACTACCCTCAAAACACGACCGTGTTTCATCTGGCACCTGCTAGTATTTTTTATGCCAAGCCTCTCTTCTGAAGACTTCTGAAGGGATTTAAAGCACGGACGAGACCAAAACATGGGCTAGACTAAACACGCCGTGTTTTTGTCCCTGCTCGGGTATAAGTCTGTTTTCTGCGAATTTTAGAGGGGGAGAGCTGTGTTTTGGTTCCCAAACACCCAAGGGACGAACCCTAGAGAGAGAGAGAGAGAGCGACTTGGGAACATTCTTGGAGCTATTTTGGAGGATTTTTTCGCCATTGGAGCTCGGAAATCAAGCTTGGAGATGGAGATTGAAGATCTAGATCAGATTCCTGCAGTCTCTCTCTTCTCTATGGAGTAACTTCCCTTCACTTAGGTTTTGAGGAACCCTAGTTCCATGTGTTAAGATCTTTCTTGTATGAAGTTTTGGATGCTATATTGTCTGATTATAATCGATTGAGGCATGATTTATTGAGTCAATTGAATCTTGATAAAATTCTTCTGATTTCTGCTTTGACCTATGATAGATAGAATCTGATTAGGTTAAGAGAGCTTCCTTGATTGATAGTAGTGAATTGGTTGTGCGAGAATCAGTCAATTCACTGCTTTGTAGTGGAATTCATTCTAGTAGTGGAGATCTGTGTGAATCGCCTTGGCAGTCTATCTCGGTGAAGGCTAGTCGCCTCCCAGGTATTCTGTCTAAGAGGGCTTGGTTAGTTTAAGAGATTCCAAACTAATTTAGGATCTTCAGCAGTTTAATCAACAGTAGAACAACCAAAAGGAATTACAACTTGGACCTAATTGAGGAGCTAGGGGGAATCATACCTAAGTGAGTTCCCAACCTGTAATTAGTAGAGTAGTTTAGTAAATCAATCCTTAATCTAGTTTGCTAGATAATGAACTGAAGCTGAGTAATAGTAACTCTAGAGACCCGTGGATCGATATTTATTACTTGTGCCACTATACTGCAATCCCTTTAATTGGTTACACTTGGCCATTGTTAGGTGTTGTGTCGTTATCGATCAATTATTTTGGTATAACCCTGCCGAGTCACTTTCTTAATGATTTTCCAGTTAACCGACAAAATAATCGAGAATCGACTATATGATTAGGGGTGTACATGGGCCGGGTGGTCCGGGTTTAGCCATTTTAATCACCTGATCCATGCACTACGGGTTGGGAAATATTAAACCCAAACCCACCCAAAAAAATTTAAACCCTACGGTTTGTTTCTAATTGGATTGGGTCGGGTTGGCTATATTTTTAAGTAAAAACCCAACACAAAATATATAATTATTCTACACCATAAAATATTTATAACTAATTAAAATTTCAAACGAATAAACCGAGGTGAAAGGTATCAAAATTCACAAATGTTGTTTGAATTTTAATAGAATGTGATTTACTTCAACATATGTCTACTTTTTTCATGACATTTGTTGAAATAGGTTAAAACGGTTATAAAAGAAAAATGATTACCTGAATCATAGTTATATTAAATTTATGTCTAAACTTTAAGTCGAAGAATGCATTAGATTAGGGGAGACCATGAGAGAAAAACATGACGAAATATCTTAATTTTCTCATAAGTATGGCTATATACGACATAAATATTTTTTGGATACGAACTCATACCAATAGTTGGAAGTTGGAACACGGGTTGGGTCGGGTTCTATGGGTTGTGTAATCCAAAATCCAAACTCAAAAAGAGGCCGGTTGTACGAAAGAAAACTCTCACCCAACCCAAAACCGTCGTTTTAGCGATAAATACGGATGGATTGGATTGAATTGGATATGTGGGTTGGTTTGCGGGTGTGTTCGTTCACCCCTATATATGATTAATGTTAACCGGAAACCAACTAAATAGTTCCTATTATAACTGAACCGAACCGATTGTGAGCCTTAGTTTTCATGCTTCTTTCTAACTGTGTCTAACTTAAATTGTATTTACATTAGATTTCATAATTGAGTTACTCGTTTCTGTCATCTTTTTTTCATCTTTTCTTCGAATACGGTTTGATGTGTAGTTTGTAGTTTTCAACCTGCACGACGAATACCTATGAGATTTATATATATATATTTTTTTTATGGGTGAGATTTATATTTTTGAAATGATAAAAAACACAAGATGATAGATATCCAACATTCCAACTCAACAAGTGATTAGACCTTAAAACCACAATCCTCATCCCGTCATCACTTTTCTTGTTCTGGATACGCTATCTCACAAACAAACAAACAAACAAAAACAACAGTTTCTTCCATTGCTCATTTTTTGTCCCCCTCCTCCTCTATCCTTTTCCCCCTTTCTTTCTATCACGCCGGCCAACTGCCAATTAGCGAAACCTCTTTCATTTTCCTTTTTTTTATCTGCTATATTACCATGGCTGCCGGATGGGCAACCGGCCGCCAGATGGGTTCCTTACCCTCTACCACTACTATGAAATCAGGAGGTGGTGGGATGGAGTTGATCCAGAACTGCGATCTCCCTCCACCTTCTAATCTCTTCCACGGCTCCGATCACGAGCTCGTAGTTTCTTCCATGCATCGCGTTCTCGCAATGATGGGGCCGCGAGAACAAGTCGTCGTCGGCGGCGGCGGCGACAAGAAGTTGGAGCTCCTGAAAGCGGTCAGTTTGTCGCAGACGCGGGCCAGAGAAGCCGAGAAGAGATCCGAGAGCCTGGGGAAGGAGAAGGAATGCTTGTCCAATGCCTTGTTGGGCCAGTCCTTGCAGCTGTCTGCGTATCGGCGATGGGCCAGGATGCTGGAAGCCCATGTTCTGAAGCTCGAAGCAGAGCTCAGAGATGGCGCCAAGTCGTGTTCTTGTTCCAGGGACGATGCAGGGGAGACAGAGACACTGCCGTGGTTAGTGTCCATTGCTTTCTGTTTGGGCGCTGGAATTGTGCTTGGCTTCACCACCTACTGGTTTTGAGTGAAAATATCTAGTGTCAAGAATATCGGCAGAGGAACATCCATATCATATATGCACAATGAGAAGCTATTTTGCAACTAGCTTTGCTCAACTGTACATAGTTTTTCTTCAATCAACCCTGAGAATTCGCAATCCTAGATTAGGTTCATTTTGTTCCGTTACATCCCAATCTCATTGAAGAGAGACAGATTGACTGAGGAACGCACTATACTATCATCACCTAATACATGGCTACAGACAGTCTCAGCTTGACAGAGCAAACATGCTGTGGTCTGTGATTGCTTACTTCTGTATATATGGCAACTGACATTCTTACTTCTTACTACCTACAACATCACTAAATCTCTCCTGTACAAATTGCTTCCCAGACGATACAAACTACGTTAGATTATATCCAAAGACACGATAACGCCCCCACAACAGATGCAGCTCTCTCACATCACGATGTGGTTGGACTGGAGATGGGCATAGCAATCTTGGCTGCAACTGAAATGCTCCAAGCAAGCCCAGCAAACATGCCTCCCACACCGGCACTCCACATGATTACAACCATCAACCTTCTCAATCGTATAAAAGCACACAGGGCAGTTCTTGACATCTTCCTCCTTCCCTTTGCGCCATTCCTTGAGAGACAGGTCAGGGTCTTCCTTGTACTCCTTGTACTTCTCGCACGATACCTCTGGATGATACTCCAAGTGGCACCTCGTACATGTCTCGGCAAAGCACACCTCGCACATGAACGGTTCGCCAGCACCAGAAACTGTTTCAGCAGGATCAGCAACTACTCGGTAGATTGAAGGGCAGTCTGGAGAAGGGCAGAACCTGTAAATTCCACCACTCGATGCTACAAACGACCTCAAATAAGCTCTGAAAAGGTCTTCCAGCTTCTCCGTGGATAAAAGAGACCTCAAATCTGTGAGCAATATTGGCATCTCGCATCCTTCCCTGGCACAACATACTGGGAAGCTGTCCATATTTCTCATTGCCGACTCGAGCTGCTCCACCAAACAGGACTGACAGAATAAATGTGAGCAACCTTCAAGTCTGTAACCGTTCTCAACTTCACACAAGCATATTGGGCAGCAACGCTCACTGCTGCAAGTATGGTCAGTGGAGGATTGGTCACCATTGCTTGCAATCTCTCTAACTATTTCTTCCACTCTGCCCTTCATCTCTAATGAGTTACCAGAAATTGAAATGACATGATGCCTTGTGTCCAGTACAAATTCTGCTTCCCTGAACTTCTCATTTAATCCCTTCAAGTCCGGACCAAACTTGTCTACAACTTTCTTCATCAAGTCTGGAGGTTGGCCTTCTTCGCCCTTCAAGTGCACTTTGAGCTGCTTGCTTTCATGGTAGTTCATAAGAGAATGGATCAGTTTCCTCTCAGCTGCAGCGATGTCACGTGGAGAACCAAAAACTCTGACATTGAAGTTACGCCGGTCAAAGAGAATGTAGGTTTGTGTCTCCTGCTGTATTGATCGCATCAAGTTCACACCAGGTTGGGAGAATAAATGCCTTAAGACTGTCAGAGTAAGGCTTTCGTGATTTAAAATTCTTCCTCTCATCAGTTCTTCCAGTGGTCTTCTGAGCTCTACAACAGTCTTTGTAGCATTAGCAGATAGTTTTACTCTAAACGAACCATTTCCAACTTTCTCCAGCTTGTATTCCACACCTGAAACAAACACCCAATTTCAGTTCCTGGTAGTAGGAGAATATTTTTTGCAGTCAGTTTTATTCATCAAAATTACAGAGCTTCTGCAAGAGTTATAACTTTTAATTTCATTATCAACCCCAGGTTGTGGCACCGAGACACCACACCTTATCACTAACTGATGTGGCAGTTCATCCTCCATCCTACACCCCAAAACACTAATTTCCACTACTTTTACCAGAATCCCAGGCCTAGCTACATCAAAAACCAAATTCTATGAACTATCGTTAACTGAATGTGGTACTATGATTATCCACATTGCTAACTCGTCAGCTCAGTTCAACAATAATATGTTGATGAGAAAAATAAAAGGATTAGCAACTTCAAAAGATACCAAGCGTACCATTCCAATGCCTGAAGCTTGCAAGCACAGAATCCAGTTGGTTCCTTATTGCATTATAAACTGATCCACAACAGGTCAATGAGCTGTGAAACAGCTTTTGTTTTTTATAAGTGCTGTGAAACAAATGCTGCTGGCATGTTATTTTCTGCCATGGAAGACAACCCGACAACACTTTCCCTTCCAGATGCTCCAAAGCTTTAGCAGCCTCCAAATGCAACCTCCCATCAAAGATAATCAACGCTTTCATATATCGATCATCTGGCTCAGAAAGAGAGACTTGGACTCTACAACAGCTAATATTCAGATTTTTCTTAGGCATAAAGGGAGAGATCTCTCGTATAAGTGCTTCTTCACAAAAACTAGTCGAAGGAGGATCTTCCACAGGATCACCTTTCAACAAATTGAAATCTAGAATTCTCCTTTGTGTAGCAGTCCTTAATATGTCTATAATATCACCTTCATAAAGCTCTTTATTGATTCCAGTTAAAACGATACCGTCGGCATTCAGTCTGTCAGCTGCAGCGCGGATATACCTCCCTCCTATCAGTAGGTTAGAGAAGTCGTGAAGCATAAAACCAACATCATCTATATTACATTTAACAAATGCAATGCCTCGACTCCACCTACGTGGCCAAGAAACCTTTGCCGTAACAGCTGGGAAAGGAAGTAGTTTATGATCCGACCCAAAGCTTGTTTGTGAGGGAAACACTTTTAAGTTTTAACATGGACCCACAGAATTCAACTCCATCAAGCAGACATGCCTTTTCAGCAGCTAAAGGAGAAAGGAACGTTATCCTACCCCACTTTTGTTGGTCGTCAGCTTCTTGGCCACCATGGAACTTTTGGACCGAACAAATTGTACCACATGTGGATTTCTCAAGAAACATAAATAGTTCTTTATCATCAACCAAATCCTTTGAAAGAAATATGTCCACAGTCAGAGATCTCTTTTCAAGCTCCACATGCTTGAGTTAAGCACCAGATCCAAGAAGTGCTATAGAAGACGAAACGCCAACTCCATGGTAGAGACGTCTTTCCATGCATTCATTACATAATGCTCTCCGCTCATACTCCACAGCTTCCTCTACAAGACCAGACAACTTGTCCATGTTTTCTGAAGTAGCAAATAACTGTATCTCATTTTGATCAACGTTCACCTCAATACCGAACCGTTCATCCGAACATGCAAGCTGACTACATTTGACAATAGACTGCACATTGCTGTTGTACTTTCCACAAAATCGTTAAAGAAGAAGCGTTCCAAAGCCAGTCATTTTCTTCGATCGCAGTTTCTGACAGTCCATATTATGAAAATCAAACAATGGAGGAGGGTCAAGACTAGGTAGGGATTCAAAATCAAAGGCAGTAACACAGACCAAATAATCATGAACTGTTGACAAGAGTTCACCAAAAACAACCCAACTTGGCTTCTCTGCAAACATTTGTAGCGAACAAGATGGGTGTAGCCGGACAGTTTGTCCAGTCATTGCCACTTGATAACCCAATTGATCATATCCAGAGTACATGGCAACATTTTCCACAAGAGCAGAAACTATCGCCCATTTCAAATGTTTATCATGACCTGCAGACTTATGAGGACTCCAAAGCCAAAGCGATGGAACAATAATGTCGAGTTCCCTCCGAAGGGATTCTTCCATTTCTTTAACCGCTTCCTGGCATCTTCGCATGGATTTGGCATTAATACTATTATCCCAGCACCATTTACTTCTATGATCTCGGGGCAAAGCTTCCCATTCCTTAAAAACAGAGAGCATGGTGAAGAGGTCACCGCTGCTATGGCAAAACTGCACCTTAAGACAGTCTGCTTTTATCTTATCATCTTTAGTGCCAACTCTACAGAAAATGCTACTAGCATTAGCCATCACAGCAGCAAGAGCAAGACCTTCTTTACCCAGTCTATGACGAAAGCAATAGAGGACGAGCTTACCGAGCCGTGGCTCAATTCCAAGCTTAACAAAGTAGCGACCTTCATCTGTTAGTTCATAATAACTTCCACGACTCTGTCTGATTGCGCCTAATTGGACAAGGTTCCTAATGGCCATGTCAATGGCTTGGTGACTGGGTGCATCAATAAAGTCAAATTCACTTATATTCTTGATTCCAAGAGCAAGGATCCTCAAGACTTTGAGCATACTCATTCCTCTTCCAGGCTCAAATCGGCTCTCCTTGACCATCCCAGAGTCAACAACATACTTCAACCCTGGAATTGTCAATGATGTCTCAGCAAGGTTAGTAGCAAATATAACCTTTCTTTTCCCTGGGAAGTCCTGGAAAATACGAAACTGATCCTCGAAAGAAAGCTTCCCATGCAATGGAAATGCAACTGCCAACGGAGCTTGGAAATTTTCACAAGCCCATTCTACTTCCTGTTGAGAAGTCAAAAAGGCCAGAATGGTTCCTTCTTTCTCAGATCTATGGATCTCCTTGGAAGTCTTGACAACCTCCTGCACATAAGGGGCAATAGGACCCCAAGCAGATGTACTAGCCTCACTGTCACTAGAGATATACTTCAGGTCCACCGGGAAGCTTCTCCCTGATACATGAAACACATCACAGCCGAAAAAGTAATCCGATAGCTGGTTTGCATCAGCTGTTGCAGACATGATTACAAGCCTCAAGTCTCTTGTTTGATCAAGCAGTAAACATTTGATTAAAGCCAAGAGTAAATCAGTGTTCGAGCTTCTTTCATGAGCCTCATCAATTACAATGCAAGAAATCCCAGGCAAATTCCTGTCATTCATGAAGTGCTGCAGCAAGCAATGGTCTGTTGCATATATAACTTTTGAACCAAACGGTTGGTCGGAGGAAAAGGTTGGATAAGCAATAATAGAATTACTGTCTTTATAGCAGCCATGGCATTCTCCTTTCACCCTGTCAGCAATGGAAATAGTTGCAATCTTTCTCGGCTGTGTACATATAACAGTCTCACTTGATCCTATACCAGCATCAGCAAGGAACTGAACCAACTGAGTGCTCTTTCCAGAACCAGTCTCGCCAATCAAAACCATGATCTGCGAAACCCCATTTAGCACGATTAAACAGAGGGGAAAAAGCAATATAAAGATGGAAGAAGAAAGATAGTAAAAAATATTATTACCTGAGAATCTCGAATTCTGGCTAGAATTTCCCTCCGGTGAGCATAAATCGGCAGTCCATCCTGCAGCCTACGAATCTCCCTGAGAATAAGCCGGTGAATTTTCACCCAGTCGACTTCTCCTTGAAGCAAAAAGGGCTCTACATCTACTCCTTTTGTCTCAGCGGCCGGCTCCTCCAGCTTCCCTCCACCAATATACTTCAAAATACACCTCATCGCTGCCATAAACTCATCCAGCCTCTTCTCCGTAACCTCCAATTCCGCGACCAACGCATCCTTCTTGTTACTCAGCTCGGTGTAAAGATCAAACCGAACCCCCTTCTTCGCCTTCAACTGCCGAGAAACCTCGTCAATTTCACCACGCTTGCTCTCCACCTCCAATTTCAACTTCCCTACCTCCTCTCCGGCGACCAAACTCTTAACGTGATCGGCGAACACCGCTCCGAGTTCCCGTCGCAGCTCCTCGGAGTCGGAAGGAACCATTACGTGGCTACGGAGGTCCGGGGTCAAGCAGTGATCGCCGTTCAGCCGGCGCTCCCAAAGCTTGGCCATGCAAGAGCGCGCCTGGTCCCACGCGCTGAAGTGAATTGAGGCAGCGACGGAGCCGGTGGAGAAGACCGAGCGCCTGCAACTGGGAGCTGCGCATTCCGAAATCAGAGAGGTAATGTCGGGTATTTTGTGGGAATTGGGGTCGGTCCCATCGGGTAGAAGGCTGATCACGAAGTTTGAAGGGAGGCGAGTGGTTGGGGGTCTGCTAGAAAGCTCTCGGTGGGGAGACTGGTAGCTTCCCGAGCTGTAGTTGTTGTTAGGGTTTCTGTAGAAGGGGTTGGGTTTTTGTTGGTAGCGAGTAGGAGGCCGTTGACCAGCAATGTTGCCCGGCGGTTGAGGAAACCGCCGGGCGGTGGCGTTGTACGGACGGCTCATGAGTCATGACATAGAAAGGGAGAGAGAGCGAAGAAGCAGAGGGGAAAGGAGTGTTAGGTGGTGGCTTGGAAATTCGGTCAGTGTTTCCTTTGCTTGGCTTGTTTTGTTTTGCCCCTAAACACGGTTATGCAGGTATCAATTTTAATTAAGTGGAAGATCTAGCATTAATTCATTATACTATTACTATACAATATACATGCATTTGCAGATTTCAAAAACTAAATATGTATATGTTGGGGATGTGGCTCGGACCCAATCGCGCGAGCAAGACGGCTGAATGAACTTCCAGCAAGCAAGGGGATGACCGCAAATGGCGGAGGTATCGAGGGCCGTCGTTTTGATCCTGCCCAGACCGACGTCGTTTTACCTCCTCGTTTGATCCCGCCCAGGCCGACGTCGTTTTGCATCGTCCAAAACCAGCGCCGTTTTAGTCTCACTCAAGCCGGCGTCGTTTTGCCCTGCCTAGGACAGGGAAGGAAGATCGAGAGGATGGCGCCGCAGTCTACGAAGGAAGGGTCATTCTTGAGTCAGGTCCTAGGAATAATTATGGCCTAAAAGCATGGCCTAAATTCTGACACACGTAGTAGTCTTATCACATTAAATACCCACTACTGTAATGTACTATAAAAGGGGCATTTACTACGGTAGGTAGGGGATCGGTTTTTGGATTCTCTCACTAATAAACACTCACTTCTCTCTCTAGCCAATTTCCTCTGTTCTTCCTTCCTCTCTATCGAAAGCCCTCATCAGAAACAAGCCACAATCACGCATCGCTTGCTCTACTCCCCCCTCCCTCACGAGTCTCACTCCTACACTCAGTTAGGCTCAAACAATTGGCGCCCACCGTGGGGCCAAGTAGAGAAGCGATGGAAAACCAACTAACGACGGAGCACAATATCGACTCGCCCAGCGAAACGACACCCATCAAAACTATGACGAACCAAAGGACACACGCGGAGACCAGCAACTTCAACGCGGTACTCATTGAAGAAGAGGAGCCTGAGCTGACGCCCAAGGAGATGAGGCAACAGATGGCTAAGCAAAACGAAGTCATTGCCGACATGCAGAAAAAGATGAACCAGGTTATCGCGCTCATGATGAGCAAAGAGTCCGCACAACCCAGTCGCGCGCCGCTGCCGGCGCCCGACGCAACCGCGGAAAACGTCCCGCCACCGCAACAAATCCCAATCATCACGTCCGCGGACGAGGCACCCCAAGCGGAGCCGCGCCCTAGGGCGGACCTCAGTTTCCTGGAGCAGCATCTTTCTCCACAATACCGGCCTCACCCTCCAAAGAGAATCCTCCACCAACCGCTAAGCGCGGACATAATGGCGGAGCACTTAAGTGGAATGCCGCCTGCTCTCCCCACGTATAACGGGACGACAGACCTAGAGGACCACGTCAGCACGTTTTGCCTCAGAATGCAGCTCCAAACCAATTCCAACGCGGCACTATGCCGGACCTTCCCATCAACTTTCTCCGGCATATGCCTCGACTGGTACAACAGACTTCCAAACGGAATCATCCGCTCCTTTGAGGAGTTCATACTCCTCTTCACTACCAAATTCGCGTCCAATAAAAGGAGAGCCCTACACCTCAAGGCCTTGATCGACATCAGGCAGAAGGATGGGGAAAGCCTACGCGCGTTCTATGCCAGATGGTCAAGAGTAGCCATGGCGGTGCGCGACCTCACTCCCGATACCGCCGCCCATCACCTCATGGACGCTACGACCAGCATGGAGCTCAAGCGCGCCATAGCAAAAAGGCCGGTGACGCTGTCAACGGAGCTCGAGGCCAAAATCGAGAAGGCTATCACGCTGGAAGAAACTCTGGGCGCAGGTTCTGTCAGGCGTTTTGAGCCTTCCAAGCCGCCCAGAGAAGACCAAACGCGGAAACAACTTCCGGTGCCCCGAGAACAGTTACTACAGTCCCACAGCGGGTCTAGAAGGCAACTCGCTCCGCCAGAACAAGTCCCGCGAAGACGCTCCCCCGATAGGCGTCAGCAGAACACGATGCCCGCTTACACTCCGCTCAACGATTCCGTAAAAAACGTGTTCCATGTCCTCCGTGAGAAGGGATACAAGATCAATTGGCCCGCGCCTGTCAAAGCCGCGCCTCACCTGCACAACCCGAACAAACATTGCGAGTTCCACAGGGAAACGGGTCACTCGACGGAGGACTGCAGGGAACTAAGGTACGAAATAGAGGGGCTCATCCGAAGAGGACTGCTGTCGCAGTTTGTTCAGGGGGCGGAAAGGCAAAAAGAGCCGCGCGAAAATCCTCCGCCTCCCGCACAACCGGAATACGATGAGACAACCGGCGCTTACCTAGTGCGAAAGGAAATCAGGGTGGTGACGGTTGAGGGGAGCCGCCCAACCAAAAAGACAAAGCGTGAGCGCGCCATGGAATGCGCGGCGTCAGAGGTGCGCCCAAGGTGCCACTTAAGTTTCGACGACTCAGAATTCCCCCAGGGAATCCCATCAGAAGACCCGCTAACCATCACCGCGCTAGTAGCCGCTTGTAAAATTCATCGCCCTCTGATCGACGGAGGGAGCGCGGCAGATATACTATTCAAAAGCACCCTCGACCAAATGGACATCGATCCACGCTTGATCAGACGAGCGGAGGGAAACCTGGTCGGTTTCTCAGGAACGAGGGTCGCGGTAATCGGCGCGGTCACCCTTCCCATCATAATCGGAGACCAAGAGCCGCGGGTCTCCAAGCAAGTCGAGTTTACCATCGTCGACTGCAACTCCCACCACAACGGCATCCTGGGACACCCATTTCTCGCCAAATTCATGGCACTGCCGTCGACGTGTCACCAAAAGCTCAAATTCCCCACCAAGGTCGGGATCGGAGAAGCCCGAGGAACCCCGTGGGCGACCCCACGAAGAGAAGAAGAGCCTCGCCAAACCAACATCGTCGACACGCGGGCGGAAGACCCGCGCCCAGAATCAATGGATTCTGATTTCGAGGTGGCACTTGACCCAGCTGAACCCGAGAAGAAGATCCGCGTCTCAACCCATGTCCCTGGAGACATGGTTGAACCGCTGATTGTACTGTTGAAAGAGTATAAGGAGTTGTTCGCCTGGTGCACCGAAGACATGCCGGGAGTGCCAAGGGAAGTAGCGCAACACTCACTCGCGGTTCCCGTGAATGCAGAACTGAGACAACAGGCGCGCAGAGGCTTCTCGGGCGATAAGTTGAAAGCCATAGAAGAAGAGGTGGGGCGGCTACTCGCGGCAGGGCTGATCCGACCGGTGAAATATCCGAAATGGTTGGCGAATGTGGTCTTAGTAAAAAAAATCTTCAGGGGCATGGCGCATGTGCGTCGACTATACAACCTTAAACAAGGTGTGCCCGGGGGATCCTTATCCCCTGCCGTGGATAGACCAGCTGATCGACGCCACCGCGAATCACGAAACGCTATCCTTCCTAGACATGTTCTCGGGATACCACCAAATCTCGATGTCTCGAGAGGATGACGAAAAAACGGCGTTCATGACGCCGTTTGGGAACTTCTGCTTCGTCGGAATGCCGTTCGGCTTGAAGAACGCTGGCGCGACCTACCAGCGAATGATCGACTCAGTGTTCTCGTGACAGATTGGGCGGAACATTGAAGCGTACGTGGACGACCTCATCGTCAAAACAAAGCCGGGCAACTCACACCTGGAAGATTTGCGCTAGACTTTCGAAGCGATGCGCAGGCACAGCCTGCGCTTGAACCCTCTAAAGTGCGTGTTTGAAGCAGAAGCAGGAAAGTTTCTGGGGTTCATGATAACTAAGCGCGGAATCGAGGTTGACCCGAAACAAATAACCGCCGTCCAACAACTGCGAGCACCGAGGAGCGCGGTGGAGATACAGTCATTAAACGGCAAGATAGCGGCGCTGGGAAGATTCACCTTGCATTGGTGAGCGCCTCACAGAAGCTACGCCCCTACTTCCAAGCGCATCAAATCACGGTCCTGACCAACCTTCCACTAAAAAAAATCTTGTCCTCAATGGAAGTGTCCGGGCGGATGGTCAAATGGGCGGTCGAATTGTCCGAGTATGACATCCAATACGCCCCGAGGCCCGCGATAAAAGCTCAGATCCTAGTAGATTTTATCGCGGAGGGAGTCACCCTTGACTCCACGCCAGAGGGGGTATGGGACGTCTACGTAGATGGCGCGGCGAGCAAACATGGAGCCGGAGCAGGGGTGGTTGTGCGCGCTCCAACGGGCGCTACGCACGCGATAGCGATCCGGTTCAGGGCACTGAAGACAAACAATGCGGCGGAATATGAAGCAATCTTGGCGGGAATGACGGCCGCCAACGATTTGGGCGCGAGAATGATAAGGATCCTCTCCGATTCCTCTCTGGCAGTTAATCAACTGAATGGAACCTTCGACGCGAAGGAAGACGCGCTGGCGCATTACATGGAGCGCGTCAAGCAAAAGGCAAGTATCTTCGAGGCAGTGACGTATGCGCAAATTCCAAGGGAAGAGAACATGCACGCGGACGCGTTGTCAAAACTGGCAACCGCCACTGACTTCGAGTTTACTCGACTGGTATCCGTCCAAAAGGAGGAAGAAGCCAGCCAAGAAGTGGTGGTCAACACCACTCAACTCATACCAGATGACAACTGGAGAGCCCCGATCGTGAAATACTTGCAAGACGGCGTGGTACCGGAAAATTCTAAAGAGGCGTGGGCCCTAAGACAAAGAGCGGCCCGCTGCACGATCATCGGGGGGGGGGGGGGGGGGGGGGGGACTATACCGGCGTTCATACTCAGGCGCCTACCTGAAATGCATCAGCTAAGAAGAAGCCAACAATGTGGTGCGCGACCTACACGAAGGGTTGTGCGCAATGCACGCCGGGTCCCGCAGCATGGAACGCACAATCCTGCTGCACGGGTATTACTGACCGCGAGTAAAAAAAGACACGAAGAAATATGTGGACCAATGCCACAGATGCCAACTGAACGCGCGCCAACACCACCTTCCCTCAACCGAGCTCCAAGGCAACCTGAGCCCATGGCCCTTTGTGCAATGGGGAGTCGACCTCCTGGGTCCCTTTCCAACCGCAAAGGGGAAGCGCAAATACATCATCGTGGCGGTGGACTACTTCACCAAGTGGATCGAAGCAGAAGCACTCGCCTCGATAACGGCACAACAGGTGACACGCTTCCTGAAAAATAACATATTGTCGCGGTTCGGAGTCCCGAACGCGCTCGTCTTCGACCATGGGAAACAGTTCGATTGCGCGGAGGTAATTGACTTCTGTGACCAAGTAGGAGCAATTGCAAGGTTCGCGTCAGTGGCCTACCCCCAAGCCAACGGCCAAGCAGAATCGGCCAACAAAGCGATCCTGCACGGATAACATACCCGCCTGGGCGACACTAAGGGCAATTGGGCCGACAAACTCAACACAGTGCTATGGGCACACCGCACAACATATAAAGTAGCGACGGGAGAAACGCCTTTCGCGCTCACGTACGGCACTAACGCGGTGATTCCCATTGAGACAACAGCCCCAACGTACCGAATCACAATGTACAACGGAGAGACCAATGAAGAGGCGCGCCTTCTAGACCTCGAGCTAACGTAGGAAAGGCGTGAGTTAGCATCCATCAAGCTCGCAGCAACAAAGGAACAGGTAGCTAAGTACTACAACGCTAAGCTGGTCCCTCACAAGCTCAACCTCGGAGACCAAGTGTTGAGGCGGAACTTGCGTCCTGACCCCAAACACGGGAAACTCGCGTCGGTATGGGAGGGCCCATACCTGATCCGTGAAGTAGTGGGCGCAAACACCTTCAAGCTCAGCGAATTGGGGGGCACGAAAATTCCGAGAACATGGAACGCGCAGAACCTCAGGAAGTACTACAGTCCAGCTTAACATTTATTTGGTCACGATGGCACATTTATATGGTGGAATAAAACCAAAAGTTCGACAAAGCAGAATAGCAATAATCTCGAATTATTCGCACCCACACCACTGAACGAGAAACGCCGATGACAAATCGCGCCCGCAGTTCACAAAATAGCAATAATCTCGAATTATTCGCGCCCACGCAACTGAACGATAAACGCCGATGACAAATCGCGCGTACAGTTCACAAACTAGCAGTAATCACGAATTATCTGCGCCGCACATGTAAAAAAGGAGTTTTTTAAAATCCATTTCACGGGAGCAGGAATTACAATTAACCGCGGGCTAAGACATTAGCGCCACAAAAAAAAAATATATTAATAATAAAACATCATCAATCATCACTACTCCACGCATTGTCCGCATTGACAACTTCAATCTCGTTATCCGCCGCCGCAGCGGATCCCCCACCCTCACCTTGGTCATCAGCACGCTCCTCATCTTGGTCGTCAACACGCTCCTCATCTTCTCCTTCCTCGGAGTCAAGGGTCAGTGGCTTCTTCTCACGCAGCCACGCCTGCACGTGCTGAACCATCTCGTGAGTTCTCCAACGAACGCCCGGGTTTTCGGGCCGTACCTTCTTGCCAACCGCTATGACAGCCTTAGTCATAGCATCTGCCAAGATCTTTCCAAACGAAGAAGAAGACTTGTACTGCCGCACAGCAGCAACCTGTGCCTCGCGAACAGATTCCGCCTTCTCCTGCTGAAATTCTTCACGGACTTGCTTCAACTTCTCTTCATGACCCTTCTCCAGCTGCGCTTTTTCCTGCGCCCATTCTTCAGCTAGCCGCTTCTTCTCCTCCTCGAACTCGCCGCGCAGCTCCGCCCGAGCCCGCTCTATCAGCGCTTGGACATCCTCCGCCAGCTTACTCTGCAAAACTCCCAGTTCCACGAGGGCCTCATTCGCTTTGTTCGTCGCCACCTCCGCGCGCCCCTCCGCCCCCGCGAGTTTCCCCTCCAGCTGAACAATCATGGGCGCCTCCGCCTTCACTTTGGCATGATCACGAGCACGCTCTTGTTGAGCGCGGAAGGCGCACATCAGACCCTACACTCAATTCGCAAAAAAAAAAAAACCTTATTGTGAAAAGCCAAATAACTTAGAACGAATAAGACGAAGTGAGAAGAGTTAACCAAACATACCGCGAAGTGAATTTGGGCAAGATCCTGCAAGGGATCTGATTTCTCCAACCGCGGAGGAACGGTGAGTACCGGCACAAGAGCGCGGAGAGCAGCCTGAGCGGACTGGCTATTGCAGGCCGCGCCAGTGTGGATCCGCACATCGCGATAATAATCGACGCCGGCCATCTCCGTCAAAGTTTGCTGAACAGTCGCCCCGGATGAACCGCCAGCCGAAGACCCCTCCGGACGCGGGGGCTTACTCACTAAAGGGACCTGCCTCACTGGCGGAGCCTATTCAACTACCCGAGGCGGAGGTTGCTCAACCGCTCGCGCTGCCTTAGCCGGTCTGTTCGGGGTCAAGGCCTGCTCAGATTCCTTCCTCTTCGTGCTGCTTGTCCGCGCACCATCTCTGTCCTTCTCCTTCCTCTTCTTCTTCTCGCCGCGCGGGGCCTTCACGACTTCGTCCAGCGACATCATGCTCGACAACGATGAGAAATCAACGCCTGCGCCAATAAATCGTAAGACGCCCGTTAATATGATAGAATGCAAGGAAAAAAGGAAATAAAACTAACCATCCGCAAAAAGCTCCTCCAGAACAGCCGCGCGGATGCCGCTGGAGTAAAGATTTATCCTATGAGGCATGCAAGCCTCATACTCATCATCAAGCCCATCATACTTCCCCAACGCGGATTCGTATCCGCGCAGGCCCCCTTTCTTCCAGACAGTGGGTTCCTCTACATGCTCTTCCGCCCACTCCCCCGGGACAGGCTTGACGAAGAAGAAGCGGGCAAACCAATTCTTCTCCAACTTCGGGGAGCCATAGACAAAGCCGTCAGGCTGCTTGTCTCGCCGCCTAATGGAAAGACAATCGCTCGTCTCGGTCGGCCCCTTAATTTTGTACATCTTCCGAAAAAGACCATAGGTGGGTTGAATACCCAATCTCTTACAAACAAACCGGAGACAAGACGCATGCATAACCACGGATGGAGACACGCGCGCAATAGAACAACCCAAACGCCTGTAAAGGGCGCACAACAATGGGTTGACAGGGAACTTGAAACCCATCCGCCAGTATTCAGAATACACACCGAACCACCCGGCGGGGCAGTTCCCGATTCAGCTACGCGCGGATGGAACGGCGTACTGCCAATTGGGGGGCAACCCCAATCCGTGCACTAGCTCCGTAACCTCCCGCCGCCCGTACACTGAGACATGGTCCGGCCCGCGCACCAAGTTGTCACTAGGAACCTGCCCCTCATCAAACATCTGTTCCCACTCCAAAATCGTGTACGTGGCCCCTATTCCGCGCACCCCGAGCCTGCTCATCGCCTCGGTCACTCGCGACACACAAAGCGGCTCGGAGGAAGCCTCCGATGTCCCGGCGGCTTCAAGCGGGGCGGCGCCGGAACCACCAGCACGATCGCGTCGGATGATTAACACCCCCCGCGACTGAGCCGCGCTAGTCTTGCCGCCCTCACACTCCACCAAATCCCCTCAAGATCCAGCATCGTACGAAGGCGTCTCTGGAACCCCTCCGTCGCCGCCATCGTCGGACTCGACCAGGTGCATTGCCGGAACTCCCCCACCGCCGCCATCGTTGTCGGACTCGACCAGATCCAGCGACGGATCGGAAGAAACATGAGAGAAGGGAGAAAGATTACCTTCTTCGTCTGCCACGACCACGACCTCGTTGTTCACATCGGCATTGGCCATTTGTGTCTTCAAAAAAGAGAACCACGAACGTTTTTGAGATGCAAGATCGTTGGAGAAGAAGAAAAATCTCGTCGGCAAGAAGAACGACGAAAGAGAAAGCAGAAAGGTTTGAGATGAAAGACTTCTCTCCGATACAGAGAGGTATTTATAACCCTAGGAGAGGTAACTGAAAGGGTAAAAGGTGCATCGAGAATCGGAAACGTTAATCCAGAATTTCGAAATTCAAAAAGCAAGTAAGTAACCGCCCAAACGAGTGAATAACGACAGGCCACGTCGACACCTATTGATACTAGGGCTAAGTGCTAGCTAGAGGCTAGGCGGTGACGTCACAGGCTACGCACACCGCCTGGGGGGCATGGGTACACCCGCAGAAAAGAAAAAATCAGTCAATAAAAGGGTTCACTCGCGGAACGCACATAACACCGCTTGGGGGGCATGGGTACACCCGCGAGTTAAACACGCGCGCTCCGCTCGCGAAACGCGCATAGCGACTGCCGGCTGTGACGCGCATGGAACCTGGGAGCGCACACACCCGCGGAAAAGAAAAATCAGTCAATAAAAGGGTTCACTCGCGGAACGCACATAACACCGCCTGGGGGGCATGGGTACACCCGCGAGTTAAACGCGCGCGCTCCGCTCGCGAAACGCGCATAGCGACTGCCGGCTGTGACGCGCATGGAACCTGGGAGCGCACACAACCGATGGCAGCGGTTTACGCGCGAAGGGAAGGAAATGCGAAGAGAGGAGCGCGCACAGCACGTTGTATACATGCGCACCGATAACCCAAGGAAGCGCGTGAAGCGTGAAGAACCGAGCCACCCACGCGGAAGCCAACAGGTGGCATTCACAGAACACCACCTGGTGGGGGGCAATTGTTGGGGATGTGGCTCGGACCAAGTCGCGCGAGCTAGACGGCCGAATGAACTTCCAGCAAGCAAGGGGATGACCGCAAATGGCGGAGGTATCGAGCGCCGTCGTTTTGATCCTGCCCAGACCGACGTCATTTTACCTCCTCGTTTGATCCCGCCCAGGCCGACGTCGTTTTGCATCGTCCAAAACCAGCGCCGTTTTAGTCTCACTCAAGCCGGCGTCGTTTTGCCCTGCCTAGGACAGGGAAGGAAGATCGAGAGGATGGCGCCGCAGTCTACGAAGGAAGGGTCATGTCTTGAGTCAGGTCCTAGGAATAATTATGGCCTAAAAGCATGGCCTAAGTTCTGACACACGTAGTAGTCTTATCACATTAAATACCCACTACTGTAATGTACTATAAAAGGGGCATTTACTACGGTAGGTAGGGGATTGGTTTTTGGATTCTCTCACTAATAAACACTCACTTCTCTCTCTAGCCAATTTCCTCTGTTCTTCCTTCCTCTCTATCGAAAGCCCTCATCAGAAACAAGCCACAATCACGCATCGCTTGCTCTACTCCCCCCTCCCTCATGAGTCTCACTCCTACACTTAGTTAGGCTCAAACAGTATATATATTAAACATTAATTCATTAAATTTCTATAATATTGAATATTTTTTTTCCAAGGCAAGCCCAAAGGGCATGAGACCAAAACTCGACACAATTACAAGACTGACTCAAAACATATACGTTAGGCCGTATGCAACCAGACTACGATAATTTGAAAAGGTTGATCATTCTAGCGAGAATATCGATGGATTGATGATTGCTTAAAAACTAACTATCGATCTTTCTTCTAGAGAAAATATATTAACGATGTGTCTTATATTTTTTTCTTGTCATACAAAGAGACCAAGGCTAGGAAGAATAGGGGTCGTTTGCTTGTTGGATTTGAAAACTGAGGGTTTTGGCCAATAAAAACCTTGGGATTTATGTTGGATTTATTGGATTATGGATTTGAAGAGTCTAATGTTTGCATGATGGATTTGTGATGGATTTGTTAAATAAATAACTAACCATCAAGGATTTTCAAATCCCAAATCAATATGTGGGATTTACAAGTCCGTGGGGTCCACGGATTTGGTTCCAAAATAAAGACCAAATCCGTGGACCCCACGAATTTAGCACCCCTCAACAAACAATGAACTTATGTTAAATCCATCAAGCTTGGGATTTGGGAACCAAATCCATGACCCAAATCCAACAAGCAAACGACCCCTAAGAAGAAACAAGTACAGAGGGAGGGAGTTAAGCCAGAGAGGTAGGGGAACGAGCTACGATGCGTCGTTCGAAAGTGGTACCCACATATCATCTCCTAGAACATAAGCTAGACTTGGAGGTAGGTTTGCAAGCTCATACATACCGTAGGTGTTGGACGGTTATAGAAAGTGAAATAAGAATAGTGAATCCTTTGTCAAAGATTATTGGTGATTCCGAAATTAAGGATGCTAGAACTTGAAGCTTCCATTTCTAACAAGCTTGGAAAGGAAAGTCCCACAGGAAGGCTTGATTATAGCTGCTGAATTGGAATTCCTTCCTTTTGCAGATTGGCAGTAACATCATTGTTTTCAAGCTATATATATTCCTCTTACTGTTCTTTTGTTAGCAAATTTTGTAATGGGAAGAGCTATAGGTCTTCAGTTTACAAAAGGTTTCAACAGTCAGTGGAGAATCTGGATTGTTAAAGGTGTAACGGGTCTGGTTGAGATCCGAGAATTGGTTATTCGGTTCTTTCTTTACAGCTTTTGTGTCTTTGTTTCCGTTTATGTTTGATAGGAGAAACGAAATAAAAATAGTGTCCCCTAGAGATCAGTGGGTACTGACTCTAGGACGAGGACTGGCCAGTAGATTGGGAACCTCGTTAAAATCATGTGTTCATTACCTTCTTACTGCCCTTGCTTTTCTCGCTCAGTTTTGATATTCCTAGTCTTTGTTCATTTTGAGGTGGATTACAAAAAATCGAGCCGCCTGGACCGTTGACCAAAGGAAAAGTGCCCAGCTAAACTGCTGAGCAATGTATATCCTGCAATGCGCCATGTGTGCCGATGAAGCCGAGCGGGTTGAACATTGCGATTCGGAGAAGGAAATATGAAGGGTTTTAGAGAACACCTATGAAGGAACCTCCAATATCAGGGAAACCCGAATTGACCTCCTGCTACACGACTACGAGGCATTTGTTATGGACTCAGGTGAGAGTATCCATAATATGTATTGCAGGTTTACTAGTTTAGTTAATCAACTTAAAGGATCAGGGAAAACTTTTCCATCTAAGGATTTAAATCGAAAATTTTTGCGATCCCTGCCAAAAGAATGGTTGCCTAAACGGACAACTATTGAAGAAGCAAAGGATCTTAAAACTTTGTCTGTTGATGAACTAATAGGTTCTTTGGTGAGTCATGAACATGTCATACAACAAGTTGGTAGAGATGATGAAAAATGTCTTCATAATTTAGCTTTTAAATCTCAAAATCTTGATTGGTGACCGTGAACTCCAATGCTGGACCGTGAAGGCTGAATCCTCCTCTTTGCCCGGTTTTTGCTCATTTTCTTCCAACTTTCGACTCCGGGGTTGGTTTCACCTGTTAGACTCTGAAACACACTGAATGAAAAGAAACCTAGCATAAAACTACCCCTTTTGGAGCTCAATTTCCACAAACGTCAAAGAGAAACGGGGATAAAAAGTTAACAATTAGGTCCGAATCACTCCCCCAAACTTAAACATTTGCTTGTCCCCAAGCAAACCATTTCACACAAGGTAATATCTCAACCTAACAAAATGCTTTGAGGACAAATCAAAGGTCATAAAGTGGCGAATCTCAATGGCCATTGGCAATTAACACAAGGACCGTTGCAAGCAATACCGACATCCACCACAAACGACATTCGAGGTCACCAAAAACGGGCAAACGAAAAGTTCTCATCTTGTTCGCGAATCAATGAAAGTCTCAACAAGATCACTGATCAACCACAACTAACCATGCATAACATTCAAGTCCAAGGAACAAAAGAATGGGCAACAAAGGTCCTCACCGGGGTATGATATGACATGCAAAGCAAGAATGAATCACTCACTCTCTTGACTAGTGGGGTCGGGACCTTTTTGGTGCAAAGAATCTGCAAAATCATTAACACTCGGCCCTATCATCTCTTCACCACGGCGAAAACCTCTAAATGTTAGAGTTCACAGGACGGTTGTCATCACTAGCTTGTCCGGAGGTCTTAGACACGGGTTCAAATGACTGACAATTGTCTTGGACATGGGGAAAAGGTTTTTTGGGTGGTGGGAATCACAACATGAGGTCCTACATCTTCGCCCTAGAACCGAAGGTTTTATGGTGTCAACTAAGACCTTCTTTACAAACAATGGCCACTAGAATCGACCAAAAACCTTGCTTCTCCCTTCCAAACTATCACCCATCATGAACTATCTTTAAGCGCTTTTCCTCGGTCTACTCTTGCTATCACATTTAGACTTAGTAGTGAAGGAGCTCAACTACAATGTGGGGGTTTCAAATTTCAATGGCTCGAGTGCCAAGAAACCCCTCTTAGAGCATACTCTTTGATTCTTTTGTGGCACTCTCTATTTTATTTACCCAGTTTTATTACCTCTTTTCGATTCTTTTTCTTTCTACTTTCCTTTTCTTTCTTTTCTCTTTTATTTTGTTTTTGATGGGGTACAAGAGAGTAAAACACTTACCACATTACATTTAACAACCAATGCTCTCTTTTAAGAACTCACTCCAACACTACTCTTTTCTCTGTTTTTGCTAGCAAGAACCGCAAACGATCCTCCTATGTAGAATCTCAAAGGAGCTCAAAAGAGAGAGCTTCGGGACACAAGGATGACTCACATATAGACACGAAGAAAGGATGGGGGTCGTTCTATCAAACACGATTAAGCTCACAAGCAAAAAGCTCATACAAGAGAACGACCCCCCTAAGTCACAAGGCTCAAAGGGGTTGACTAGGGGATAAAACATTTCGGGAAATCAACATTTGGGAGTGGACTAATCCTATGCCTCCATCATACTCACTAGTGAAAACTGTAATGTTACTCGCCATGGTAAGAGGGATCTATGCACACAAGAAGAAAACGATCGCTTAAAACTCACATGGCTACCAAGTCACCCAATCGTCCATTCCAATTTCATAAAACACAATGCATGGCAATTATAATCAACAAGTAATCGAGTCAAGACATCTATTCATTTTTGCACACATGAGAACTAAACTTTTGCACTATCCTAATGCACCTCTTAGTCATCATCATAGGACACACTCGATCACATACAACAATTCAAGGTCAATGCCAATAAACACGAGATTCTCCTACAACCGGCCACTTTGATCATGCAAACATTGCTTGGAGCCCTCAAAATTTTCAAATTTGGGCATACATCATGGCTCCAAGCATCAATCACACTCACACAAGCATAATAATAAACTACCCCCCACACTTAAGTTCGACATTGCCCTCAATGGCGTAAGATAGAGGTAGAACGATGTTACCACATGGCTTGGGGAGTGAAAGTTGAAATTTTTCCGGGGTAAGAGATTTGAGCTTCAAGGAGAAGATAAAAACACACATTCAAACACAACACATACTCGCTCGAGGCGAGGCGAGGTTATTACACAAAACAATACGATAGTAGTAGTTGTTTACACATACCAAATAAAAGAAAGAAAAATAAAACAAAAGAGTTCAGAGTTCAAAGTGGAGAAGTGGGGCAAAAGGAATCGGATCTGCAACAGGTCTCACTTGTCGGCAACCTCTCACTGAGTCGAAGGCCCCGACTTATCATCTGGAAGGAGGCCCTGGCTACGAGCAATCCGCTCGAGCAGGTCGATCTGTCTGTCGAGCCGGGAAGTGATTCCAACAACGTGGGTCTCAAGACGGTCCATCCTCTCCACGAGGGGCACCCCGGAAGTGGAGGGACCGACACCTGATGGTGGTGGTGGTGGTGTAAGGAGCTGGAGTGAGGGACGCCGACGGCGACCGGGAGCTCGATTGTACTTGTTGCGCTTGTAGCATGCATCAAACGCCAAGACATCCCCAAAAAATGGTAATCCGCTCTAGATGTGGAGTCCAACCAAAAGAGATTGCTTAATTCACCTTCATCGTTGACAGTGTACTTGAAGAAGCTGCCTCTATCAAAAGTATTTTTACTCTGCAAGAATATCTTGTCATCTTACGATGTTGTCATGTCCGACCTTCTTTATCTATATGCCGCTTCTATCTAATTCCCTCTCTTGGACATACCATTTTCCTCCCAGTAACTACTCCTCGTCGATTTATCTAGAGATCTCTACGTCGAATACTAAACCCTCTCGCTTTAGCATAGGTATCATAAAATTTCTCTGCATCTTCTAATGTTTGAAACTTCATGGAATAAATTTGTTGTTCATATTCAGTAGTTTCTTCATCATCCATAAATTCTTCTTCAGCACCCTCAGTTTCCTCATCGTGCCCAAACTCTTCATCATCTATATCATCTTCATTATCCATATTTTCTCCTTAAGCATCCTCAGTTTCCTCATCGATGTTAATCTCTTCAACATATCTATTGTCTATATGATCGCTAGTATCCATCATGTAATGATCAGAATAAGAATTGTATGTCACTATGGAAAATAAATTTGTGGAACTAAATTCGAAATAAGGTCGTGCAGGTCGACCGTATCAAAGAGTAAGGTCGACCATATTACACAATAACACAAATTCGGTCTACCATGGAAGTTGACAAGGTTGACCATGGAAGCCTAAAAAATGGAATTTTTAGTATTTTTTTATTATTTTCTTTACTCTTTTACTTAATTTTCTATAATTTAAACATAAAGTTTAATTACATTTGCAATTGCAAGTTAAATGCATTGATGTAGGTGAATGAAATGAATGTGATGTGAATTGCAAAAAAATTGAGTTGACAAAAAAAAAACGCAAATGCAATTTCTTTTGCAATTGCATTGATGGAGATGCTCTAATTGTATTGATGTAGTTTACTAAGATTTTCTTGACTTTTCAATGTATTAATTTCTTTTATTTGTTTGGTTGAGAATGACAATTGAACTCAACTCCATGAGTATTAAATCTAATTTGACCCAATCAAAACGAGTTAAACTCTATGTTAACGAGTTTTCGTTTGGGAAAGAGTTTTATTCGCTTTCCATCGGAACAACACCCTAAAAAACAAAACAAGTGATCCGGTCAAAATGGCTTGAACCTGATGTTGATAAGTTTTGGATCGGAAGCAAGTTTTACTTTTATCCACTTTTATAATTCACGGCTTGGGTCTGATGAGAATTTTCATACAACTCGGTCCACTTCCCATCCGACCCGCACCAAATAACAAAACATTGTCATTTTATGGAGATATATTTGCCATAATATAATAAGAAATATATATGGATTCTTTATGGTAATGGTAATGTGTAATTCTAATAAAACAACCTTATTTGTTAGTGTCACATTTGCAAATCACTATTCCTTAGTGTCACATCAAGAGCGAGACTTCTTTGTTATTTCCACAATATTGTTTTCTAGTCATTAAAACTTTGCTAACCTTTTAGTGTATTTTAATTTCACTTGTTTTTTTGGTTGAGAATGGCAATTGAATCTAAATTCATGAGTATACAACCTAGTTCAAGTCATTTTAAATGACTAAGTTTACTACCCGATCGCACAACGTACACATACTAGTTTCTTTTAACTGCAACATGAGCATGTAACATATTTATATGCTATATTATTATGAAATATAAGGAACTAATACTGTAATTTGGAATATGTTTATATATATATATATATATGGTGACTTCTATGGTACCCCGGGTGAAATTCAGGGTACCGTATACCTTGAGTATGAAAACACTATCTAGGCCTCGAAATAGAAAAAACTTTGGGCTTGGTACTATACCCTAATCCTTATTGAGTGAACCCTAGGTCCTAATTATCTAAATCATAAACTATAAACCCTAAGGCGGAGCATTCATTTTTTTGCCTATATTTGGACGAATCATAGCCGTCGATTATTGTTTCTAATTAAATTGATATTGGAGTATAAGATTTAGGGAGCTAAGAACTAGATTTTGATCTTTAAGGGTTAGAGTATAATACCATGTCCAAAAGATCAATCAATTCAATGTCTGGATAGCGTTTTCATACTCAAGGTATGCGGTACACCGGATTTCACTCGGGGTACCGTAGAACTCGCCATATATATATAGAGGTACCCGGATGTTAAAGATGGGGAATTTGCTACTGTAACATGCATGTCACGGTGACATGCACTTTTCGGTCGACCTCATATAGGATTAGGTCGACCTAATCTGTTGTTTCAGTGTCAAAACAGTTTCATGATGTCTACTTTGGAGATTCGTATCTTACAATTGGCTAGATGGAAATTGGAGATTAAAGGCTTGCTTTGAAGCTGAAGTGTCCCTCTACACATTAAAGTACTTGGGAGCTCAATAGAAAGTCCAGAAGACCATTTTTGAACCTGACCAAAAGGCTATGCCATAACTAGGAAACTGCCTGAAAATGGCTAAGTCTGGCAACGTGTTTGTCAAGCCTACTTTGGAGCTCAATTTGAGAATCATGGATGCGAGTCAAGTCCAGGGGGCCTCTACCACGTTAAATTACGTATTTTTTTATACAAAGGCAAGGCATGTTAGAAACCTATTTCTAGGGTTCTAACGATCAAGTGATAAGATTGGGAATTGATAGATATTTAGGGATTGAGATAGAATTGGGGAAGAACAGAATTGGGGATTAGGGATTTAGAAGAGGAAATTGGAGATCGAGTAGAAGAATGGCCGACGGCCTAGGGTTTGAGATATTAGGGTTTGAGATACTTTTCTGAATAATTGTTCTCGCTTGATTATGAATAAAACGCAAAGTACATATTTATAACGAAAGATGTGAAAACCTAATACTAAACCTAATTCTACTAAAAGACTACTAACCATATTTAATAAAACCTAATAATAATGATAATATAGAAACTCATTTTCCTTAGAAAACATGTTTCTAACATCCCATCCCCCTTGAGAACAACCTTGCCCTCAAGGTTGATCAGTTTGACCCATTTCTTCACATCTCCTGCGCAATCCGCGCTTTGTCTCCGCCACTCATTGTGCTTTCTTTTCTTCCAATCACGCTCTAACTCTTCACTTAGACTTCTTGCACCGACATGCTTGTGTTCATCCCACTCTTCAAATTTCACTTCCATGGATCCATGATTTGCTTCCTTGTATGAGAAGCCGTCTTTAAGCATCAATCCTGCCAGATCCTCGAACTCCACGTTAATGGCCCATGTCGCCGGTTCATTTTTGTCAAGAGACCAAAACTCTTGACTAGAGCTCATCTTTCTTGAAGCTAGCTCATGAACTTGTGCAGTGGCCTCTTTAATTGTTAATAATGACTCATGATTCCTTGAGAGCCCAATACTTAAGCCCACGAAACTCTTCTTTTTCCTTCAAACCTACTCCATAAGGAAGAGCCCAGAAAGACAATTCATGTACGGCCCAAAGATTTCCTCCAAGCCTACATTAAACCTGTCTTGTGAGCTCGACCCATTATACTTTTGAAACTCTTTTAATTTCTCCTGACTTAGCCCATGACCGAGCTTGATACCGGCCCACTTATTTCTCAGCTTCCTCCTCCTTTTCTGGCCATCAACAAACGCGGCACGCCTGCACCGGTCCAGGCTGCCCCAAATAGGCCCGGTAAGAATTGGCCCGTGCTCCACCACCTGGCTTGCTTCCTCAGATCCTTCCGAGCCCACGACCTTAGTGACCGGGCCAAGGTTGGCCCGCTTCTGCAGTTGCTCCTTTGCTCGACCCACGGTTGGCGACCAAGGGCTTGCAAGGAGAAGCACGCCGCCTCCAACCTCCTTCACCAACTCTGATGACGGGAGAGGAAGCTTCCCGCCGCTGCTTTGCGTCCTCCTTTCTTTCGCCGGCCACCGGCGAGCCCTCAGCTTCGTCTTCAACTCGTCGCCGATTGACTTCTTTGTCTTGCTTCCCGTCGGCATGCAGTTCACGCGACGGCTTTGAGGAGATCCCGGCTCCGCGCTGCTGGTCCTCGATTCTTTCTCCCAATCGATCGACGACAGGAAGCAAGACACCTCCGATTGTTCCATCGTCGAACCAGTTCCGCATCGTCTATTGGTTTTGGTCATTCGCGCCGCCGTGCCCTTCTTCATCTCGAGCTCTGGCGGCTCCTTCCTTGGCGTTGAGATCTTTCGGTGGCTGGAATCCAAGCTAGATCTATAGTACCCCGCCTCTGGCCTCTCACCCTCATCGGTCGCCGACTCTGCTTCGTCGAGCCGCAACTTCCTTTTCCTGGATTTCCAATTGATCTTGCCATTTATTGGAGTTTTTAGTAGGATTGAGGTTGTGCTGGGATTTACCTGAAATGCCTCCCCCAAGTCCAGATTCGGTTGTCTCTCCTCAGCGCATGATTCCACCTTCCCGGCCGAAGGCACTACGACCTTCGAAACTGCAGTGGAGATGGTTGGTAGACGCTGCTGCTGTTTGTTGGTTGCGCTTGGGGGTTGTCCTACGGTTGGCGGCTCGATCACCAAAACCTCTTCCACATCCGATTGCTCTGCTCGCCTCTCAACTTCACCATCTGCGTCAACCTGCACAACCGACAGTTTCTCTTCTGCTGTGGCGGCATTCCCGGTCGGCAGCTCCTTGGAGTTCCAATGACGGCCGATGCGCCGAGCCCGTTCACGCAGCTCTTCCCACGACGGGTTCGAGAGCTTTGATGACCATGTCGTCTCGGGTCGCCGCTCCCCAGCCTTCGCGTCGCGCTCGGCCAGTTGCGGAGGTAGTTCTCCGACAGTCTCCTTGGGCATCACTTCCTCCTGCGCGATTGGTAGCTCCTCGGGGATCCAACGATGTCCGATGCGGCGGGCCTGTTCCCGCAGTTCCGCCCATGACACGTCCGAGAGCCTTGAAGAGCTCATCGTCGAGCCAGTTGTAGAACTCGTCCCCGGTTGAGAGTTGTGAAAAACTCAATTCTCGAAACCGGGCTCTGATACCAAATTTTAGAAACCTATTTCTAGGGATTGAGATAGAATTGGGGAAGAACAGAATTGGGGATTAGGGATTTAGAAGAGGAAATTGGAGATCGAGTAGAAGAATGGCCGACGGCCTAGGGATAGGTGACGAATTTGAGAGAGATTAGGGTTTGAGATACTTTTCTGAATAATTGTTCTTGCTTGATTCTGAATAAAATGCAAAGTACATATTTATAATGCAAGATGTGAAAACCTAATACTAAACCTAATTCTACTAAAAGACTACTAACCATATTTAATAAAATCTAATAATAATGATAATATAGAAACTCGTTTTCCTTAGAAAACGTGTTTCTAACAGCATTGGATGCAAAATTGAATATCTTTAAGGCTTCAAACAAAAGGCTCGAAGTTGCTACGAAGGCTGTTTTTCTGGCAGCTTGCTTGTGCTCGAAGTCTGCCAGAAAACAGCCTTCGTAGCAACTTCGACCCGTTTGTTTGAAGCCTTACATATATCCAATCTTTCATCCATGCCTTGAATTTATATAAAAACATACATAATTTAACATGGTAGAGGCTCCTGGACTCGACTCGCATTCATGCTTCTCGAATTGAGCTCCAAAATAGGCTTCACAAACACGTTTCCAGACTTAGCCATTTCTAGGTAGTTTCCCAGTTTTGGCATACCCTTTTGATGAGGTTCAAAAATGGTCTTCTGGACTTCCTATCGAGCTCTCAATCACTTCAATATGTAGAGGGACACTCCAGCTTCAAAACAAGTCATTAGTCTTCAATTTCCATCTAGCCAATTGTATGATATGAATATCCAAAGTAGGCACCATGAACTGTTTTTACACTGAAACAACAGATTAGGTCGACTTGATCCTATATGAGGTCGACCGGAAAGTGCAAGTCACCGTGACATGAATGTCACCGTAGGCACACCCTAGAAATTATTATATTTATAATCAACACATATGTCACCGTAGGCACACCCTAGAAATTATTATATTTATAATCAACACATATTTCATTTCATTGATTACTTTTGAATTTTTTCTTAAATAAAAAATTTCTCCTACCATTTCATTTCCCCTTAAAATTTCCTTCCCCTCCTAGAATAGAATGTAAGGGATTCAATTCAAGTCTCTCTAACCATGAAGCACAGAGACTGACTGATAGACCGTTAATTACACATGTTTTCACCCCTGTTCTTACACCGTTTGAGATGTGATTTCTCGGGTTTTAGGCCGATTTCACGCTAGGTTGTGCTTGTTTGTGATATTTCAGGTCCTAGCACGTGAATGGAGGCTTGGGAGCGAGTTTTGGGTCGATTGGACGAAGATCGGGCGCGAGACAAGTCAAAAAGGAGGCCACACGGGCACACCCACAACTCACACGGCCGTGCAAGTGACCACTTTGGCCGTGTGAGATTGTGCGAGAGCAAACACAGGCTGCCCTGATGTTCACACGGCCGTGTGAATGAGTGGCTTGGCCGTGCGAGTTTTGCCGAGAGCAAACACGGGCATATGGAAATCTCACACGGCCGTGCGACCCTGGCCGTGTGAGAAGCCTGAAGATCGAACTAATTGGAACGCAGCGTTTTGACTCACACGGGCAACTGGGTATGCCACACGGCCGTGTGGTCCTGCCCGTGTGAGTCGAGATTTCCTGGTTTTAACCCAATTCCGGGCTGCAAGAGAGAGAATCGAACTTTTTGAGCAAAAACAGAGCCCTAGAGAGAGAAAGGACGAAGAACACATCCTAGAAGCTATCTTGGAGCTGGGTTTCATCAAATCAAGCTTGGAGATCGTCATAGGAGTGGAAATCATCATCCCAGAGCAGATTCTTCCCATAATTATGAGTATGACTGCTTTGTATCTTGTTTTCCTCTCTCTCTCTATGGAGTAGAACCCCTCTCCACTTGGGGATGAAGAACCCTAGTTCTATGTGTTAGGGATTGATTGTAATGACTTGGGATGATATTACTGTTTGATTTTAATCGAATGATGCATGTTTATTGAGTCAATTGAAGTCTGATCAACTTTTCCTTATTCCTGCTGCAATCTGAGATAGATAGAATCTGATTAGGTTGCTAGAGTCTCATCATTCGATAGTAGGAGATTGGCTATACGAGAGTTAGCCAGTTGACTACTTTGTACTGGAATCCAATTCCAGTAGTGGAGTTCTGTTCTTACTGCTTCAGCTTTCTATCCCGGTGAAGACTAGTCGTCTGCCGGGTAGATAGACTGAGAGGGCTTGGTCAGCTTAAGAGATTCCAAGCTACTGTCGGATCTTCCGCAGTCTAATCAACAGTAAATCAACCCAGGGAAATACAATTGAAATCCAACTAAGGAGCTAGGGGGATTCATTCCCGAGTGACTCTTACCTGCTTGAGAAAACCGAATAAATTCCTGCTTTATTTCTGCTTTTGCTTTTAAACAACAATCACTTACTTTAGTTGGCTAGATAACAGAGAATCACTGAGTAAGCAGTAGATCTAGACCCCGGGTTGATAATATAACTTGCCTGTTACTGCATTCCCGGTCCGCGATTACACTTGGTCGCAGATTGGTGTTGTGTTTTGGCGTGTCAAGTTTTTGGCGCCGTTGCCAGGGACCCCTCTAGGTTATTGGGGAAACGTGAGAATTTGTTTCTCTAGCTTTTTATTTACTGCATTTTATCTCTTCCACCTGTGTTGCCTTCACGGGTTGCTTTTGCTGATTGTGTGCAGGTAGTGCATGACCTGTAGCCAGTCGGGAGATCTACTACCACTAGACCAGGAGCTTGAACGAACCTGCAAAAACTTCAAGCGGGCTCTAAAGGCGTGACTGGTTGCGGAGGAGGCTCTAGCACAGCTACAGATCACTGAAGAAGAGGAGATGGCTGATCCACAGGGCCATGCTGTGGTTGATCCAGAGGAGCAGACCATGGGACATTACTGGACCGCCAGGGCTGCAGACATGAGGTCACCCATTCAACACCCTCATGTCCCAGCCAATAATTTTGAGGTGAGAACCTCAGTAATCACCATGCTGCGCGGTTCGGTGATGTTCCGTGGCAAAGAGGGGGAGTGCCCCCGATCACATCTCAGGCGATTCCACAAGCTTATTGATGGAATCAAGATCAATGGGGTCCCCGAAGATGCCATCCATTTGAGGTACTTCCCATTCACCCTGTAGGGGCAGGCCAAGGAGTGGCTAGACACTCGACCTTCGGGCTCCATCACCACGTTCGCCAACCTAGCGGACAAGTTCCTCACCCGCTACCATCCTCCGTCGAAGACGGCGGACTTGCAGAAGCAGATCACCCACTTCACCCAGGATGAAGATGAGACCATCCGGGATGCTTGGGAGAGATACAACAGCCTCTTCCTGAGGTGTCCCAATCATGGTTTCAACGATGCTTTCAAGGTGGGAACCTTCTATCACGCCCTCTTCCTGGAGGACAAGTAGCTGATTGATTCGGTCTGTGGCGGGAACATGCTGACCAAAACACCGCCACAGCTGAATCAACTCTTTGAGGAGATGGCGGAGAACGGGTACGATTGGGGCACTGCCAGGAGATCGAGACGAGCACCAGGACGGGGTGTGCATGCTGTAGGCACCCAGACATCTGATTTGGTGCAGGTGGTATCGAAGCTGGTTTCAGCTATCGATTGCTCTGGTTTGATTGCAGGTACAGGGCAGCCGCAGGCGATGCACTGCCAGTGGTGTGAGAGCTCCCATCACACCGTAGAGGACTGCCAGGCGATGAAGGAATCGACAACACCCCAGGAGTAGGTGAACTTCATCAACAATGTTAGGCGCAACGACCCCTATAGCAACACTTACAACGAGGGGTGGCGCCAACATCCCAACTTCTCCTGGGGTGGGGCAAATTCCAGACCACCAGTCCCCCAGGGACCACCGGGCTTCCAGAGGCCGCCATATCAGCCCAGACAGGGGCAATTCCAGCAGCCACAGCAGTCTCTCTACCAGCCCATGTAGGGGCATGCTGCTCCATCACAGCCGCGACCTTTCCAGCAGCCAGGTGCAGCCCCTGCCGCCCCAGTGCAGAATGATCAGATGGCTGAACTGCGGGAATTGGTGGGTTCTCTCGCCAGTTCTAGTGCTCAGAAATTCAATCATATAGAGCAGTTCATGGAAAAGGCATCGGGTAAATTCCTGGCTTTGGAAGCTGGCCAGAGGAACACACAGGCTGTCTTGCAGGATATCCAGACCCAGCTGGGGGGTGTGGCTCAAGCAGTGGCCCAAAGGGCTCCTGGTACTCTACCCGGTCAGACCATCCCTCATCCTCAAAACCCGAATGAGCACTGCAATGCCATCATGACCAGGAGTGGCAAGATGACTGTTGATCCACCTGCTCGGGCACAAGAGAGAGAGGCCCCTGCCTCGGCACCTCCAACAGCTGAAGAAGAAGTAGAGAAGGAGGTTGAGGTGCCTGCACCTAAACCGCAACCAGTAGTGAAGGAGTATATCCCTAAACTCCCCTTCCCTACTCGGTTGCACAAAGACAGGCTGGAGGCCGAGTTCGAGAACTTCATGGCCATGCTTAGGAAGCTGAATGTCCAAGTGCCTTTCGTGGAGGCACTATCTCAAATGCCTAAGTATGCGAAGTTCCTGAAGGATCTTCTCTCAAAGAAGCAGAAGTTGAGCGAGCTGGCCACTGTGGAGCTCAGCGAGGAGTGCTCGGCCATTCTGCAGAACAAGCTTCCGCAGAAACAGAAGGACCCAGGTAGTTTTGCTATCCCGTGCTCTATTGAGAATTTGCATGTAGAGAGGTCCTTGGCGGATTTAGGTGCTAGTATAAATGTTATGCCATATAAACTGTTTAAGAAACTAGGCCTAGGTGAACCCCGTGCTACTAGGATGAGCCTTCAATTAGCAGACCGATCTGTAGTGCATCCTAGGGGCATAGTGGAAGATCTTCTGGTTAAGGTTGGCAAATTCAATTATCCTGTTGATTTTGTGATTTTGGACATAAATGAGGATGTGAATGTGCCATTGATACTGGGAAGGCCTTTCCTGGCCACCGCCAAGGCCCTCATAGATGTGCATGATGGGACCTTAGTTTTGAGGGATGGCGAGGAGCGAATAGCGTTTTCAATTTCTAATACTCGCCCTGCTTCGTCACCTCTGCATGCTGTATCTCGCCAGGAGCACGAGTCTGTCGTGTATCCTTCTGTGTTGCCTATTTTGCAGGATCCGCCTCCCATACCTTCGCCGCCACTCCCGTCCACTCCATCATCGAAGGAACAAATCAGGGAGGAGTGGCGGCCGAAACAGCAGGCAGCTAAACCTGCTCGAAAGAAGGTCGGAGACCACTATGAGCTGGTCCCTCCCCCACCTTGGCCATCCGAGTATTCACTCGCTTGCATCCTGCCGGATGGCCAAGTTGAGTTGGCAAATGCTGGTGGCCACATTCGGCGTGTGCATGGCCATCATTTGAAGTTGTACCTCAAGAGCGAGGTGGATCCGCTCTTGAAGGCACCTGCTCCTTCACCTCACTGAGCATCCACCGACTGGCGTCCAGCTAAAAGATGGTAAAGAAGCGCTTGTGGGGAGGCAACCCCACCTAGGTTTGCATTTTCTTACTTTTTTCTTTTTGATTTTTTGTGTTTTTTGAATCTTGAGGGGTTGTTCACGAGTTGTATGTCGTTCTGGAGTGAAAACAGGTCATTTTCGGAGTTCTGGCAGCTCACACGGCCAGCCTTGAATGTCACACGGCCGTGTGGAAAATAATTTTGGCCGTGTGAGCTCTCGCAGAAATCCACACGGCCAGATGAGATGTTGGCACGGCCGTATGGAAATTAATCCTGGCCGTGTCTGCTCTCGCATAATTTGGCACGGCCAAATGAGCACTCGGCACGGCCGAGTGAAATTCCACGGCCAGCCCGTGTCGGCCGACACGGGCAAAGGTGCTCCTGACACGGCCGTGCGAGCCAGGCCGTGTGGCCGAGACACGGCCTATTTATTCGGCCAGCACGGCCGGGTCGTCAGAAATTTCAAAATCCTCGCCGGAATCCTCTGAACCTCGCCGGAAAACCGCGACAAAACCCCCCTTTTTTCGATTTTTTTGGGGCATTTTTTGTCATTTTCCACCAAACCAACAACAAACCCACCCTTCCTACACTAAAAGTGGCTTATCCCTCCATTTTGGGGAGATTTGGCCGACGTTTTTGTCGCCGGAGGCGATTTCCGGCGACACTCCGGCGAGGCTCCGACGAGCAGTTTCGGGCACTTTTTCGGCTTTTCGTCGCTTCCATCGCCTTCCCCTCATCATCCCCTACACCTCTACTTGAGTCTCCAGGTTTGATTTTGCCCTTAACTATGTTAATTGTGGAGAATTGGGTGTTAGGGTGCATGTTTAGAGAACCTCATTGAATCTTGTGATTTTTGTGCAATTGATTGAGGGGAATGCATGGAGTGTGTTTGAATTGTGTTGGGCAAAGTCCCTCTTGATTGTTTGAGCCCTTGTGTGCAAGAATTGTGCCAATTTCATGCTTACCTTAATAGTGCACACAAGGTGTTCGAAGAAATGCCTGTTTTCGTACCATTTTGTGGGGGTCGGTTGGGGCCCTTAATGATGTGCTTTGAGGGTGTATTTGGTATGGATGTGAACCTTAAGTTGCCTACTTTAGCGTGAACGTGCATCCCCACTCTATTTATGCTTGATTTATCGAGTTTCTGACCCCCGAACTATGGATGACACCATGGTTAGGCTGTTTTCTGTTCTTAAGTGTGGGGGTGTGATTAACATTTTCCTTGGCTGTTTTGGTTCCACTTTGGGCTGTTCTTTTGCAGGACCATGTCGAAGCCCAACCTCCGGCATCAGTATGTTCAAGATTTGAGAAGGGGGGCCCACCGGGATCGTTTTCAGAACGTCCTGGCCTGCAAGTTTGGGCAGCATCATTACTGGTCGAAGCGCGAATTGGAGAAGCTGAACTGCTACGAGCACCTCTCCCCCGTTGTCACCAACAAATACTGGCGCCACCTGCTCAGCATTCGCGCGACGGTTTACCATGAGATCGTGCTTGAGTTCTACACTACCTTCAAGCACGCAGCCACGGCCGATTGGAAGGACGAAGCTGCAGTCCAGTTCCGACTCGACGGTGAACCACGCTCCATGAGTTACGACGAGCTGGCGGACGCCCTCGGCCTCAACCTGGTCAATGACAGGACCTTCATCACCGAGATCGCCGAGCCAGCAGGGGTGGACTTCGGGAGGCTGCACTTCAGCCTCGCTCGGCCACGGCAGCTTCCCTTCAAGGCGGGGAAGACGAAGGCCAGCACATTGCAGCTTGAAAACCGTCTCCTCCATCTCATGCTGGCCAAGTCTTATACCCCCGCCTCAGACAGTGCCAGCGCCATCACCAAGAGATCCCTGTACTTCATCCAGTCCATGCGCCAGAGGGATCATCCCCTACACTTGGGCTCGGTGGTGGCGAGGACATTCGAGAAGAGTGCTTCTGAGCTGAAGAAACTCCACTGCACTCCCCTCATCACCTGCCTGGCAGAGTACTTCCAGATATCCCTGCAGGGGTGCACAGAGCAGGGAGAGACCACTCCCTTTGGCCGGGCTACGCTCACCAAAATGCTCCTGCTTCGAGAAGAGCGAGGTGTCATGTGGATCGAGGGGTTTCCTCAACCTCAGATTCCAGAGGCGGTCCAACAGGAGGTTCCAGAGGGTGCAGCTGATGAGGAGGTCCAGCCCGAGGACGTGGATGACACTGCTGCCGCCCGCCCCACCACCTTCGAGTACGGGGGTGGCAGTTCCAGTTTCCCGGGGCAGGATTACTTCACCTCCCAGTTCAAGCAGCTGCGTCTCCAGAACCAGCAGATCCTCGACCATCAGATGCAGTTCCAGCAGCAGTACGCGGCTCACCAGGCCGAGTACCACCAGAGGATGGCGGGTTACGATGAGAGATTGGACCAGCTCCAGACCCAGCAGGGAATGACTCTCGCACACATCAAGCGGGAGAGGCGACGCTCTTGGCGCATGCAGGAGGTCCAGCAGCATTTACTCCAGCTGCTACCGGGCGAGCAGCCAGTCTGGAGAACTCCCTGGGAGGACTCTCCACTTCCACCTCCCCCAGCGGATGGTGATGATGGTGCTGATGGTGGTGACGCCTTCATGAACGACATCGTCTTCGATCTGGACAACCTCGGCGACGAGTAGGCTGTACTCGTTGCCCCTCTCAGTGTGTTTTGTTTTTTTTTCGTTGTAGACTTGTGTGTGTTTGCTCCATGTGTGAGGAGCTTGAACTTAGTGTCGTTTGTTTTTGTTTTTGTTTGTTTCTTTTGTGGATTGTTTTTGCTGTAGCCGTCTGGGCTAACACTTATCCCTAACACAACGTGTGCTAGTGTGTTCTTGGTGTTCGATTCGTGCAGAACTGTCCATCTTTCCGTTTGTTTCTCGCTGACTGGTCCACTTCCAGTCCCCCAACAGTTTCAATCCGGTAACATCGTTCCCCTTCCCTATCCCTCTGCTCCATTGAGGGCAATGTCGTGCTTAAGTGTGTGTGTGTGGGGGGGGGGGGGGGGTGCTTTGTATCGGTTGGAATGTATATATGTGTGCTTGGAGCCTAGTCCACTGTTCAAATCTCGAGATTTGAGGGCTCCAAGTACTGCTGTTTGATCATATTGGCACTGTGTTTTGATTGATGAATTGAATGGTTTTCGGATTTATGCATGACAGCTTGATTGTGACTAGGACAACCTATGATGAGTATAGGTGTCAAAACATAGCCCGACCCGATTAACCCGCCCGATCAACCCGACCCGCAACCCGACCGCAACCCGAATTGACTAAAACTCAACAACCCGTAACCCGCCCGACCCGCAACCCGATTGACCCGCAACCCAACTAACCCGCAACCCGACTAACCCGCAACCCGACTAACCCGAACCCGATTGGCCCGCAACCCGACTGACCCGCAACCCGATTAACCCGAACCCGATTGACCCGAACTCGACTAACCGGTAACCCGACCGACTCAACCCGAATTTCATCTAATCCACATGAATAATTATAAAAATATACAATACATAGTTTTTCAAAATAAAGTTTTTCATTCTAAACTTAAGAAAAATTATTTTTTCATTTCGTATAAGAAATTTTAAAAATATGAAACTCACTTGATATTACGTATTTTAAGAAAATGACAAAATTGAAACATGAAGGTCACTTGAGATCATGACAATATTAATATAATATATAAATTAAAATTTTAGTTAATTTAACTATTCAATAAAATTATCAATTAAATATAAATAAAGTAAAGTAATGTATTTGGTAATTTGATATTTTTAAAAGAAGAGGGAAATTTTTCTGTATTCAAGTTTTTGGGAAGAGAAAGAAGAGGGAAATTTGGTTCTTTGAATTTTTTAGAAAAGAAAGAAGTGGGAATTTTGGTAGTTTTGATATGTGGGAAGAGAAAGAAGTGGGAAAATTTGATTCTTTTGATTATGAAAGAGAAATAAGGAGGGAAACTTTTGACTTTTCAACTTTTTGTAGAAGGAAAGAAGAGGGTAATTTGGTTCTTTCAATTTTATGGAAAAGAAAGATGAGGGAAAATTGAGTTTTTCTAATGTATGGAAGGAGAAAGAAGGAGTGAAATTTTAGTATTTTTGTGAAAAGAAAGAAGGAAACAAATTTGGTGTTTTCAATTTTTTGGTTTTTCATAATTTTAGCTTTTGAAATATGAATCTTTAACTTTTATATGGAGGGCATGACTAGTTAAAATTATTCTTATATGCTTTGAAGGCTAATATGTATATATGTATGTAATTTCTTATGGTCTAATAAATAAATTAACCATTAGTTACAACAATTGATAATAAACTTGATAAGTAATCTTTGACGATTCGTTGTTTAGGATATAAAGTATATGGTTATGGTATAAGGTACATATGGTTTAGAGTGTATATGGTTAGGGTATAAGATATTGATGGTTTTGATGGTTCTAAGTTTTTTATTAACATATGTTCACTTGAAGTCATTTTAAGTCTTTAACGGCAGGAGATCCCTTTTTAATTTATGTTTATGGTACGTGGTTAGGGTACAAGGTATGTGGCGTAAAGTATAGGATATATGGTTAGGGTATAACAATTAACAAATATCACTTTTTATCTATGTTTTGAAAATCAAAGTATGAATTTTACTTTTAAATTAACTATACTATCAAAATCACAACTCAAGGACATATGGTTAGGGTATAGGTTATGTGGTTAGTGTATAATGTATTGATGGTTTAGGGTATACAATCAACAACATATACTAACTTAAAATTGTTGATTGAGGGTAAAGCTAAGTGTATAGGATATATGCTATTGAGTAAGTTATGATTGTAGTCACAATAATTTTACTAACTTTTATAGCTAATCTTTAATGGTTCAATTTTTAGGATAATTCGAACAATTTTACATATAACTCGTTTGGCAACAGTTTACTAAAGTTATTTGGGCAATGAGTTATTTTGAAATAACTCATTTTATCATTATGCTTTTGCCAAATACCACACGCCAAATACCAGATTTGCATGGTTATACTAAACGAGATACTTTAATCCAATTACTACTGAATTAATACTAAAATATCAAATAAACAATTAACCGTGTCTTTTGGTTGCAAATATTGATATCATCATTACTATTAGCTATAATACTTTACCAATTATGATTAATTACATAACAAGTTTGCAAGTCATACAAATTGATTTAACATTTTGACTAGTTTTTTTCAAAAAAATAAAGTATATATATACGAGGTAGAAATAAATTGGTTAAAAAGTTAAGAAAATATTTTAAATTAGTGTAATAAAATGTGTAAGTTGGTAATGAGTAATGAGTTAAGTTACTTGATGCGCTGGCCCGAACAACCCGAAACCCGACCCGCCCGCAACCCGCCCGACCCAAAACCCGATGAACCCGCAACCCGATTTGCCCGCAACCCGATTGAATCCGAACCCGATGAACCCGCAACCTGACTAACCCGCAACCCGTTTGAACCCGAACCCGATAAACCCGAACCCGATGAACCCGCAACCCGACTAACCCGCAACCCGTTTGAACCCGAACCCGATTGAACCCAGCCCGAACCCGCCCGAACCCGCCTGATTGACACCTATAATGATGAGGACTAAGACGTGCAGTAGAGTTGTGTAGGGGTTCAGTTTTCCAACTGTTTGCTTACCAACTGTGACTTGGATTGATTACTTGTTCTTGACAGTTTTTTATGCATCTAGTTCAGGGTATCAGAATGTGAGATAGAGCATATAGGTAGCCATGTGAGATTTGAGCCTGCTCGTTTCTTTCTTGTGCGATAGATCCCTCTTCCATGATGTGTAGCATTCACGTTGTCACTAGCTAAGATGATGGGGGCATAGGATTAGCCCACGACCAAATTTGACTGTCCTAATATGTCATATCCCCTAGTCAGCCCTTTTGAGCCGTGTGTTATTCTTTCTTTTGGTCTGAAATGGAAAAAAAATCACCCTGTTTACATCTTTTAGAAGGTTCCACAGAGTGGTTTTTACATATTCTCTGCTGTTTCTGCTAAATTTGATGTGAGTGTTGGAGGTAGTGCTTAAAAGTTGAGCTGGGCATGTGTTTGAAATATATGCAGAAGTGGTGGCTCTCTTAAGAAATGAAAAGAAAATGAAAGAAAAACAAAGAAAAATTGAAAGCAAAGAGAGCCACTACAAAAAATCTGAATAATGCCCAGTAAGTAGTGTTCTTAGCAGTCTGGCTTGCAAATGCTGACAGTTATACCTCCTTCGCTCTTGTGCTCTTGAGATATTGAGTAATGCAGAATAGCAGAAAGGAAATACCGGTTTGTTTGACTGTGATTGTTTGGGTTTGGAAATGTGGAACCTTGTGCTATGAATACTTCCACCACTTAAAAGGCCTTTTCCCCATGTCCAAGACCCTAGCCAGTCATTTGAACCTGTGTCTAAGACCTCCTGATTAGTTAGTGGTGACACTCCATATGTGAACTCTAGCGTTTAGAGGCTGCCATCATGGTGAAGAGATGTTAGGGATTGAGAGAAATAGCATGCACATTTTTCGCATCAAATTGTCCTGACCCCACTGGTCGAGAGTGAGTGATTCATTTTCATATTCTATATACTCTTGTACCCCGGTGAGGACCTAGATTGCTCGGTCTCTATTCTGATGTCTTGAGTTGGATGCATGAGTTGACTGTTTTGAGTAAGTGGTTGAGTCAAGTCTAGGTTGGTTGGTGAACAGAAGGGAGACTCTTCCTTTACTCGATTTTGTTGCACTCGAATGTCCTTTGTGGTGGTTGTCCAGGTTGCTATTGAAGTTGGTCAGGTACTGATATTCGAAAACCAGTACGATTCACGTGTTCTGTGCCTTTATGACTTGTCCCCAATGTTGGTTGATTGAAATATGTAAGCTTACCTTGTGTCTGACTTGGTTTGCTTGGGGACAAGCAAACGGTTAAGTGTGGGGGAGTTTGATAGACCGTTAATTACACATGTTTTCACCCCTGTTCTTACACCGTTTGAGATGTGATTTCTCGTGTTTTAGGCCGATTTCACGCTAGGTTGTACTTGTTTGTGATATTTCAGGTCCTAGTACGTGAATGGAGGCTTGGGAGCAAGTTTGGGGTCGATTGGACGAAGATCGGGCGCGAGGCAAGTCAAAAAGGAGGCCACACGGGCACACCCACAACTCACACGGCCGTGCAAGTGACCACTTTGGCCGCGTGAGATTGTGCGAGAGCAAACACGGGCTGCCCTGATGTTCACACGGCCGTGTGAATGAGTGGCTTGGCCGTGCGAGTTTTGCCGAGAGCAAACACGGGCAGATGGAAATCTCACACGGCCGTGCGACCCTGGCCGTGTGAGAAGCCTGAAGATCGAACTAATTGGAACGCATCGTTTTGACTCACACGGGCAACTGGGTATGCCACACGGCCGTGTGGCCCTGCCCGTGTGAGTCGGGATTTCCTGGTTTTAACCCAATTCCGGGCTGCAAGAGAGAGAATCGGACTTTTTGAGCAAAAACAGAGCCCTAGAGAGAGAAAGGACGAAGAACACATCCTAGAAGCTATCTTGGAGTTGAGTTTCATCAAATCAAGCTTGGAGATCGTCATAGGAGTGGAAATCATCATCCCAGAGCAGATTCTTCCCATAATTATGAGTATGACTGCTTTGTATCTTGTTTTCCTCTCTCTCTCTCTATGGAGTAGAACCCCTCTCTCACTTGGGGCTGAAGAACCCTAGTTCTATGTGTTAGGGATTGATTGTAATGACTTGGGATGATATTACTGTTTGATTTTAATCGAATGATGCATGTTTATTGAGTCAATTGAAGTCTGATCAACTTTTCCTGATTCCTGCTGCAATCTGAGATAGATAGAATCTGATTAGGTTGCTAGAGTCTCATCATTCGATAGTAGGAGATTGGCTATACGAGAGTTAGCCAGTTGACTGCTTTGTACTGGAATCCAATTCCAGTAGTGGAGTTCTGTTCTTACTGCTTCAGCTTTCTATCCCGGTGAAGACTAGTCGTCTGCCGGGTAGATAGACTGAGAGGGCTTGGTCAGCTTAAGAGATTCCAAGCTACTGTCGGATCTTCCGCAGTCTAATCAACAGTAAATCAACCCAGGGAAATACAATTGAAATCTAACTAAGGAGCTAGGGGGATTCATTCCCGAGTGACTCTTACCTGCTTGAGAAAACCGAATAAATTCCTGCTTTATTTCTGCTTTTGCTTTTAAACAACAATCACTTACTTTAGTTGGCTAGATAACAGAGAATCACTGAGTAAGCAGTAGATCTACACCCCGGGTTGATAATATAACTTGCCTGTTACTGCATTCCCGATCCGCGATTACACTTGGTCGCAGATTGGTGTTGTGTTTTGGCGTGTCACTGACCGTAGAACTTCGAGGCAATCCTTCATGCAAGTGGTTACGTCTTTTCTTCCACAATTGGCTTACCATAAGGCAAAACAGGATAAAAACTCAGTTTTTATTGCAATTTTAGATATTGAAATTATTTATAATTTTTTTGATATTTTTCGTAAGTATCGAACTATATGAATATTTTAGAGGATTGGGGGTGTTATTTGATATTTTCGTAATAGGGTTACTCATGAGTAGTTTAAATCAATTTTTTAGGCTTCAGTATTTTTTAATCGTGAGTTGGATTTGGTTAATCAAATATACCATCCTTATTCTCTAAACCTAATTATCGCTCCCTTACTTTTCCTTGTCTCCTTCATCCCAATCTTTTTTCTTCCATCATTCTATTGTTCTTCCCAAATCGTTCCCAATACCTAGCTAATTCTCTCATAATATATAATCCTCAATTCTCTCATCAATTATCTATCACTATCATTTGAAGCTCTAGACCCAGGAATTATTATTGCTATCAAACCAGGTTGAGTGCCAGGTTTTATGCAAGAAATGTAGATGTCTTCAACGATGGGATCCTTGCATGAAATAGTTGAGGTTGAAGACATCACCATGGCTGAAAGCTATAAGAAGATTATGTCAATGGTGGTGGCAAACCATTTCTAGTTGGACCAAAAGGTCCAGGAGGTTATGTTCATGATGTAAGAAAAGACATGAAGAAATTTTAGACGGTGTTGTTGGAGCTTATGTACCTGATGGTGGGATCGAATTTCACTATGCAACATATTATAGCCGCAGAAGAAGCCCTAAAGGTCTTGACGGCCTTGTTCCGACGGACAAGTATGCAGAAGTAATATAAATTTTTCCAGAAATAGTACTGTTTAAAAAAATTCTAAAAATAGCACCCAATCCGAAAAAATTCCAAAAATAGCACCATTTTCCAAAAACCTCCACCCGAATAAGCGGTTTAGGCAAAAATCGCCACCCGGGGGGCGCGTTTTTTTATGAAAATCGCACCCCCACCATGCGGTTTGTAATATATATATATATATTTTTTTTTTAAAATAAGTATCACAAGTGGTCTTGACACAACTAGTTTAGTTTTTTATTGTGTGCAAGAAGTTCTGAGTTCGAATCTCCACCATCCCATTTGAATTTTTATTTTTATTTTTAAGAGATAAAAAACCAACATGGTGTGGGAGTGGTGGTTCAAACCCAGATAATAAATAGTTTACAAAATTTAGCACAACATCTACACCACTCAACTACAACTCTTCTCTTGAAACAATAATATATTGACAAAGTTTTACTCATTGAAAGCTAAAAATTCTCAATAACTTTAAACAACCATAACTTTGTGCTCCAAAATCCGAACGTCATGAATTTTTTTTCATTTCGCATAACTTTTTAAGGACTACAATTGTTACTAGGAATGAATTTTTAAAACAGGAAATATATTTGGATATACATGATTTTGGGAATAGCTTACTTTCCCTTTTTCAGCAATCCACGTACATTTCGAAATTATGTCTATGATAAAAGTTGTAGTCCTTAAAAAGTTATGCGAAACGAAAAAAAAAAATTCATGCCGTATGGATTTTGGAGCACAAAGTTATGGTTCTCCAAAGTTTGACGAAATCGGAAAAAAGCTCGTTCGGGGTAGCAAATGAAATTTTTCGGAATGAAGGCGAGACCAAACCGCCTTTGTCGGTTTGCGGCTTGCAAGATCTCGAAAAGTTATGCGGAATCAAATAAAAAAATCGCGACGATCGGATACCCGAACACAAAAATACGTTCGTTTGAAGTTTATACCTAGATTAGGAATTTTCAAAAAAAAAAAAGAAAGAAAAAATAGTCCAAAACCGCATGGTGGGGGTGCGGTTTGCAACCAAACCGCCACGGCCCCATGCAGTTTGCAAAAATGCCCCTACCCGTGAGGTTTTCATCGAAAAACGCGCCCCGGGTGGCGGTTTTCGCATAAACTGCTGGTTCGGGTAGCGTTTTTTGGGAAAGGGTGCTATTTTTGGAATTTTTCCAGGTTGGGTGCTACTTTTGGAAAAGAAATTTAAACAGTGCTATTTCTGGAAAAATCCCGAAGTAATAGGAATGGTGGCGGCTTCCTCCTTGGTGGTGCCTCTTCCCTCATCTTCGGCGCCAGCGGCGGAGGAGCAAACTGGCCAAGCCGCCGCTTTAGGGTTAGCTGGGTAATGACACTCAATTTCTATTGTTTATCACTCTCATATTTGATGCATTTCGCCCTTCTATCAATGCATCTGTATTAGTTTTTACTATATTTAATATGGAATTCGTGATATTTGGATAAAATGCTTATGATAGACCTGAGTGTGTTTCTGTACTATTGGATAACCGGCTAACCGACCACCACCGAAAACCACATGTAGTAGCGGCCTCCCCCATCCTTTCGATCAAAACAAAAAATCCACCAATCTTCCTCAAACCCTAAAAAAACACCTGAATGGCCGCCGTCGCGCCACCTTCTTCCCCGATGGTTCGTCTGTCGATCCGCTCCACCTTCGGACTTGCTCTTCCCAGAAACCGTCCCCGCTCCTCCTCCTTCGGGTCGCGCAATAGTGAAGACGCGCGCAAGCAACAAAAGAAACGAAGCTCGACAGCTCCTCCTCCTTTCAGCCTTCCTCTTCCCCGTTGCCGCTCAGCCTTCTTCCCCGACGATTCGTCCACCGCTCCTCCTCCTTCGCATGTGCAGCAGGGGAGAAGCGCGCGAGCAGCCGAGGAAACGGATCTCGACAACTTTTCATCCTTCCGGCCTTCCTCTTCACCGTCGCCGCTCCGCCTTCTTCCCTGCCGCGCAGCTTGCCGTCGAGAGGGGTGGCTGGTCGCCCCCTCCTGCCTCGCTCGCCCCTCCTGCCAGTCCGCCCTCCTGCCTTCCACTTCCCATCAACAAGATTTTGGTTGCATGGCTAACCAAACCCAAAATTGGTTACTAACCGGTCAGTGGTCGGTTAACCGTGCGTCCGTCTTCGGTCGGTTGTCAGAAGCCACTGGGAGGTGGTTCGGCTAATCTCTAAGTGAATATTCAGTTTTTGGTTAAACCGAAATTGGTTCATATAATTTAGGTGGTCAAGAATTTATCATCTACTGGTATCCCATTGTCTTACGTATGCTTGTTTAGTTGGACGCATCTATGCATGTTTACATGAGATCAATCCTATTCTTAGATCATCAATGCTATAGACTATGATTATGGTTCGTAGAAGCCTACAATTAAAGATATGTTATCCTAACTTGCTTGTGTTTCATTGATTAGGTGATGTAATTAAGCGAAAGTACACATTAGCTAATCAAATCTCTATCGCAAGAGGCACATGCGCGGGTAGAAAGTGACATTTTTGAAAAGGATAGGGAATTATAATAGATGATGTAGAGATGCATCTTATTTAGGAGATCATATGCGTTACTATCTAGAAGAAACTAGCTAAACATTACTTTCAATCTTTCATTGCTACCGTAAAAAAAAAAATCTTTCATTGCTTGCGTCTTTGTTTGTTTTTTTATTGCATTAGTAGTATAGTACACGAGTAGATGGCACGTCAACCCACCTAGTTTTACTTTCTTGCATTGCATTTATTCGAATTAAATTGGTTAGATTTTAGTAGTTACTATTAAAAGACTGTGAGAACCCCGCTTCTAGGGATTCTCGATACTGATCTTCGGCACTCGTGATAATTAGGGATTTAGGGATTGAGATTAAGAATTAGTGATTTAGATGAGAAGGATAGAATTGGGAATCGGCCGAGGCCTTGGACTAGGATGAGACGAGAAATTAGGAGTTGAGAGGAGAGTTTAGGGTTTAGGAGACTTTGCTTAATATTCTTCTTGACTGATTATGATGTAAACTCAAAGTACATATTTATAGAGAAATACTGGAAAACCTTAATAATAATCCTAATACGACTATATCTCTACTAACCATAATTATAATTATCCTACCTAATATAATAATAGAAATTCCAAATAAATGTGTTTCTCACAAAGACCTTGTGTAATACGATGATAGCTATAACTAGAATTTTTTTTTTATCACTTGTATATTTACTAAAAAAATCTCCGACAACGGGGTCAAAAACCTGTATCACCAGTATACAAGTCTTGTGCTACAATTTCGTGGTATTTTCGAGAGGGAGTGGACGTAACCCTCTCCCATGTGTTTATGATCAAGAGTAATTTTGTAGTTGATTGTTTGACTCATACATGCCTGTCTGTTTCTTTTAGTTGTCATATTGTTTTCTAACATGACTATGAGGTTTGAAATTGGGGTTTTATGACATTATGGGGACTTCTGACCACTGTCAGATTCATGTTATGAGGCAGTATTGTAAGAAACCCGTTTATGATAAAAAAATAATAATTATTATATTATACAGATATAAATGGATAGCTCTTTGGAGATCATACTTAATTTCAATCAAACTACTTTTTTAAAGAATAATCAAACAACTTAATCATGCATAATGATATTATTATTCCTTTCCAATACTTACTTGATCATTTGAGAATATTTTCATTAGTTGAAAATATTGAAAACGTTATCACACATAATCAATCATAAGTTTTAGCTACAAACTTTGCAAGAAATGTATATGAACAAAAAAAAAAACCCCATAAAACAAAGTCTAAACTCTAAACTAGGTTGTTGGGAATAAATCAATATAGAAGATTGATAAAAAAAATAGAACACAAGTAGCACAAGAGTGAGATTTTATTTTTTGAACATTAAGAGTTAATATCTTTAGAAAGCAACATGTATAAAATTCTTACATTAGGGATCAAATTTATGGATTGAGGGCATAGCGCATTGAGCTAAAAATTAAATCTCATTGATATTGTATTAGAACTTACATAAAATTATAGTGAGTATCATACTAAAAATATGATTACAAATAAATTGCATCAACATGAAATATTGACATTACATAACTGATAATGATACAAAAATATTCGGCTAATGACCACGTACCAAGCTAGTACAAGGGTTTAAATCGTAAGGGAATGTTTGGATAGAATGATTTGGATTTGGTATTTTTATTTTAGATTTTGATTTTTAAATGCCAAATCATTTGTTTGGATATTAATTATATTTGGTATTTGGATTTGTACCAAAATCATGGAGTGATTTCCAAATACATATCTAGTGTATTACTTGTCAATTTCAAATACATTTTAAGAACTAGCGATTTGAAATACCTCCTAACAAAAGATTGGACCCAATTGTAAAATTTTATGTATTAAATTGTAAGAAAAAATAAATTTGATAATCAAAATGTACCAAAATTTGTAATAAGAGACACAAAATTAAAATTAAAAAATTGAAACCTAAAATACCAACAAATTACAAATAAACATCCAAACAACGAATTTAAGTTATATTTATTTCAAATAATAGTATTTCAAATACATACATTTTAATATATTATATTTGAAATACATCTATAAGAATCATCTATGTTTCACATGAAAAAGAAAACGTGGCGGGCACACCAACAAAACGCAGCGAAAGCTAGCAGGCAACGAGACTAAATAAATATGTGCATGATATATGCCTTGTTTATTTTAAGTTTTATTTGGATCTTTGGTAATACACGCATTAACTATTTTAATGCTACATTATACTTAGAATCACTCGCTCAAGCCTCAAGGAACATATGACATATCCAATAAAGTTCTCATAAAAAAAAGACATCCAATAATAAAATCCAAAATAATGCGTTGCATATCCAATAAAAAAAATGAATGAAATTGTCATCTACTCATCTAGTCATGAAAACTTCTACTATACTATAAAGTATTGGTGTTTTAATGTACAACTTCAAGTTGTACCTTAACATCAAATGTATAAGTTCAAGTTGTACAAAAAAGAAAATCGTACCCTTATGTTGTGGAACTTAAAATTGTACCATTATATAAAGGTGCAATTTCAAGTTGTATTATAAAAAAATTTGTCCAAAAAAATATAAATACAATCTGAAATTATACCATAACATTAAATGTATACTTCAAATTGTACCATAAATGCAAAATCCTATAACACCAATTATATATATATATATATATATATAACATTGTAAAATTACTCTCTTGTCATCCCAACGGTACTCTTCTATATATAGCTTCTTCCTCTTCATAAGCTTTTATCATCCCAAAACGAAGCTAAAGAAAACCACCAAAACCTACCTTTGTTTCACCATATAATAACTTCAAAAGCAAACCCGATATCATGGCGACAATACACCTTCAGAGCGGTGTGTTGCAGTCCACACGGCGACTTCCTTCTCCAAAATTGCCCCTCTCCGCCACCATCTGTAATATTTCCGGTGGCGGTTTCTTCAAAAGAAACAAAAGCAGAATGCCCGTGTGTCAAATTGCTGGGCGGGAAATTCAAATTCAGAAACTTGATTCTCCCACCACTGCCGAGAAGAAGAAGAAAATGAAGAAGCGGTCCATTTACGACCCCACAACTCAGATCTACTCTTCCCCGAGACCACCACTGCAACTTCCGGCCGATCAAAATACGTCCCTCACCGACTTCCTCTTTCGCTCTGCCGCCTCACATCCCGATTCCGTCGCCCTCATCGATGCGGAATCCGGCGAGACCATGACTTTTCACCAGCTCAGATTCCACGTCAGCAGGATGGCCCACAACCTGCAAACCAAGCTGGGGGTCTCCAAAAACAACGTCGTTTTAATCGTCGCTCCCAACTCCATCCACTTCACCGTCTGCTTCCTCGCAATCGTCTCCATCGGCGCCATCGCCACAACTTGCAATCCTCTTTACACCGTCGGTGAGATGTCCAATCAGATCAGCGACTGCAATCCCAAGCTCATCATCACAGTCCCTCAACTGGTCGACAAGATCTCCGATTTCAATCTGCCCCTGATTTTGCTGAATAATGGTACTAGTGATTCGTCCTCAAAATCGGACAAGAACGACGTCTTTTGCCGGTACTCGGACCTAATCGGTGAGTATTCTGAGGCGGCCGCGGCCGCTGGAGCAGAGGAATTCGAATTCCCAGCGGATGTAAAACAGAGCGACACGGCGGCGCTGTTCTACTCGTCAGGGACGAGCGGGAAGAGCAAGGGAGTGGTTCTGAGTCACGGCAACTTCATGGCGACGTCGAGGATGGTGACTACAGATCAGGACGAGCTGGAGGAGCCGAAAGGAGTGTCACTCTGTTTCTTGCCGATGTACCACATCTTCGGATTCGCGGTGTCGACTTACGCGCAGCTGCGGCGGGGGAACGCCGTGGTGGCAATGGAGAGGTTCGAGTTGGAGAAGATGCTGAGGAGCATTGAGAGATACAAGGTCACACAGATGTTCGTGGTGCCGCCGGTGATGGCTGGCCTGGCCAAGGCGTGGCCTGCCATTTCGCAGAGTTTTGATTTGTCGTCCCTCACCTTGATTTTCTCCGGGGCGTCACCGATCGGGAAGGATCTTATGGTGGATTGTGCTAAGAATTTGCCCCACGTTAATATTCTCCAGGTATGTGCTGATAATTAATCGGAAAAAAAGAGAAAGAAAATGAATGCTTAAATATTGCGATGTTGTATTGAACAATATCTTATTCGTTGAACTCAAATCGAAATTTTTTTCAAATAAGAACTCTATATCAATGGTAAACGAGTTGAGTTGAGTTTTTCTTAGTTTGAACTTGACTTGTTTATAAAATTTTCAGCTCGAACTCGCATTTACATAATTCAGCTCGAGCTCTGCTCGATTAAAAATAATCTAGATTGAGCTCGACTCAAGATGAGCTCGATTTGAAATCATTATTGCTCGAAAATGTGTACACACAATAGTTTAAATGATAAACAAAACACTTGAAACTATAACTTAAAACTAGTTTGCGTACACTTCCGTATTAACAAGATAATATTCATGTTCAGAAGAGTAATTAAGCATTTCACAAACTCTAAGCAAGTCAGCTTGCGGGCTTAACTCAACAAGCCACCAACACAAGCTAGCTCACGAGCTTATCAAGATGAGCATGGTCTACCTCAAACTTGACTTGTTTACTAACGAGTCGGCTCGCGAATCGGCTTGCTAATAAGATGTCGAGTGTCAAACGAGTTTTCTCCGATTCTAACGTCGAGTTGCTTGCGAGCGGTTTGACTCATTTGCAGCCCTGGTATTAACACATCTTTGAAACGTTCACATTTTTCGTTTGTCTTAATGAAGGGATATGGCATGACCGAAGCTTGTGGAGTTATATCGGGAGAGGATGCCAGGGAAGGAAATCGTCATTCTGGTAGCTCCGGAATTCTCTGTCCTGGGGTTGAGGCTATGATTATAGATATTGAGACATTTAATCCGCTTCAACCTAATCAAATCGGGGAAATATTTTTTCGAGGACCTAATGTAATGCAAGGTGCGTAATAGAAGGCCTTGTAATTTCTTTACAAAAATTCCCTACTAATCTTTTAAAACATTTGGATCGAAAAAAAAAAAATCTAACTCAAGAAATGGAATTCGACTTTCTTTTTTTTCAGGCTATTTCAATAATGATGAAGCTACTAAGCAAACAATAGATGATGAAGGATGGGTGCACACGGGAGACATTGGATACTTTGATGAACAAGGGCAACTATTTGTGGTGGACCGACTCAAAGAGTTGATTAAATGCGGTGGATTTCAGGTAACTATTCGAGTAGTAAATTCACTAATTTTATATTTAGAAGGAAAAAAAATTCGATTTCTTTAGCAAATTATATGCAACAGTATCTTAATTTGCATAGCATATGAAAGAATAATCTACCGTTGTAGGTTGCACCGGCAGAACTTGAAGGCCTGCTACTTTCCCACTCAGAGATAGTTGACGCTGTTGTTCTTCCGTGAGTGGGGCGACCAAATAATATTTCTTTTGATATTTCTTTTAAATACAACATGAAAGAGCCTTATAATATGATGTATAATATTATGAAATATATTATAAGGAATTAATTAATAATGGAGTTTGGGAATTTTGGTGATACAGGTACCCAGATGTTAAAGCCGGTGAGGTCCCTATTGCATATGTTGTGCTTAGCGACCCAAAGAGCTTGCTTAGTGAAGCAAACGTGCAAGATTTCATTGCAGCACAGGTGATCAGGAATTAAGTGTTTATTATTGAGCAGTAGATCATTATTTCAAATGAAATTTTAATTTCTTTGTGTGTTAATTATTATTTGAGCTTTTGATTATCTTCAGGTTGCATCATATAAGAAGCTGAGGAGAGTGAAATTTGTGGACCAGCTTCCAAAGTCTCCAACCGGGAAGACACTGAGAAGGGAACTGATTGCACAGCTGCGATCCGAGGCGGAAGAAGCATGCATGCAAACGCATGTAGAACCCAAATCAAGTTAAGGGTTATGAGAATGAGACCCAAGATCAGACTGAAACACACAGAGATTTCTAGTTTTCATAAATATGATTTCTCTTTGAGATTTATGCTTGTCACAGTACTGTTTCTCGATTCTCGTTTTCATCCTCTTTAAGATTTCAACAGAAGAATTTGTGGGTTGGATTTGTTAAATGCAAATGAGACGTGTGAAATAGGGATGGCATTGGGGCGGGTTTGCCTAAACTATCCCCATTTTCAAATACCCAAACCCATACTCGCCTCATACCCATGCAGGGGAATGTTTTGCAAACCCATCCCCATACTCGTGGGTTTCGAGTACCCATGGGTAATACCCATATCCGTACATCCAACATTATTATACCTAACAGTTACAAGAAAATTTTTAATTATAACTCTAAACGAACATATTATATCAGGAAGTCAACAAAACACACTCATTTTTTTAATATGGTTCAAACAATATGATCCTAAAATATTCATTAATACATAATATAGAGTATAATATTTTTCAAATAATCATGTTCTAACTCTGATACATTTACTAAGTAATAATTAACTAACATAATCTTGTTGACAAGGGGGAAAGTGAAAGAGTGAAATGAGAATTGAGAGAAATGAATTGGATTTTGATTAAGATGGTCACTCAATTGCATTTCTACTATTTATTTTCTCAAGTTATCCTCATCATCATTGATAGATTATAATTTGATGTACATATTTTTTTATATATGAAGAAATTCTATTGGTGGGGCGGGTATGGGTATGAGTATGGGGCGGGGGAGGCTAAAACCAAACCCGCCTCATACCCATCAAAGTTTTTGCGGGTTTTACCCATACCCGCCCCATATCCCCGCTTTGACTGGGTCGGGGGCGGTCGGATACCCGCGGCCATGGGTTTGATTGCCATCCCTAGTGTGAAAGTTTAAGGGTAAATACTATATATTAGCTAAACGTTTGATTTATTAAAAAAAATAGTAAAATCTTAAAAAAAAAACAAAATAATAGCCAAATCGTTAACTTTGTGTTCATTGACCGTCGGTTGACTCTAACGTGGCAACTTAATTGTTGAGATGAAAATGTTTGTGACGTGACTACTTAATTGACCGCCACATCATCATACAACACATTAAAATTAAAATTCACATGATTTCCCTAATATCTATTAGTTATCATTTAAACCAATAAAATAAAAATCAATAAAGTAAACCCTATTCCACAGTTGGGCCGATGGAAAGAAGGCGATGGAGGCAAATCGGGTGAAAATGAAATTTTGAAACCCAATTGATCTTGACGAGAGTACTCCACCATCCGAGGACCCTGGACGAGGTTCTTGTGGCGGAGGGTGGCGATGATGGTACGCTTGGCCAAGAATTACATTTTCCTAGACAAACAAGACAAGAACTAGAATCCAAAGAAGGAGATACTAGACAGATGGTAAGAAAATGAATTCCCGTCTGGCTGTGTTTTTCCTTTCTTCTTCGTCGGTTGAGCTGCTTTATCTGCCACCGCATCGCTCACTCCTTCTCTCTTTGCCTTTCTTCGGCGGGCGGTGGGTCAGGGTATGACAGTGGGTGAAGATTGAAGAGGCGGTGGGGATGAGGATCTACTCGTGAGGATGTGGAGGAAGGATGGAGGTAGAGAAGTGGACCGACTCGGCTCCGATGCTTCCTCTGCTCCAATAAAGGATCGAGTGAGGGTATATTTTATTTCCCCGATCTGTAATTGCTTTGGTAGAGAGGAGAAAGAATGGCGATTGGGTGGATGCTGCTATTTATTATTGGCTCCCAAACTCCTTGTCGCAAGTGGGGAAGTTTCTAGTGCATTTTTTTACCGCACTCTCTCATTTTACAATATTTGTGTTAAGATATCGTTTACTGGGTCTACAACTATTCTCCATTGGATTTTCTATTGCATTTTTTTACCAATAGGTTTTTAGCTATTGTTCATTGGTTTCTCGGTTGCGGCTATTATCCTCTACGTTTTCGCCAATGGCCTTTTGCCCAAATCATCGCCTCGGTTGGGTACATTGTGAATTTGTTAAGAACTCGGTTCGACTCGGTCAAAACAAGCTGAACACAAAGTTTGACGAGTTTTGGGTCGAGATATTTTATGCGCTTTAATATTTTTATTTATCTTTTTTCTTTTGGTTGAGAATGAAAATTATCCTAGACCCACTGTTGATGAGTTTTGCATCGAGATTGAGTTTTATCCACTTTTGTAATTAGCAGGTTGGGTCGAGTTTCCATTTGATAAAAACTCTATTTGACTCGGTCAAAGCGAGTTGAAATCGATGGTTAGAATTTCTGGTCGGGAGTGTGTTTTATCCGCTTTAGTATTTTTTTTTCCCTTTTCGTTGAGAATGAAAATTGAACCCAATGGTATCTGATCTAATTCGACCAGTTCAAAGCGACTTGAACCCAATGTTTACATTTTTTTGGTCGGGAACGAATTTTATCCACTTTTTGAATTGGTGGGTTGTGTCGGGTGTGAATTTTTAAAAAATTTGGTTCAATCCGGTAAGAGCAAGTTGAACCTGGTGTTGACTAGTTTTGGCCTGGATTGGGTTTTATCCACTTTAGTTTTTTTTTTAATTTCTATTTTGTGTTTTGGTTGAGAATGACAATTGAACCCAAACCCATTAGTATCCAATCTAATTTGACTCAGCCAATGCGAATTGAACCTACTCAAACATGCGATCAACCCGATCATAAAAAAGAAAAGTAAATTAAGATGAACTTAAACCCAACAAAATAATCAAACTAAGTGAAAAGAGTACAAACTGAATAAATAGCGTCATGGGAGAAGTTCAAACATAGAAATATCTGTTCAACAATCCTTCTCCCTTATGCAAGTTCTTCGCTGCGTCAACATCATTTTGTTGTAGTTGACAAGCCCATAGAGAATAAATTAATAATGAAATAAGATTTATCTCATTATTGGTCAATATTCAAACTATTATTTTTTGAAAATATAATGTTCTTACTTACACGCAAAGTCGTTAGCGAGTGAGTTTATGCTGGTTTCTAATTTATAGGCTGGTCAAGTTGATTTGTAGAATGATTTTTCATGCTTCTATCTTTTTCTGAGATTAATGTTACTCAAGACTCGTGCGAGTCCTAAAAAAACCTTGTTTATTCAAGTAGCTTGGCAACTTTTAACTCTTAACCGAGTTATAAGGAGTTGGAGGAGCATAACGCATTTGGTCTATGGTTCGCACGGCTAGCTAGACAGGTAGGGGGAACCTATAGATCATTTGTTGACGGTACAAAATAGGGAAAGGAAAAGTCTATTTTCTGGTGAACAACCTTTGTAGGCAGTTTGTTGATTTTGCGAAAGATTTTCGATGAGGTTCCCCCTTTGTTTGCTGTGGGGAAGGATCTTGTTTTGAGTGAGCTCAACCTTCGAGAATTTAGGAGGAAGATTTGTGATGGGTATTATACTGTTGCTTTTTTCATTTGGTGTTGCCCCTTATTTTGATGTCACTCTTGTGGCTCTGCAAGATAAGCATCCCATCTCCCCATCTCCCTCTCTTACGACTTTACCTGTGGATCATCCTTTGATTGCCTCTTCATCTGTTGTTTTGGATATGATTAGGAGCTTTCCTCGTGGTACTTCTTGCGAGAGGGATGGTTTTTTAGCTCAACACTTATGGATTGTTTAGGGGGTGTTGTAGTTGCTATCTTGGATGATTTGTGGGCCTCTATTACTCAGATGGTCAATCTTTTCCTTGAGGGTCAATTTGAACTCTGTCCGAATCCCAAATCACCAAACCTTTCAAATCTAACTCTGCAAACAAAGACGCCTACCAAGTGATCACCGATCGATGCGATTGGCCGCATTAGGGATTTCCGCAACGGTAAGAAGAAACTCAATTCATTATGAACACAAACCCTGTTCATTGATGGAGGGTCGAGCCAGAGAATGAATCTGGATGGAGGGAGATGCCTTTGCAATAGATTCGTTAATAGAGAGATTCGATCGTCCGAGGGCCACCGGAGGGAGGCAGAGGATTGGCGGAAGGTGAGGGTTGCTAGGCCCTGGAGGCTACAGTTTAACAATTCATAAAAAGAAAATTATCAATTGATTAATATTCATGGAGGAAAAAATAGTTATTAAGCGAAAAGAGGAGGGGCAAAATAGTGATTTCCATCTAGTTTTAACGGTTAGTTAACAGAATTCTTGGCAAAAGGGCACCATTAGTAGTAGGTTATGTTTGTGAAAAAAAAATCATATAAGAGTTTATTTATTAACTTGTAATAGTAAAAGAGTATAAAATACCATTAACTCTAAAAATAATAATAAATAATGATAAATAATAATAATAATAATAATAATAATAATAATAACAACAATAGGGTATGTCTATGGTGACATGCATGTCACCGTAACTTGCACTTTTAGGTCGACCTTATATAGGATTAGGACAACCTAATATGCACTTTTAGATCGACCTTATATAGGATTAGGTTGACTTAATATGCCGTTTCAGTTTTGTGAGGTTCAACGACGCGGTTGACCTTTTATAGCAAATAGTCGACCTCTTGGGAAACGCATGGATGACATGTACGACTACATGAGCCAGATTTCCACCCAGATGACTGGCATGTACGACTACATGGGGCAAATAACCACACAGATGAGCACACTGCAGGTGATAGTGAATGAGATGCGAGATGAGTTTCGATCTCTCAGTGAAAGATACATGCATGTCACCGTAACTTCCGACTACCATAATGCTAGCAACACCAATGAAGAAAATGTGGATGAGGGAGAGAGGAGTAGGAACTCGATGATTTTAGATTGTGTGTTTTTATTGTTAAGTGTTACTAACGATTGTGGATTGATATTATGTGGTTTTAGATTTTAGTTATGTGTGAACAATTATGATTTGTGTTTTATTGTATTTCGTTTTAGTTTGTTTAGTTGTTATGTTATGAAGTTATGAGTCCTTGTTATCATTATTTATGACTGATTCTGTTGGTTTGAACCGTAATTTGTACGAGCAAAAGAACCACCCACATCGCTTATCAAAGAGGTCGATCATTTGCTATAAAAGATCAACCACGTCATTGAACATCACAAAACTGAAACGACATATTAGATCGACCTAAAAATGCATATTAGATTGAACTAATCTTATATAAAATCGACCTAAAAATGCAATTACGTAGCAAATTCCTAATAATAATAACCCGTCCTTAAATGATTACAAATTCCAAGGCCTTTCTGGCCTTGTGCGCTGTCCGCTGTGACTTGTATTTTAAATTTTAATCATAAAAACATGCGCTGCTTGTTGGCGTTGACTTCTGAACTAATAGTCTAATGCACAATAAAACAAAACCCAGTACTTTCTATTCTTGACAAACAGAAACCACGTCGAAACAATACAACCCACGTTCTATTTGTTTTATACTTTCTAATTTTGATCAATCAGAATATTTTTTTCCTACTTGTATTTTAATCGTAAACGACGGCTTTCCTTCCTCCTATCCTATATGAAGTATATAAACTCCTCTGTTCGTCCTCCCGCATTTCTCTCCAACACGTTCACATACAGCTTCTCCCTTCCTCGCAGCCATCGTCGCCATAGCCGCGGAGGTAAAACTGCTCTCCCCACCGCACCACATTTTGCAATCTCATCTTTCTATTGTTTGCAAATCCATCCCTGTTAGTTCTTTGTTGTCGTTGTTGCAAGAAGTCCAATCACTTCCTTCGCCAGTTTTTTGTTTTTCCCCCATTGGCTACTGTAAATGCGAAAAGTTGAACTAGTCTTTTGCTGCGAGGAATCTCACACTGTTTTATATATATATAAGGTGATGTAGGTTTCATTTTTTATTTATTAATATATTATTTAACGGATTTGAACCTGGAGGTTCGAGGCTAGTGGTATTACCACTAGATCAAATACTTGTTTGTCATGCCGTTTTTTCCTTTACTTTCGTTCTTCTGTCTTAATTGAGATTTTGGGAAATGCCGATGTTGACTGCTATAAGTTTTTACGATGGTATATAGCATTAGTGCTATAAGTTTTTGCCTTTATTATACAACTTGAAATTATACCTTTAACGTTATCGTACAACTTCAGATTGTACCTATACTTTTTGTACAAATTCTTTTATGGTACAACTTCAAGTTGTAAAGTTGTACCATAACATAATGATACAAATTCCTTTATGGTACAAACTAAACTTATACATTTAATGTTATGGTACAACTTCAAGTTGTACATTAAAGCATCAATGCTATATAGCACAGTAGAAGTTCTCTTATTATTAACTTTTGGTTAACATGTATACTTTAACACCAAAAAATTAAAATATTTTTTTTTTGGCTAACACACACACATATATATATATATATATATATATATATATACACACACTGTTAGCACTTATAAGGAATACTCGGAAATCATTACTTTGTGAAAACTTGATCTCAAATTTTAGTGTTTCTAACCTGTTATTTGAAATATATATGTTTATTCTTAATACTTTCTAAAAAATTAATCTAAGATTTTTTGTTCCTAATTTGAAATATATACTCCTACTACTGAAAGGTATATACCATCTGTGAAAATTAAAGTTTGAAATTTAACTAAGAATCATTAATGTTAACTAAAATAATAAGAGAATATATAATCTCTTCCATATAGTCATTTGTAGTACATGACTTTGAAAGATCAATTTTATTTTCTATTGCTAAAACTTGTGTTTACTTCGTCGTAAATTTATGAAAAATATTATTCAATTATTTATTTGTGTGATTTTTCAAAAATATACGAAAAATATTTTCATTATTCTTTCATCGGAAATTTTATTTGACGGTCGCTAACTTCAAATCCTGCCTCTTCCGTGGTTGCCTGCAAAAATGTTCCACTAATGAATGAAAAAATGAATCAATGAACACTTCCGTTTGGGCTTTTGCTAAATTTTTATTAATATAGTTTTTTTTTTTTTTTTTTTTTATCTTGATTAGGCCTGAAGTTCTTGGTGAATGTCATGGTTAAAATCTTGTTCCCGTTCTAGTTATTTTTCATTTCTTGCTACTTGTTATGCGACCTTGAGTACCTAAATCCTAATTGGCTAACTAGTTCCATTATGACAATCTTCCAACACGCTTGGAACTCTTTCCAACATTACCCTGCCTATTTTGTCAATTGCTTATGCTTCTTGTATTATGCTCTTTCCAATTTCTCCTTAGTGGTTTCCATTGGTTATTCTGCAATTTGATCTTCGTTTTGGGCTCCCAGAACTGTGACCATAAGAAAAGAAAGAATGGCTGCAGCTGCAAATCCTACTACAGGTGTGGCAACAGCAAGGACGTGGATCTCTTCCCACCAAAATTTGTTCATGTCGACCGCAACAAGTTTGAGTACACAGTCTAAAACTATCTCTTTGAGCTATTCATTCTCCCAGAAGTTAAATTCAGTGATTCTGAAATCGAGACCAGCTGTCGCAATAAAAACAACATCAAGCTCAGCAATTGAGACCTCAGCCAAAGAGACCAGCAGTTTGCCAGGACTTCTCGTCGATTTACGAGGTCGATTATTCTCGTTTCCTTGTTCGTCTATGCTTTGGCAGTAGTAGTAAATTAACCACTTGTTTCAACAATGATTCATTTTTAGAAAAGTTCACCGCATTTTTCTACATTTATGGCAACGTTACTGGAGAACCATCTAATGACAAGGGAGTTAACTATTCACAGGCAAGAGAGCTTTCATTGCTGGTATAGCTGATGACAATGGGTATGGTTGGGCCATAGCAAAATCACTTGCAGCAGCTGGAGCTGAAATTATTGTTGGTACTTGGGTGCCCGTATGTAAACAAACTTATCCAAATTCAACATTCTGTTTCAATGATACAGTTCCTTCAAGTACGAGATATTGGTTGCAGTTACTAAATCACGATTCTTTTCCAACAGGCTATGAATTTTTTTGAAAGCGGTCTAGAACGTGGGGAGTTCGACGAATCTCGTGTGTAAGAATATTATCTGCAGAACTCCCAAATTTTATGGACAATGTCCTGTTTAAGTAATTTATATATACAGATTCCTATGTGAACTTTCGACAGGTTACCCGACGGTTCTCTAATGGAGATCAGTAAGGTGTACCCAATGGATGCAGTTTTTGATGGCCCTGAGGATGTTCCTGAAGATGTAATTAATCACAGCACCTTCATTTCCTATGTGCTATATATTACAATATGGATTAGGCAATGACATGTATAAATAATTTGTGCAGATGAAAACAAGCAAGCGCTATGCAGGATACTCCAAATGGACTGTGAAGGTAATCTTTTTTCATTATAAAAAAGCTAATGCATTGTACCTTCTCTTTCATTCTAATTGAGGAATGACTTCCTTGGGTGATGTTTTAGGAGCTTGTGGAATCAGTGAAGCAGGATTTTGGTAGTATCGACATTCTTGTCCACTCTCTTGCTAATGGGCCAGAGGTCTGTTTAGGAACTTCTTTTTTTATTTTTGCTTTGCAATGTGTTGTTGTTTGTCCTCTGAAACTGTTACTTTCTCAGGTTGTCAAACCTCTTCTGGAGACTTCAAGATTTGGGTACCTAGCAGCCATCTCTGCATCAAGTTACTCCTTCATTTCCCTCCTGCAGAACTTCCTTCCTATAATGAATCCAGGTGTTGTTCTTGTACCACGAATGTCCCGGAAAAATTTATGTGTATATTTACCATGTTATGCTGATACGAGCTGCTTTCTTGTTGATACACCAGGTGGTGCAACAGTTTCCTTGTCTTACATTGCTGCTGAAAGGATCATTCCTGGGTATGAAAAAAAAAAAAAAAAACTTCTTGTACAGTTTCAATAAGTTGGATGAGTCTGGTTTCTTCCATTCATATCTAAATATCAAAATCATTTTACATTCTAGTTATGGTGGTGGGATGAGTTCAGCCAAGGCTGCGTTGGAGAGCGACACACGGGTGAGTTATTGTTGCTTCTCAGTCCCGTGTAGCTTTTTCGCGCAGCAGCTCGAACTGTTAGAGATGAACATGCTTGAAAAGTATTTGTATACATCTTCATAATCGTTGTGTGTTAATTCAGGTGCTAGCCTTTGAAGCTGGAAGGAAGCACAACATCAGGGTCAACACAATATCTGCAGGTACCAACTAAGCCATGGTCTGAAAATTTTGACATCAATTGGACTGTGATCCATCAAAACTATCCCAATATCGAGAAATGTGAGATCAACTGCCATAAGTTCTACTTACTAGAGCACAACCAACATACTGGATTGAATATATGTTAGGACATCATAACTTCCATGTCTTTGCAGGTCCATTGAGAAGTCGGGCTGCAAAAGCAATTGGTTCTATCGATATGATGATTGATTACTCGTCGACCAATGCACCCATTCAGAAGGAACTATCTGCAGGTTAGTAGAAAGTAATCCATTTCTGCTTCTGGTCGACTATGATCATTATAGCCTACTGATGTGAGCCCTTTGTTATTTTAATTCTGCAGAAGAAGTAGGTAATGCTGCTGCTTTCCTGGCTTCCCCTTTGGCTTCAGCCATCACCGGAACTGTCTTGTATGTCGACAATGGTCTAAATGCTATGGCCGTGAGCATTGATTCCCCTGCCCTTGAAAACCTCCACAGGCCAAAAGAGAAGTAACCACACCTGTGAAGCCAGAGATTCTAACTTATGGCTGTTGTTGTTGCCAATTTCGAAGAAAGCAATAAATGCTGAGGTTCCACTTTCGTTGGCCTTGTGTAGCATTTTTACATTCGCAGACAGCTGAATTTAGTTAATTGCAAACAAATGGCTTTGAACTTTTTTCTTCTTCTTTTCATTGTGTAACTGTCAACTTTCTAAAGCTAATTGCTAAATGAGGGTGCTCCTTTGATACTAACTCAATTCGGCCATTCTACAAGTCCCAATTGATCGCTCACGGATAAAACCAAGATTGCAAGATCAAAGGACGAAATTGGCCAAGTGTTGTAGTAGTTTCGGAAACCCTACTTTGGAGGGTTGGTTCTCACAAATGGTTCGGTGAAAATGCAAGGTTGAAGATTTGTTTTGAAGTTGGAATGTTCCTCTACAATGTGGAGTGCTTGGATCGTCGCGAAGAAGCCAGGAAGGTCATTTTTCAAGCCAATCAAAAACCTAGTTTGCAACCTGAAAATTGCCTGAATTTGGTCAAGGCAGAAACTGAGTTTCGGAAGCCAACTTTGGAGCATCATTTGTGGAGTTTGGGTTACAACCAACTGGCGATTCGAGTTGGGTATGAAAGTACGCAACTTTCTAAACCTAGAGAAGGAATTGGCTGACCTCGACTCAAACCAAAAGACCATTTTCCAGTATCTTGAAGTTGGTCTGAAGAGCTGTTTCTTAGACAGTTTACTTGGAAGAGAAGATTGTTGCTTGGTTTGCAAGTTTCATTGTTTGACTCGAAATCCTTTCCTTGTTTAGCTTTAATTTGTTTCATTGTTCAATTAGGATTGTATTAGGTTGTTTCTTGGCTATAAATAGCCTCTTTCATTGGTTGTACCACAAGTTTTAAGTTGAATAAAAAAGGTTACTCGGAGGAGTATTCCCAAAGCTTGCGAGAAGTTGCTCTTGGTTTGTTTGGCCAATAATTGCAGATAGACCGAACCAAGTAGTCCCCTCGGTTGGTTGATAGTTCTACCACTAATTAGCCTCTTTCCCAAGTGTTAAAGTTGTTGATCGGGTTCTGTGTTCGTTCCATCCCCTGTTCGAGTGAAAACTTCAAATTGAATCAAGGATTCCACTGTCTCAAGGTTGCGACAATTCTGATTTCTATCAAGCTAGGGAATTAGCTTGCATCAAGTGGCATCATCGCCTGGTTCAAACGCAGTGGACAAGACGACAAAGAGTACTCGCCCTGTTGCAGCAAGGACGAGGAAGAAGGACCCCATTGCCCTGTGAAAGAAATCGGAGGAAACATTATCTTATTCCGAACTCAAAGAGGAAATCCACTGTGACGATTCGACCATGGGAGGAAAGCAAATTAATATGACTGAATTGTTGTAGACAATGGTGGCACGATGAATGCTACGTTTCAGATTCAGTTCGACCACATCAACCAGCAATTGGCAGAGCTGAAGTCGACGACGACAACATAGCCAAAGTCACCAGAAATAACGACAAGACAAGAGACAATTCCTAAGGGAGGTCGAGATCACAGCCCTCAAGCTCTGAGTGAGCAAATTAGGAACTTGGAGCGACAATTGATCCTCACCGGAAACAATCATCGTGATCGAAATCACGAATTTTGTGATTATAACCACGAACCACCAGAAAAGGGGCATTGACGAGCTCCGAGGAATCAGACTTAGCACTCCTTCATTTCCATTAGGTTTCAATTCGTCAGAATACTTGGTGACTCAACCCGAATGCACCACTTTAAAACTCCTGATTACGACCCAAGTATAAACCTTAACCGGGTGCAGTACAGTACAGTACATGGCAAGTATGTTTAAATATCGACCCGGGCCGGTTCATGTACCCCTACTTCGATTGTTTGTAACATTATCTAGCGGTCGGTTTGTGGCAAAAACAAAACCTAAAGCTAAAGTGTTTGCAAAGATAAATGGATTTGACACTAATTGAGAAGGCTTCACCCGGGTGTTGCTCCCCTAGCTAGCAATTATGACTTGATGGATCGAATGGGCGTGTGTGGTGAGGGGGTTGTAAACCGTAGGGAAGTGTAACAAGTAGCTAAGTGACACTATCTTAGTCTCTAGGTCGAGGGAAGGGGATACAATCCAAGCTTCCAGAGTGACTCTCTCGACTTATTGACTAAGGATTTGTTAGACTTCACCTTCGAATCAGAGTTCGGACGGCCACCCACAACCAATTCCTAGGTGCTAATATGAAATAGGAGGTTTGTCCTGCATTAACCTAACTAGGAGACAATGAATTTCCTAAGAAAACCCAACATTCAAGCCTCTTTCAAAGAAAGGAAGGGGGGTTTCTCTTTACCTATGTTAGAATGGCAATTAGATTGATAAGTTTTCACACAACACAATCATTCATGAATAATGATGAATTGAATAATTGAATGAATACTGTGTGAATTGATGATTGAATGTAGAATCTAGGGCGAGGGATTAGCCGATTAATGTGAATGAATAATGTAAGATGATTCATGAGCTTAATTGAGCCTTAGTGGGCATGAATTTGGGTACAATTTGTGGTTGAATGTGAAAATTGCCCACCAAGTGCAAAACTGTGAATGAATGGAATCAGTGATTTTTGATTGATGGTTGGAAGCCATCCGGGCATGATTTAGGTTTGATTTTGTGTGTTGATAATCCGTGAATCACCTTGAACCGTGCCTCGGTGAGCTTTGTGTGCATTTAAGCTTAATTGTCCGAAAGTCGGTCTTGTGAAAAGCCTTCAAGGCATAGGACCGTAGTGGAAGCCTAGGTGTGGGGGAATTCTTTTCTCCACTTTATGTGAAATTTAAAATTATTTCCACATATGGTGTATGTCTGAATGCTTTACAGGATTCGACACGGAGCACGAGTTCATCAGCTACATGGTGAACCACGTGAAGTATGGGCCAAGTTTGGCCAGTGGAGATACAGTAAGGCTGGGCCTCATTGGATGCTCGATCTGGACATGTTGAACATGTTCAGATGGTGGGCAGCAATGTCAGGGGTCCTCAGTCACCCCCCAATGGAGGCAGCTGCTGGCAGTGGACTTGCTTCTTTACCGAGATCTCTACGTAGAGCTATACCCCACTTTCTCCCACGTCATTTGGGGAGTAAAAGGAGTAGACCCTACGTGGATTTCATGCTGGGAGGTTAGCCGAGGGTTCTGACATAAGATGGCTTTGCTCAGGCTATGGGGCTTGACCCTACCCACATGACAATGATAGAGAGGTAGTACACTGCTGACTTCCACTACTAGACAACCTTCCACACCATCTGTCGCCCTGAGCATCGGGAGAACAAATTCCAGGGCTCCAACACCAACACTATCAAGCTCAGGATGCCCTAGAGGATCCTGCGTAGCCTCCCGACGAAGTCCATCATCCCCAGCTGCTAGCAGGGCACTTGATCTCAAATAGAGGGTTGATAGCCCTCCATTCCCTAAACCGGCCGGCAGATTTGCTCCACCTGGGAGTCGTGGTTGCTATCAACTTTGCTCAATGCGAGGGCCAGGACCGAGTGAACACGATTCACTTGGGGGCCATTATCACTAGGCTGGCCCGACACTTCGGGTTGATGTGGCCCGGTGTTTTATCACGGTCGGACAAAGCAGTTTCTGGTGGAGACCCTCCACAACATGAAGCTGGTGCTTCAAGGGGAGAGAGGAATTGAGTTCCTCGAGGGTCGAAGCCTTCGACAGCTCTGTGACCCCAGGTCGACCCTGCACCAGTGCAACCTAATCCAGAGGTCCCTCCCCAGGACCAACCACCCACAAGAGCTTCCGGCCGCTGCCGGCGCACTGCACCACCACCACCATCAGCTGCATCATCATCATCAGGGGCCAGACCTTCTATTCCGGACCCCACCTTGAGGAGCGAGTGGATCGCGTCAATGCTCATGTAGGAGTCACTGCTCGACTTGACCAAACCGCTGATCTCATAGAGAGGATGGCTCGACGCCAGGGCGTCCTTTCGAACGACGAGGAGTGATCTTGCCCATCATGAGGTAGCCGTCGAGGGAGACATGTGGAAGAGTCGATTTCTTTTGCCCCAGTTATCCATTTGCAAACTCTGAACTCTTTTTCTTTTTATTTTCTCCTTAATTTGTTTGTGAACTAGTACCTTGTGAGTTCTTTATTTTGAATCGTATTGTGAAATTTTGTTATGTGTAATAACCTCGCCTCGAGCAAGAATGTGCGTGTATTTGTGTTTTGTTTTTCCTTTGAAGCTCAAATATCCTACCCCGGGAATTTCTCCAACTTTCATACACCAAGCCATGCGGTAACATCGTTCTACCCCCTATTTTGCGCCATTGAGGGCAATGTCGAGCTTAAGTTTGGGGGTGGGGGTAGTTTATTATTATGCTTGTGTGTGTGAGTGAATTCTTAGAGCCTTGATGTATGCCCAAATTTGAAAATTTTGAGGGCTCCAAGCAATGCATGATCAAAATGGTTGGTTGGTGGGTGAATCTCGTGCTTATTTGTCATGTAATCGAGAGAATCCTATTATGATGACTGAGAATGCATTAGGGTTGTGCAAAGGCTTAGTTCTCACGTGTGCTTAAATGAATGGATGTCTTGACTTGGTTACTTCTTGATTACAATTGCCATGCATTGAAGTTTTTGAAATTAGAATAGATGTTTGGGCGATTAGGTAGCCATTTGAGTTTTGTGCCGATTGTCTTTTTCATGTCTGATAGATCCCTCTCGCCATGGTGTATAACATTCATTGTTGTCACTAGTGAGTATGATGGAGGCAAAGGATTAGTCCACGTCCAAAAGTTGATTGTCCCGAAATATTTTATCCCCTAGTCAACTCCTTTGAGCTGTGAGACTTTGGGGGTCTTTCTAATGCTAGGAGCTTCGTGCTTGATTGAGCTTAATGGTGATCGAAAGAACGACCCCTACCCATCCTCTCTTCGTGTCAAACTGTGAGTCATCCTTATGTCTCGGAGTTCTTGCTTTTGCGCTCCATTGAGGTTCTACATAGGTGGTTTTCCCTGGTTCTTGCTAGAAATGAGAAGGTAGTGTTGGAGGGAAAGTTATAAATGAGAGCATTGTTCGTATAAGGATAGGTGGCATGCGTTGCACTCTCTAGTACCCCCCTCGAAAGAAAAAGAGAAGAGAAAAGAAAAGAAAAAGAGGCAATAAACGTGGTAAATAAAAGTAGAGAGGGGCCACAAAAGTCTAAGTGTGTTCTATAGAAAGGGTTTCTTGGACCTTAAGCCATTGAAACACCTAATTTGTTTGATGACCTCCTTCACTACTAGGTTTGAAATGTGAATAGCAAGATAGGTCGAAGAAGTGTGCTTGAATGTAGTTCGTGATTGGTAGTGGTTTGGAAGAAGGGAATTGTGTTTTTTGGTCGATGCTAGTGGCCTTTGTTTGTAGGAAAGGTTCTTAGTCAAAACCATAGAACCTTTGGTTTTAGGTTTAAGATGTAGGTCCTGACCCCACTAGTCGAGAGTGAGTGATTCATTATTGTTTTGCATGTTTAGTGAGGAACTATGTTGCCCTGTTGTGTGTTCCTTGGACTTTACTTCTATGCATGGTTAGTTGTGGTTGGTGAGTAGTCTAGTCGAGACTTGCATTGATTTGTGAAAAGGTGAGAACTTTTCATTTACCCATTCTTGATGCAATCGAATGTCGTTTGTGGTGGATGTTGGTATTGTTTGAGGCGTTTCATGTGTCGATGTCCAAATAGTCATTGATTTTCACCACTTCGTGCCTTTTGGTTTGTCCCCAAGTTATCTTGTTAGGTTGAGATATCACCTAGGTTTAAAATGGTTTGATTGGGGACAAGCAAATGTCTAAGTGTTGGGGGGGGGGGGGGGGTTGATTCAGGCTCATTTGTACACTTTTTACTCCTAGTTTGCTTAGTCGTTTGAAGCATTTTTACTCCGGCAGGTTTGGTTCTGCGTCGGGTTTTGCCTTGTTTTGGTGTTTATCAGACTTTGGTAGGTGGAACCAACCATGGGGTCGAAATTTGGACGAAAAGGCAAAAAATCAAGTCAAAGGGTGGAAGCAGCAGTAGATCACGATTCGGGCTGTGAGTTCACGGTCACTAAGACCATGAACTGAAACCGCTACCCGTGAACAACCAGGCATCAAGAGCACAAATTGCTTTCACTGTACACAAGTCAGTTCACGGTTGTAAGAACGGGAACTCAGGCCATTGCCCGTGAACTGGACTTAGTGATGCGGCGCGATTCGACTTGAGATCACGGTCCAGGGTTTCAGTTCATGGTCGTGAACCGGAACTATGATCTGAGCCCGATCTGGGTATATAAAGGAGGTTGAGCTGAAGGGAAAAAGAGGAGAGACCTAGTGTGATAAACTTCTTCTTCTTCTTCTTCTGATTTCTGGAGTGAGAGAGTGACGAAGCAAAGAAGAGGAGAAGCTAGGGTTTCATCTTCAAGCAGGAATTGGGAATTCCTCCCCCAAATGAGGATCTCTTCAACACAAGGAGCAAGGCTAGCATCTCATTGATGGTTTTCCTTCTTCTCTTGTGTTTTCCCTTCTCCTAGCATGGAGTGGTCCATTCTTTCACTTGGGTGTTTGTAAACCCTAGCTACAATTATGTGAATGCTTGTATGGATTGAATGATTTGTGTGCGGCTGTATTTAATGTGAATGTGGAGGTATTATTCATGAATGATTGTGTTGTGTGAAAACCTATTAATCTAATTGGCATGCTAACCTAGGTAGAGAGAAAACCCCCTTCCTTTCTTTGAAAGAGGCTTGAATGTTGGGTTTTCTTAGGCAATTCATTGTCTCCTATCTAGGTTAATGTAGGGCAAACCTCTTATTTCGTATTAGCACTTAGGGTTGGTTGTGGGTGGCCGTCCAAACTCCAATTCTAGGGTGAAGTCTAACCAACCCTTAGTCAATAGGTCGAGAGAGTCACGTTGGTGGCTTGGATCGTATTCCCTTCCCTCAACCTAGAGACCAAGAGAGTGGCACTTAGCTACTTGTTACACTTCCATATGGTTTACATCCCCCTCACCACACACGACCATTCGATCCAACAAGTCATAATTGTTAGCTAGGGGGAGCAACACTCGAGTGAAGCCTTCTCAATTAGTGTCAAATCCATTTAACTTTGCTAATGCTTTAGCTATAGATTGTTTTTTCACCAAAAATCAACCGCTAGATAATGTTTCAAGCAATCGAGGTAGGGGTACATGAACCGGCCCGGGTCGATATTTAAACATACTTGCCCTGTACTGCACTTAGTTAAGGTTTATACTTGTGCCTTAATTGGGAGTTTTATTGTGGTATTCGGGAATACTAAAGAATTTAATGATATAAACATTGAATGACTAAAGTATCTAATGATATAAGCATCTTATTAAATAATATAAAAATTTGAATAAGACACCATAAAATTCACATCCTTAAACAATCAAATTGAACTAGCTATACATAAGAGAGAAAGATGGTACCAACATCGATGATGAAGTTATCTCTTTAATTGCACCATCTTATGGAAGCTAAACTCAATCTCCACTTGAGCCTAGTGGCTCCTTGCTTGAGTCTTGAAGAGTAAATTTTTGTAGTATTTGCTATTTACTATATCCTATAGCCTGACCGTCTATTTATAGTAAATATGGGAAGGGGTTTTCAGATTTTTGCTCCTAAAACTCGGCCAAAAGCTTCCTTGTACGACTAGAACTCGAATTCTCTAACTTCGGGATGAATAAAGAATATTCAAGAAGCTTCTAATGGGCTTGGGCCCAAGGTGGCCTCCTAGCAATCGCCACCATTGTTTTTTTTCCTTCTTCCAGTGGGTTTCATGGACCACAAGCAACCTGTCTATGGATTTTCAACGCGACTTGATGGGTTAGGGTTGGTGGCAGCCCAACAACGATTGCACCCGTCATGGATTCTTTCCTCTGCTTGGACGAAAACTTCTTTAGTGGCCTACTCTTGGGATAAGATGAAGACTTCCTATAAGACCTCTATTCGTTTGAGCTTCATTTAATGAATGAATTACTCCTTGATCTTCTTATGTGATCCAATGATTGATCGAGCTGATCAACGATTGTACTTGACCTTAAAAAGCACAAAATCATAGCAAAATGCATAAAATGATATTAAAACACAACCTAGGTCTATTATAAGCACATTGATAACATAATTTTAAAATACATACAAAATATAGTAAAATTTAATAGAAATGGAATTGTATCAAATTTGGTAAGCCATAAACATTATAATTCGACCCGCACTTGAAGTTTGTTGATCCCTAAGCAAACACTTCTCACAATCATACAATCAATAAACACGAGGAATCATCACCCAACCATCTTTCTTAGATAGTGGATCATAAGTGAATTTACAAGGTCAACAATAGTACAAAAAAATTCTAACCACATCAACCTGCATGAATAACAAAGACAATCAACTCTACCATTAACAACTAACCATGCATGAATCTTAAAATACATTTGAACTTTGAAATGCCTCTACCATCATTTGACATACCATTAAGCACTTTTGCCTTTCAACAAACACATATATCATCTTGATTTTCTAGACTTTTCTTATCACTATTTTTTGCCATTTTTGTGTGTAGCGAGCTTTCTGTTTACTAGAGCATTAGACCCCAATTAGTCGAGCAAGAGCAATTTTTGTATCTCTCCATTGGTTAGAGTACTTTATTTAACTCCTATAAGTTGATTTGTGTGGAGGGTCAATAAAAATGAGGAGTTTCAGTAGCTTTATTTGTGCCCTCAATAACACATCGTCAAGTTGGCTATCTATTCAACAAGAGGAAATTTTACTTTATTTAACTTGTATCTCTTCCAAAACCCCTTTTTGCAATGAATATATGCCTCACATGTTGGGCTTACCCCACGCTTTATTTCATAACATAGCATGGCAAACACATATGATTCAAACAAGCTGAGATTGGTAATTTTGGCATTTAATAGAAGGTACAATTCACCCCATGGAAAAGCTTTTTTACAAAATGGAGACTTAATGCATAATTAAAAATCTATAATGAATCGAATAGCATGACATTAAAAGATATTTACATGCTCATAGGCTCAATGACTATCACATCCTTCATACTCACTACACTATCCTCCATAGACCAAGTGATCATTCTTGTAGGGGATGGCAAGAATCGAATACAATTTTCATAATATTAAATTTTACTTAATATTTCGAATACTCAAGCCAATTGATGGTTAATGCATCTGTAGAACTTTGAAAATTTCTCATTATGAAAGGACAATGAAAAAAAGCAACAAAACTCACTTCCAACCCACACTTAAAACATGACTTTGTACTCAGTGGACTAAAATATAGGTGAGCCATGGTAAAGGGTTGGAATGAATTGCCTCATTCATTGTTCAATTTGAAGTGGAACCAGATGGTTAGACTAATAGTAGTCCTTCTTCATTATCTAAGGAGATTCCAAATAAACATAGGAAACAAAAGAAAAAGTGAAAGCAAAAAGGGAGAGACCTAATACATCTTCTCCTAGTTAATATCCAAAACAAATGACAAGAAAGAAATAAAATAAAAATAGACGGTACCCCTCAAATAAGTTTAGACTAAGCTCATGCATCCAATCTTGCGGCCTCTGCAATACTACTCCACTGGTGATGTGCAGTACAGATCAAAGTTAAAATCCTAGAATGGCCTAGGGTTGTTTTCCACAAGGTCTGCTAATGCATAACTAGTCACACCAAACCATCATTGACTCACACGAAAATAATATAAACATTTAGGGGTTTTCAAGTAACTAACAAGCAATAATAGTAAAGTTGTTTCGGGGTTATTTATTTATGGATGCAAAAAAGTAAAGATTCGTTATTGTATAAGAAGGTAAGATTCAAGTACCATCATGCATATTAATACTCAATCACATCATGCATCAATGATTCATCTTTAACATCACCTTATCACTTCTAGTAAGACCATTATCTACCAATGCATATGCCACTTGCGACATAAATTTTAATAGCTAATGCGTGATTTCGCTTCATGGCATCAACTAGTTAGCAAAAGTAAGGAAGTTAGGATATCACATGATTAAGTGTGAGCCTCTACGAGCCATAATTGATTATCTATAGCATCAATGATCTAACAATCAAGCATTGATACTACTCGAGGTATAGATGGTTGATCATTCCCTCTATACTTGTGTAGCATCAATGGGGTATCACTATAGGGTATTTTCTTATCAATCTAGATGATACTAAGCACGATGCATGTAGTAGAACACTATAGAATCATAATCATCGATAAACTACAATGTTCATCACATAATCTTAATAGTTTTCCCAAACTGAGTGGAAACCATCTGAATAAAATCTCGAGCGAGATCAAATAGCTCTGATTTCTGTTTGAGAAAATAAATCCACGTAAACCGCGTAACATGATCAATAAACAGAGAAAAATAGCAAAAACCAAGACGTGCCATTATTGGAGAAGGGCCCCAAAGGTTAGTGTGGACAAGATCAAATGGATCTGCATAGTCCATTGTACTAGCACTAAACGAACGCTGAGAAATCTTAGCTTCCACAAAGTGAGTACACGTATAATCATGCATAGATCAAATTGTACCAAACAACCAATTCTTCTTAAACATATAAAAAAGTCTCGATTTATGAGGGTGGCCAAGCCAAAAATGCCACAAATCCCAATCCGACAATTTAACAGAATAACCAGTATTGTATAAAGATAAATAGGAATCAATATCAACAACTCCAGAGTCCTCCTCCTTAATCAGTCGAGCTGGAATGGAAATTTGAGTCATATTCCCAACAGCATTACCACCCCGATCTCCTTCCTAGCGCTCGTAGCGTCAAGGAGAAAGATACGATCCCACTTACTCCCTCGACCTATCACTGCCCCCGTCCTCATGCCCTGCATAGCGCATCCATTTATATTAAAGATAATACGACACCCATCATCAACTAGTTGGCCCACGGACACCAAATTCGGAAGAAGTTTAGGAACATAATAAGCATCACGAAGCATCAACAGTCTACATCTCATAGAACACATACCAAAAACAGATAACTGTGAGCCATCAGCCACCTGCAGATTAACACCAACACTTGGCCGAATAGACAGAAAATTTCATCTATCACTAGTCATATGGTTCACAGCAGTAGAATCAAGATGCCACTAAGTGAGAGACGAGTAAACTGTACCATTCGCGAAAGCAACCGGGAGAGCAGATGGGAGAGTTTCCTACAACGCCTCTTGAACTAAATGCCTAATCTCCTCAAGGGACTGATAACACTATATTTGTGTTAGTTGCTCTCATGGCCTATTTTACGCTAGGTTGTGTTAGTTTATGATGTTTTTAAGTCCTAGTACGTGAATGGGTGCGAAGGAGCGAGTTTCGGGACGTTTTGGATAGAACAGACAGAAAGCAGGGGAAAGTTACGACCAGACCTCGAATGTTACGGTCTGGACCGTAACTTCCCCAAGGCACCCGTAACTCTGAAGGGGAGGCGCCAAGGATCCTGATGCTATATGAAAGTTATGCCTAGACCCTTGAAGTTATGGCATGGGCCGTAATTTCCTCCCCATGCCCATAAATCTGAGGAAACAGAGGCCAGATGTTCCAGAAGCCATTTCAGAGATACGACCCCTCCTCATAGTTACGTTCGTAACCGTAACTTCCTCCTTGAAGCCGTAACTCTTGTTATACGGAAAGCTTGAACTGTTGTCATTTTGAGGAAGTTACGGGCTAGCAAGCAGAGTTACGAACGTAACTTTGCCTGTAACTTGGCCTCTAGAATCTATATAAATGCGTTTTGGGGGATTTTGAAGGGGGAGATCTTGGTTTTGGAGGATTTCTTTGAGCTATTTTGGAGGATTTCTTCATCATTGGAGCTTGGGAATGAAGCTTGGAGATGGAGATTGAAGATCTAGATCAGATTTCTGAATTCTCTCTCTTCTCTATGGAGTAACTTCCCTTCACTTAGGTTTTGAGGAACCCTAGCCCTGTTTGTTTGATTGGATGATTGTATGAGTACTCTTACTTGATAATCTTGAGTTCATTTTCAATCTATGCATGTTTTCATGATTCAATTCTTCTTTACTCTCGATTATTGATTCTGCTTTGATCCTATGAGAGTGAATACCTGATTAGGTCAATAGAGCACCATAAATTGATAGTATTGGATCGATTGCTTTAGTATAGGGTCGATTCACAGTTTTGTATCGATTGAGAACCTCATTCAATAGAGGGAATCTAGTTCAGAATGCCTTGATCAGTTGTTCTAGAGAAGGATATGTCCCTCTAGGCAATCGACTCAAGAGGGCCTTGAATTCCTTAGTCGAGATTCAAGGTCTAGTCAAGGATTCTCCGCATTGTAAATGAAATTGAAATAAGTTAGAGATCATTAATCACTAATCTTGCTAGTGGCTAGGGGGAATCATACCTAAGTGACTTCCCAACCTCTAATTAGATTAACTTTAACTCTTGTTTGGTAGAGTAGTTTTAGTTCTTCTATTTTAATCTGGTTTGCTAGATAATAAATGAAAGCTTAGTATAGTAACTCTAGAGATACGTGGATTTGATATTTATTACTTGTGCCACTATATTGCAGTCCTTTTCATTGGTTACACTTGGCCATTGTTAGGAGTTGTGTTTCAGCGAGTCAAGTTTTTGGCACCGTTGCCGGGGAATTACTAGATTATTAGGAAAGGAAAAAGTTCATTAATTTAGCTTTCCTTTCTTTTAATCGTTTTTTTCCACCCTTGCTTATCACTTGGGTGTCTTTGTTTCTGTTGGTGCAGTTCTGAGTCATGGATCCTAATGGCTTCTCCAACCATTGGGGGGTAACCACCACCACCCGAGGGTATTACCTGAAGACTCCCTTGAGCAATCTAGGGGGAGAAGACTATGGATTCGGATTTTAGTACAAACCCCCTACTACGAAGAACAACCTGACCCTTTGACATTTCAAGAACAGTATCCTTATCAAGAAGAAATCCACCCACATCCAGAGGGGCCATCGGAGCTGGAGTTAGCCATGGCGGCCTTCACTGGCCATTATGTAGAGCCAAGCTGCAATCCACAACCATATCTAAACTATCAATTGAGAATTATCATAGAGTGGTTTTCTCGGGGCACCGAGAGATCCCTCCGCAAGATGGACCTTTTATTCCAATCCATTGCTCCTCCAACCTCTTCATTTCTCCATGAATCGGAGGAGACTGTTCCGCACTCAGCAAAGCAAATAGAGCGGGTTGAGCAAGTTTGTGCACAGTTTTTTAAGATCACCTTTCTGCTACCATAGAAGAAGATGAGGAGGATGAGAAGGCTACAAGGACATTGTGGAGCAGACAGAAGTTTTCACGGAGAGCTTCCGTGATGATCATGATTAGGAATATCCTTTTGTAGCCGACCACACCTTTCCACATCCCGCACCGAGTTTTGCTTGGCGACTTGCTCTCCAATCCGTTCTAGAAGATGAAGAGCGAGAAAGGATGAGGAAAGAAGTTGTGGAGGATGAAGAAAGTGAATCAGAGGCATTCTTGATCCTTTCCAAGGGAGGAGTCAAATTCTGAGGAATGAAGGGGGTTGAAGAAGCAACTGGCGTCCAGGCTGAGAACAAAGTTGAGGGGGGAGAGGCTTGCACCGGCCATGCGTTACATGTGATATCTCCATCAAACTACGAGGAGCTGCTTCGCAAGGACCCATTTGCAGTGTCTCTTTGCCAGACCAAGGCTAGATCGACATCAGCCCCTCTTGGTGGACGCGATGGTGGTCAATTGATGCTGTCATATATGGTTTGGGGCAATGAGACAAGAGAAAAAGAGGTCTTGATGGTGGAGACTTCATCTGCAATAAGTGCACGAGCCTACATCGCTTGATACATCACTTGCTCGTGACTTGAGACTCCACCTCATCGACGAGAACCTCAACTTTAAATTGGTTCTAGCATGGATCGAAACTTAGGATCCACCATTCGGCTCACAACGTGAAAGAAGCGCTTGTTGGGAGGCAACTCATCCAGTCGGTTTGCATTTCTTTCCCTATTTCTCTTCAATTGAGTCAGTTTTGTCTTTGATTTTAGAGTCAATAAATCAACCTCTGTGTGAAAATGTGTGGTGTTTTTGTTTTGAATGCTCTCTCTACTCACCTGGAATGCACCGCTTGCCGCATCCACCATCATTCACATTTGATCTGGTAACTTTATTATACCATGTTTATCTTTCCTCCATTGAGGATAATGTCGTGCTTAAGTGTCGGGCGGTGTTCCATTATGTCTGTGTGTGAATGTTTGGTTGTGTTTATGTGCTTGGAGCCGATATGAGGGCTCCAAGTTCGTGTTCCTTGCAATTTTTTAACCTGCTCATTATGCTTTGAATTGAATGTCTTTATAGTTCTATGCAACCTAGGGATGGTAGTGTAGCACTATGGAGGATGTTGAAGTATAAGATCTTTCCTATCTTTATTTTTGCTGTGTCGATTGATTGTGTGAATTAGTGGATTTAGGACCTTTGATTCATGTGGTATCGATGACTCTCTTTATGTTGTTTGTGGACTCATGTATCGTAAAAGGGTGCTCATTGTGCATAATGGAAAAAGCAGTTGGTCCTCCATGCAAAAAATTTGAAATTTTAAACATGGGGTAAGCCCAATGTGTGTGGCACCGTTCATTGCACAAAATCGGGTTTTGGAAGAGATTTTAGTGATCCTTAGTGGGGTAGGCCTACAAGGTGAAGCTAAGCGGTCTCTAGTACAAGCAAAAATTCCACCCGTTGAATGGTTTGCCTACTTGAGGATGTGTTTTTAAGGGCACGGATAGAGCTTCCCACCCCCCGTAATTTCATTGGCCCTCCGCACGAAGTGAGGAAAAGGAGTTAAAAGAAGTATTCTGGCGAGCGACAAATGTACATAAATTGATCTTGCTCACCTAATAAGGGTCGATCGTGCATAAAAACTACAGTTTGGAACCCCATCAAAGTGAGAATGTGAAAAAAAGAAACACATAATAAGGAAAAGGGGTTCCAACGTGTGAAATGGAATGGAAGAGCACCCGATACGAAGAGTCATTGGTTATTGTGTTATGCGAGTCTCTTTATCCATGAATTGTATGTCCTAGGTCCACTATTTCACATGATCCTGGTGTGAGTCTAGTACTCACATTGTGAGAAATATGGGATGTCTTAGAAAATTGGTTGACCTCGTAAGTTGCAAAATGATCTAGGAAATAATCTATCAACAATTGGGGTTGCATGGTGATGTAGAGGTCTGGAGAGCTGCATTGGTTTGAGCCAGGTTTGCTTGGGGACAAGCAGGGACACACACGAAGAATTAGAGGAACCAGAAGCCACCGCGACGAGAGGAGTAGGAATAGTGGCATACGTCACACCACCCGGGGCACGAGGAGCAGAAGCGCACTGGCCACTAGCGAAGGGTGACGAACCCGACCGACCACCACGACACCTACCTCTCTATGCAAGAACGTGGCAATCCCCAATAACATGACTGGTCGCCTTACAATATTTGCACACCACACGTTTCAGGCAACATACCTGGATGTGACTCAGGTCCTTGCAATGATAACAGATGATCTCATGTACGACCAAAATGAGGACAACTTGGTTGAACCACAACAACAAGACCAGAATAAGAGGAGTGGACATCGAGCCGAGCTTGAGTATGGAGACGCGTCTCCTCATGAATCAACTCAGCCAAGACTTCCTCAGGAGAGCCAACATTGCAATGAAGGATGGATGAGTGTATTACTTCAAACGCAGGGTTTAGGTGCATGAGGAACCCCATCAGACGAGAGTTGATGCGCTCCTTGAGCACCTCCACCGACACAGCTTCAGAAACAAGACGTGGTAGTAGGACCTGACGTCCAGATACCCATGATGAAGAGTGGCAATACCAGTCTCCAGCTCAAATTTGCGTGAGATATCAGCTTGAGAGTGGATATGACGCAAATGCTACCACATGGCATGAGCAGTCAGGAACGCCCGGAGACTAAGATCAATGGCTGGATCCATAGACGAAAAGATCAAGGACATGACTTGAGCATTGTCAATCATGCAATCACCCAGAACCTTGGTTGTGGCATCCGCACTAAAAGTAGTAGAAGTACTATCGAGAATAGGGAGAAACCAATGCCCCTACACAAAACACCGAAATTGAAGTTCCCATAATGGGATGTTCTTCCCATTGAAACAAACTTAGATAGCATCCTTAGTTCCTTCTATAATATCAGAATAATTGAGCAAGACAAACACCACCAGAAGCTCAAACGAAACACCCAAATAACCGAGAGACAGTCGAGAACAAGGGACAGGCTCGAACACGATCCAAGAGCCGAGAAGCAACCAAAAACAGACGAGCATGACCAACAGGACGAGAAGCATGAGAGGACCAAACAAGAAATACCGTTTGCAGCAAGCCAACCGTGAAAAAGCCCTAAACCAAGGAACGAACATAAGAACTCATGCGCAACAATCAAGAATCCAAGCCGAGAATAATCACACAGGCTCTAGTACCATGTCAATCGAAGCTAGAACCGCAAAGCAAACACACAAAACACCGGATTTGCGTGGTTTTCTTAACGATAATCATTGAGAATAATCCACGGCACAAAGGTAGTTTTAGTTCTCTTATTCAACAGAGTTACTGAGAACACAGTCTCTTTGGACTATAAACATATGCGGCAGCGGCAACTCGCCCTCAACCCTATACACATATTATATAATTTACAAAATAGCACCCAAAGTTTACAACTTCTAACAATGATTAACCAACCAAGAAACTGATACTTGGGAATAGCAAACTTGGTCCATATAACCCTCCATCAAGCAGCTTTGGGTTTATGAATACAAATTGATTCCCACATACGTTGAGCAGAATATTGCAAAAGAGGCTTCCCCTCCAAAGAGACATGACCTACAATCGATGTTGGAACCACCTTCTAAATATTAATACCAACTTCCATATCCAATAACCGACGTTGGGAGCAGGGAGAGACCAGATTGACAAGTTCTTTACAAAACACGTGTCGGTTGTATTATCATCACTGTCATATTTATCATATTATCATATCAACCGTACCATCATTATATGATATTGGTATATATGATGACCCATCTCCTTCATTTTAACTCATAGTTTTTAAAAAATTGTATACAAAGAATGCATTAATCATTATCTACCAAATTATATATAATTTATTATGTTTTGTCAAACATAAGACATCATACTAATATCGTATTAGTGTGATAGTATCATGATATTACCGTGATATGAAGTAATCAAATTATTTTGACAAACATAATACCTCATACCAAAATCATATGTTTTGTCATATCGTGATATATGACAGTGGTAAGATGTCGCAAAAAAATTTGCTCCAAAAAATTTAAAAAAGGATATATTTTTTAGTAGAAAAATTTATGAAATCCTATGAAAAATGAATGAGATAATGTGAATTGAATTCTTTAAGGAGATTTGAAAAAATGATCTAACAATCTTATGAGAGTCCGCGATAGTCTCTAAAATCTGGTCCGTTGTCCCCCAAATCCGGTTAGCCCTCTCTCCTATTTTATACTTTCCCTATTTACCCCCTACAAAATGAACATTGTATCCATTCTTTCTCAATCTCAGCCATCTATAAAATTTTTGTTGAACTATAAAACTATTGAATTTCGTACCGTAACCCAACCCTTAAATAAATACTTTTGCTTGATGGAAGGCAAGTTCGATCGGTAATCTTACGGATTCTAGGAAATCATTCGTGATTTGTCATAATCAATCTTGGGCTGCCTTGCATGAACAGCGAGGAATCGTCAAAATGAATCAACAAATATCAAGAATGAAACTTAAGAAAAGGAATCATACGTTTAATTATTAATTATCCTCACTTTGCAACATAAACGTTGTGCCCCGCATATGCATTTCTAGAGTAACCCACCATCAAGGAATAGTAGTGATCGCATCACCTATTTCATTATTAATTAATAAAATAAAATCTCGTTTTCCACAGCCAGATCGAATTAAATCAACAGCTAGCCTCGTGATCCGTCGAAAAATTAATATATAAACTAAACAAATACATTTAAAAAAAAAATACAGACGCACAACACGACATGATCGATCATGCATGCATGTCGTTTGTTTCATCATGCAATGTCTGCATATATTTATATACTGAAACACACCCCCGTCTTCTCACACTCCTTACCCCTTTGCTCCACTCCATCCATCTGATCCATAGCTAGAACCCACAAGAGCATCCGATGGCGCTATACTCAACAATGGCGTTGAACGTCCAAATCATATCGGAAGAAACCATCAAGCCGTCGTCGCTGGCCCCTGAGCACCTCAAAATCCACAAACTTTCGTGCATGGACCAAGCCGCCCCTCCCCGTTACACGCCCATCCTCCTTTCCTACCCGGATACACAAATCCCCTCCTCCTACCAACAAGGCGCCATGGTCGTCGAGAAGCTGAAATCCTCCCTCTCCGAAACCCTATCCCACTACTACCCGTTCGCCGGCCGGTACCGTGACGACGGCTACTCCATCGACTGCAACGACAAGGGCGTCGCGTTCGTGGTGGCCCACGTGTCCGACGACAAAACGTCGTCGTCGTCCACGGGAGGACTGGAGGAGGAGGAGGTGCTGCAGCTGATGCCCTGCCATCCCCAGGAGACGTGGGTGGACGACAACGGGGAGCTGGTCCTGCTGGCCATCCGGGTCAACTTCTTCGAGTCAACGGGGATCTCCATCGGGATCTGCGCCTGGCACGGGGTCTGCGACGGGCCCACCATCAGCTTCTTCGCCCAATCGTGGGCCGCCATCTGCCGCGGCGACCCCCAGGTCCAGCGCCTCCTCAACGGCAACGCGGTCGTGGACTACGGGTCCATGTTCCCGGCCCACCAGTCCCTGGACTACATCAGAAGCATGGGGTCCTACTTCGACACGTCCGACGATCACAAAAAGAGGACGGCGGTGAAGCAGTTCGTCGTCCCGGGCCCCAAGATCGACGCCCTGAGGGAGGAGATCACGAGGAGCACCGGCAAGCGCCCCTCCCGCGTGGTCGTGGTCTCCTCCCTCGTGTGGGCCGCCGCCATCCGCGTCTCCCAGGAGAAGCGGAAGGCGAGGAGGAGGAGAGACGAGGAGGATGACATGAATGAGTTGCATTCGGCGGCGATAATTGTGAACATACGGCCGAGGACAAACCCGCCGCTGCCGCCGATGTGCATGGGGAACCTCTTCCAGCGGAGCGCGACGGCGAAATGGCCGATCAAGGAGGAGGCGGCGGGGGCGTTGAGTAAATTGGCGGGGAGGTTGGGGGATGTGGTGCGGGGAGTGGACGCGGAGTTCTTGAGCAAGGCGCACGAGAACGGCGGGGAGGGTTATAAGGAGTTTATGAGGTCGTGGTGGGAAGAGTACGAGAAGGAGGACTTCATAGTGATAACGAGCTTGTGCGGGTACGGGAAGGAAGGCGGCGTGGATTTTGGGTGGGGGAATCCCGGTTCGACCCGCGGGTATGCGAGGAGCAACAAGACCATTTCGCTGATGGATGCGAAAGACGGTCAGGGGATTGAGGTGTGGGCGACTCTGGATAAGGACGACATGGCCATCTTTGAGAAGGATCCTACCTGGTCTAATTAATTCACCTTGTTAATTTCTTTCCAGCACTGCACTGCGCTACGCTGAGTAATTCATTGATTATTCATGTTTTCTTCTTCTGTTTCTGTTCTTGTGTTTTGCTTGTATTTGTTTCTCTGGTTTCTCGTGTCGATTAGTGCAATTTCATTATATGACGATTTGGTGTTTTCTCTATATTCGATGTGATAATTTGTTTCATTATTAATCGATTGTGGACTTCTCTTTACCATCCATCCGTTAATTTTTTTTATAAGAGTGATATAAGTTTTTACTTTTTTTGTTGGGACTTCTAGTGTCTAGACTACTGGTATTAATTACGATAGACCAAGCTTTTTGTTCATAATTTTAGTTACCTTATTCGTTACTCCAAGATCTAGGTTAGTGGTATGACCACTAGGCCAAGCCCAGGTTCTGGGCTAGTGGCACACATGTAATTCAGAAAAAGTAGCGATGACAAAAAAGACTTAATTTTTTGATATTTTTCAAATCTAATTTATTATTAGTCAAATATATTTGGGTAATTTTATTGTTGGGGAATAATCATACCCTACTTTTTAGTTTGAGGCTAGATTACAACTATAATATTAGGTACACAAAAAAAAAAAAAATATCGATTATAATATAATTTTTGTCTTATTTTTGTTACCAGAAAGCTGTGGCAAATGAGATGGTTGGCATTTATTTTCTGTGTACAATCATCCTATTCTTCTCAAGCCTTCCTTGTGACCTTATCTCAACCTTCTCGTCCTCACATCTATGCAAACAAGCTCGAGTTCTTCTCATCGTCGTCACTACTCTGTTAAGCACAGTCCACTCAACTTCCTCCCTGTCCCCATTCTTCCTTCCATCATCTCTCTCCCCCAAGATACTTACATATGCCTCTAGTTCTAACTGTGCCCTGTAATTAGAATCCCTTGCTTTACATAACCCAACAAGTTTGAGAGTTATTGCGTGTTAGAGATAGATTAGGAATAATCTTATATTTTCTTGTCCTTATAGTATAGTTCTTAGTATTACTGTGTCCTTTTAGTATTGTGGTTCTCTTACTTATTTTTCCAGTCTTGTAATATATATAAACCCCTTTGTGGTTTCATAATAATACACACTACTATTCCTAAAACTCCTATATGGTATCAGAGCCTCTAGCTTAACAGCCTTGATCCAGGAATCCTAAACCCTTCTTCTTCTTTTCCCCCCGACAGGATGAGTCCTCACTCTCTTTTGTGGTTTCATAATAATACACACTACTATTCCTAAAACTCCTATATTGCGGACTGCTCGCCGTAGTCGGTCTTGATGGGTGGCGAGCGAACTCGGGCGGGAGTTGAGAGTGAGAAGAGAGACCCAAACAGCCGCCAGGGAATAAAAAGAGAGATCGAGAAGGGAGAGGCGGATCGCAGAGGCAAGAGCTGGGAGCAAACTCGTGGTCGTCGCCTCATTGACGGTTACTCTATCTAGATTTCATGGTCTCTGGCGAGCCAAAGGAAGACGACGGCTAGCAACCATAAATCCCTTCCCGACGTCTCATGACATCATCTTCACGGGGTTGACTGGTCGGCACATGATAGATCGTCGTCGATGTACCGACCATAAAGGTGGCCCCACCAATAACAAAGATGTCATTGCTCTACAGGAAAAAGATCATTTAATCATGGTAAATCTCGTGTTTGAAAATGTGTTTCCCGTGTTTAATAGTTTTAGTCGCAGGAAAATTACCGTAATATATACCTTCGTGTCTAATTGTAAAAGTCACGGAAAATTTGTACCGCGACTAATTTGGGATCAATGTTATTTGGGTTCGGGTTCTGTGCCTAGTCTGTAACCGTTTCGTTTGCCAGATTGGATTAGGTTTAAACTCACATGGAGAAGTATAAATACTTCCCATTCTCCTCTGTAATCTGTAGTCTCCTCGATATAGTGAAACTGGTTCTCTCTCGCCCGCGAACTAGCTAACACACATCGTGTTAGTGAACCACGTAAATCGTGTGTCTGTGTTTTTCAATTCTCGCTTTCGTATTCTTGCTTTATCGATTCCACGATTTCCCGATCCGTAGCAGCGGGTTTATAACAAGTGGTATCAGCCGCGGCTGGAAATCAGGCTAGGGTTTTCAATTATGAAGAATGACGTCGGTGAACATGAAAATCGAAAAGTTCACGGGGAAGAACAGCTTCGCTATATGGCAGATCAAAATGCAGACTTTATTAAAACAACAAGGGTTATGGGGGCCGCTGTCTGCGAAACAGAAGAAGGTAGAGGTCGATGACGATGAGTGGAATACCCTGGAGGAGAAGGCCCACTCGACCATCATGTTATCGCTGTCTGATGATGTCATCATTGAAGTCGTTGCTGAAAAGACTGTCGCCAGCTTGTGGTTGAAGTTGGAGAGTCTGTATATGACGAAGTCCTTAACCAATAAATTGCATCTCAAGCAACGGTTGTTCAGCTTGAGGATGCAAGAAGGTACGCCTTTGAGGGAACATCTCGAACAGATTAACTCTATTTTGCTGGATGTTCAAGTTGATGACGAGGATGCTGCCCTAATCCTGCTGGTTTCTTTGCCGAGTTCATATGAGAATTTCATTGATTCTTTTATTGCCGGTAAATAAAGCGTGTCGTTGGAGGATGTCAAGTCTGCTCTTCATACTAGAGAGATCAGGCATAAGGCATCCGAATCTGGTACAGGTGGTGAGGCATTAGGTTTGGCTATTACAGGTGGAAAGGGAAAGAAGAAATCTGGTAAAGGGAATTCGAACAAGAATTCCAAGGGTTCCGGTCCACAGCCAGGTGATGCTTGTCACAACTGTAAGGAAGTGGGGCATTGGATGTACAATTGTCCTAGGAGAAGAGGGCAACAGAAGAAACAAGGTTCAGTTGTCGTGCATGGCAGAAGTGGACAACAGTTCTGAAGACGATCTCGCCTTGGCTGTAGATTAGAAGGCACATCGTGGGGATGTGTGGTTTCTGGATACTGCAGCTTCATACCATATGTCTCCGAACAGGGATTGTTTCACAACCTATGAGCAGATAGATTGTGGTAACGTGGTCATGGAAAATGGAACTGTCTGCAAGGTTGTTGGAATCGGGTCCATAAAGGTTCGGGCACATGATGGTTTGTTCTGTACTATGAATGATGCCAGACATGTTCCACAAATGACAAAGAACCTGATCTCATTGAGTCTACTCGACGGCAAGGGTTTCAACTTCAAAGGAAAATGTGGAGTTGTGTATGTCTGCAAAGGTTCAAGGAAGGTGCTGAAGGGGGTGAAGCGTAGGACCTTGTATGCATTACAAGGGTTTGTGCTGTCTGGTTCTGCTGTAGTTGCATCGTCTCAGGTTCTTCAGGAAGATATGACCACTCTCTAGCACATGAGACTGGGGCACATGACTGAACGGGGGATGCAAGTTCTATCAAAGTGGGATCTTCTTTGCAGGCACAAGGTGCAGAATTTGGAATTCTGTGAGCATTGTGTGTTTGGGAAGCTACATCGCAGCAAGTTTCCCAAGAAGGGTATCCACCAGACGAAGGGGATATTAGATTACCTCCACTCCGACTGTTGGGGTCCTTCACGAGTTGAATCCATTGGAGGAAGCAGGTATTTTCTGTCTATTATTGATGATTATTCGAGATTTACTTGGATTTTCATAATGAAACAGAAAAGTGAGGCTTTCACGAAGTTCAAGCAGTGGAAGACATTGGTGGAGAATCAGACCGGGAAGAAGATTAAGAAGCTGCGAACGGACAATGGTCTGGAGTTCTGCAATTCTGTGTTCAACGAATTCTGCAGGGATGAAGGGATTGTCGGTCATCAGACCGTTAGAGATGCACCTCGGCATAATGGTGTTGTAGAAAGGATGAACTATACATTGTTGGAGAGAGCACGGTGCATGCTCTCTAATGCTGTACTAGAGAGAAGATTCTGGGCAGAATCAGTAAACATGGCATGCTTCCTGATCAACTGTGGACCTCACACATGTATTGAGTTTAAGACTCCTTATGAAGTATGTTATGGTAAGCCTGCTGATTAGTTTTCGCTGAAAGTTTTTGGGTGTCCTGTTTATTATCATGTGGATGAGGGTAAACTTAACCCAAGGGCAAAGAAGGGTGTATTTGTGGGTTCAGAGATGGAGTTAAGGGATTTTGAGTCTGTTTACCTTCTGAGCATCGATTTATACTTAATAGAAATGTGATATTTGATGAGAAGTCTATGTTTAACCCCATGTTGAAGGTTACTGTTGTTGAAAGTAGTAGGAATGTTGATAAGCAGGTGGAGCTGCAAACTCTCAATGAGAGTGAGTTCGAGAACCAAGGTGGAGAAGATAAACATGATGATGTTTCTACAAAGCCATACACTTCAAAGTCCAGTGCAGGAGCTCAACAGTCTATAGCTTCCGATAGACGGAAGAGAGCGACTGCAGGAATACCTCCAGAGAGGTATGGTTTCGAGGACATGGTGGCGTATTCATTTCAGTTTGCTGAAGAAGTGGATGGAGGTGAGCCACTGTCCTATAGAGAAGCCGTTTCGGGTGGCGAAGCTGATTAGTGGCTTTCCGCAATAGGGGATGAGATGGAATCCCATGACAGGAATCAGACTTGTGAGCTAGTCAAACAACCACATGGAAGGAAGATTGTTACAAACAAGTGGATCTACAAGAAGAAGGAAGAAATCACTTCTAAAGAGGGCATGAAATTTAAAGCTCGGGTGGTTGCACGAGGCTTCTCACAGAGGGAAGGAGTTGACTACAATGAGATTTTCTCACCAGTGGTCAGACATACTTCGATCAGAGTGCTACTAGCAATAGTGGCACATTATGACTTGGATCTCGAGCAGCTAGACGTGAAGACAGCTTTCTTGCATGGAGAGTTGGAGGAAGAAATTTACATGACTCAGCCAAAAGGATTTCAGGTTTCAGGAAAAGAAGACTATGTTTGTAAGCTGAAGAAGTCCTTGTATGGACTTAAGCTGTCTCCGAGGCAGTGGTACAAGAGATTTGACAGTTACATGCTTGAGCTGGGCTACAACAGAAGTCCATATGGTTGTTGTGTGTATCACAACAAAGTGGAGGATGGTTCGATGATCTATTATGTTCTGTATGTGGATGATATGCTTATAGCTGCGAGGTCGAAGTCTGATATCTAGGAGTTAAAGGGGCTTCTTAGTGCTGAGTTTGAGATAAAGAATTTGGGAGCTGCTTAGAAGATCTTGGGTATGGAGATTTACAGGGACAGGTCGAAAAAGAAGCTTTTCTTGTCATAGAAGAGCTACATCCAGAAGATATTATCGAGGTTTGGCATGTCTTCAGCAAAGCCCTTAAATACGGTTAATGCTTCAAATATTCATTATCCTCAGCTTATGCACCGCAGTCAGAGACTGAGAAGGAGTACATGTCGAGAGTCCCGTATGTTAGTGCAGTAGCTAGCTTGATGTACGCTATGGTATGCACTAGACCTAATCTTGCACATGCTGTTAGTGTTGTCAACAGGTTCATGATACAACCTGGGAAGGAGCATTGGTAGGTTGTGAAGAGGATCTTCCGGTACCTTAAGGGTACACCTGATGTGGGGATTAGTTTCGGAAGTGATACAGAGTGCTTGGTTCTGACTCGAACTATGCTGGAGATGTTGACACGAGGAGATCGATGACCAGTTATGTATTCACTCTCGAGAGTTCTGTAGTGAGCTGGAAAGCAACTCTGCAGTCGGCAGTGACATTGTCTACTACTGAGGCAGAGTATATGGCGTTGACAAAAGTTGCTAAGGAGGGAATATGGTTGAAGAGACTGGTTGGTGATCTGGGTCTACATCATGATAAGGCAGTAGTGTATTGCAACAGTTTGAGTGCAATATGCTTGGCCAAGGATCAAGTCAGCCATGAGAGGACTAAGCACATTGATGTATGGTATCATTTCTTGAGGACAGAGAAGAGGATTAAGGTGAAGAAGGTTGGCACCGCGGATAATCCTGCTGATATGTTCACGAAGCCGGTTCCACATGGCAAGTTCCAACACTGCTTGGACTTGCTGAATGTCTTGAGTGGGTGACTCTGCCCTATGGGTTATTGATGGAGAGAGAGAGAGAGAGAGAGAGAAGGAGTAGAGTACATCAGAGATTTCAGAGAAAGAGGATTCAAGTCAAGGTGGAGATTTTTTGATGTGACTTGAATCAGACTATCGACCGTGGACTAGCTAATACACGATATCGTGTTAGTGAACCACGTAAATCATGTGTCTGTTTTTTTCGATTCTCACTTTCTTATTCTGACTTTATCGATTCCTGCGATTCTTCACAAAAAAGTTTGAGGCATCAGTGACTGTTTGTTGGGCCGCCAAATGTTTTCGTGACGTTTTGACCATTGGTAAAGGACGAAAAACTATTTCAGGAGTTTTACGTGGTATCCTCGATCGATTGATTGATCAAGACTAATCCACGGTGAGCTCGGAACGAGCTCACGACTGATGTTTTATTATACGACTACATCTTGACGGCTTGCTTACGACATGTTTGTAGCTAAGCTTATATAGAGATAGACGTAGGGTTAAAACCGTAAGGACAACCAAGTTTCCTTCTTTTACTTGAACAAGGAAAACTAGGGACTTGTAGGACAAGGAATTAATATCCTCAACACTCCCCCTCAAGCGAAGACATGAATGACAAGAATGTCGAGCTTGAAACTTAACAACACTCAAACAACCTCTTGCTGGCAATGACGATCCAACTGGCTGTGACTTTGTTCGCTTGCGGGAGGGGTAGACAAATGATGAAACTACTCCATGCTTGACCCAGTTCCTTTGACAGTGAACTCAGCATGGTGAAACTCCTAGACGTCGTGGATGAGACTGATCCTACTCCATACTTGACCCAGTTCTTTGACAATGAACTCAGCATGGCGGAATTCCTTAACGTCTTGGATGAGATTGAAGGCTGATGATTGCGTTGCTAACTTTTGAGACTTCTACCTGCACTGCTGACTGTGCTTCCCCGAGCAACATGATTGATTGATACACACGGTCGAATTTATTACTGAACTAGTCGACCTACATGTGTTGATTCCCTATTCTCCCCCTCAAACTGGAGCATGAACGTAGTGAATGCCCAGTTTGAAAGTTAGAATGATGAAGACTGAAAATTACCTGATCCTGAACAGCGAGGGGACGATCGTTTCTACGATCGTGACTGTCTCGCTTTATCACTTGATCATGACTGACTATTGAAGGGACGACCATTAGTGTCTTCACTGCCATGACATTGATTGATATTCCGATTAATGACGACAACTGGAACGAGGCACACAATTTCAAACACAAAGACAAGGCAAAACAATTCCATTGTTGACCATGTAATTGCTTTGACCTGACCAACTCCTATATCTCTCGTTTTGAATTAACCAAAACGGAATCAATGGGCTGGCCGTGAATGCTTGATGAAGACGACCGGGCCGCAACAATAACAATGCTTCTCTGCAAAACATTGGAATTGTACGTAGCCGGAACTTTGAGCTTCACAAAGAAACGAAAGTCAACAACAGGTTGTGAGCAAAGGGTCGGCTGGTGACGAGCCTTCGATGAAGTTGCAGCAGTGACAGGTACTGGCTTGCAACGACGGAAGACGCCGCGGTCGCTGACATGGGCGGCGGCTGTGAGGATATAATGTAGAATTTGATGATGCGGAATTGAAAATAACACGGGACAACGAGTTTTACGTGGTATCCTCGATCGATTGATTGATCGAGACTAATCCACGGTGAGCTCGGAACGAGCTCACGACTGATGTTTTATTATACGACTACATCTTGACGGCTTGCTTACGACATGTTCGTAGCTAAGCTTATATAGAGATAGACGTAGGGTTAAAACCCTAAGAACAACCAAGTTTCCTTCTTTTACTTAAACAAGGAAAACTAGAGACTTGTAGGACAAGAAATTAATATCCTCAACATTTCTAACTAAGTGTTCTCTTGTAGTGTGAAAACAGTCAAACACCGACGCGTTGTCTAATTGGTTATTTGGTTAATCATTCGATCAAGAATTCATGAACAGTGATTACAACGGCTACTAAACAAACAGTAGCAAGAACGCTGCGCATCACTTAAAAAATGTAAAGAAAGGAAGAGAAAAAACAAACACCGAAAAATTAAAAAAAAAAAAAATCAGACCACTGGAGTCAACAATGGCTTGTTGAGGAAATGAGCTTCTAAGTTACCAACAACAAGGTCAGCCATGGCTTTCCTGGCCTCGACCGTCGCACTCCCTACATGCGGCATTAGCACCACGTTGTCGAGCTTGAACAGCTCTTCCGGCACGTTGGGCTCGTCTTGAAACACGTCCAGCCCAGCGCCACCCAGCCGCCCTTCCAGCAGCGCCGACACCAGCTCCGCCTCGTCGACATGTGGGCCCCGCCCGATGTTGATGAGGACTCCCTCGGGACCAAGAGCGTCGATGACGTCACGATTGATGATGTGGCGGGTGTCGGGGGTCAGGGCGCAGGCGACCACCAGGATGTCGCAGTTGGCTGCTAGGTCGACGACGGTGGGGCAGTAGTTGTAGTTGATGCAGGCGGGTTTTTTGGATCTGGAGAAGTAGCTGATCGGGCAGCCGAATGCTTCCGCTCTCTTTGCGATCGCCATGCCGATGTTGCCCGGACCGATGATCCCAACGGTCTTGCCGCTGAACTGTTGAGAGAAGAAAACTTGTTATGAATGATTAATATATGAGATTTTCAAAACAAAAAAAAAATTCCAATATGAATAATGAAATCACTTGTATTCTACTCTGTAATGGCGGATAAAGAAATTTTATATAGGATATCCCATTTCAAATGTAATTAATGATTGAAAATTTAAAAATTCTTAAATAAAAAAATATCTGACTAATTAAGGGTTGTTTGTAAATAATCATAAATGCTTAGAAGAAAATAATCATAAATGTGACCAAAATCTTTAGGATAAAGGGTAGTTTGTAAATAATTGAGAATAAGAAATTGGCTTTTATATTTTGGAAAATAAAGTGTCATAAGTTCGAATATGTCTCGGAACACCCTTACACACTACCTGGATCCACCGCTCATATCATGACGCAACTTATTTGAATTTATACATATATGGGTAATATAAGTTTATATTTAGTTATGTATTACTAAGGAGCATGGTTCAAAAAGGCACGGTTAATCTTACGCTTAGGTACGATTAGGCGCAAGGCAATGAAAAAACGCCTCGCCTAGGAGTTTCGCGCCTAATTAGATGCTGGAACACTTCAATTGAGTAAGGCGACATATAAGTCTCTCCTAAACATTTCTAGATGGAGCTAGGAAGTCAATATTAAAGGAGAAAATTAGCATCAACTACTAAATCAATTTTCTATATCAATATTTTCAATAGCTCAAGAACTTTGTGAACTATTGATCTATAAATCTATGAATTCATGAGCTATGTTCTTGTCATTAATTGTTGGGTAAGTTATTAATCATTTAAACTGAAGTGAAGAAGTACTGTTGTAGATTACTATTTCATTTATCATGTCGTACGAATAGCTATTTCCTTCCAACGTCTATGCACGCTTAATCTGGGCCTATATATGCAATCTAGGCGCTAGACAAAGTCTCAACGCCCGCCTTACGCCTAGCACCTTTTTAAACCTTGCTAAGGAGATTCGAACCTAATGCCTTGGCCTTCCAAGCAGTGGCGGAGGCAGGTCCTTTGAGCCTTGTCACGCGACAGGGGTAAATTTTGGAGAAACAAAAATACGCCATATATATTTATTGTTTGTTCAAAAGTTGACATAAAATTAATTTATTATACTATAAACGATATTCCAATTGCAATAAATACCTAATTAGATCTCTTTTTCCTTATGCCTATTCGATCTTATCCCCTACAACCCTGAAATTGTTGTCTAGCGACAACGACAATTTCACTAGTTTTGATTCTACCAACTAGAACTACAAGTGTAAAAAGAGAATTTTCAGCTTTGTGTTATATCAAGAACAAGTTTCCAAGTCGATATGGCGACCAGTTTGCTAATGCTTGTTTAGTGAGATACACTGAAAGAGACTTATTTAATAGTGTATACAACGAATATTTTTGCGTTTCTTTTACAATATGAAATTCCTTCGTCGTTGTTCTGAAAACTATAATTGTATAGTCGGTTATTTTTAATCTATAAATAAATTATTTTGTATAATTAATTTTAATTATTTTTTATTAAATAGTGTTTAATTAGATATTTATATATTTAAGTTATTAAAAGAGGATAGGGGTGGTTTAAAATGATGCCTCCGCGCCACTGCTTCCAAGCCAATGGTATATTATCACTGGACAAAATCTTTGTTCGTAGAATTAGCGTACCTTGGTGGTGAGCTCGTAGTCTCCAAGCTTGCTCCACAACCCACTCCTAACGTAGCGATCAATGGGACAGAGCCTCCTGGACACAGCCAGCATGAGCCCCAAGGCCAGATCGGCGACGTCGTCGGTGGAAACATCGGGGCAGTTGGTAACCCTAATCCCTTTCTCCTTACATTTCGCCAGATCGATCTTGTCCACTCCCACGCTGTAACTGGACACAATCTCCAAGTTGGGCAGCTGGTCGATCAGCTCGGCGTCGGCTCCTACAAATGCGGTCCCGACCACGGCGCGGATGGAGTCCCTGTGGGATCTCAGGAACCGGGCCGCCTTGTCCGGCTCGGTGGTGGTATCGAGCTTGTGGAGAGTGAATTTCTCTTCCAGGGCTTCGAGTAGGTAAGGTTGGACTTGGACCGACGAGCAGGTCATCAGGACGTCGATGGAATGATGATCGACGGTGGAGGTGGTGGCCGGGTAAAGATGGACCGGCGGGTAGGTGGTGAGGACGTTGGTGGAATAGTCGATTGAGGAAATGGAGACGGCGGAGGAGGAGGAGGAGAGGGGCCGGCGGAGGTTTGTAGTGTGGAGAAGTGGGTTGGTGGTGGCGGCGGCGGTGTGGTGGTGGTGGTGGGGAAATGGACAGAGGTTGAGGTGGTGGTGCTGTTGGGTGGCGGGAAGGAGTTTCGCCGGGAACCACATCGACATATTTGGGACAGGAAAGAAAAGGAATTTGGATTCGGTTTTTTTTTTTTTTTTTTTTTTTGTGTGCTGTGATAATCTGACTATAATTCGGAAATAACAACAGAACAATTAATAGACGTCATTTCCTTCATAAAGAAATAGAATCCGCGCGCGCGGAATGAAGGGACGATCTCGTTGACGGTTATTTTATTAATTTAACGAAGCATGCAGGATGGACTGAAATCCGCCAACAGCACGAGTGCGCGCATCGATTGGTTGCTTCCCATAATCACTTATCATGCTCCAATTTGTTTAAAGGACTTTTTCCAGCTTGTCCAATGATTGAACCAATAAAAATTATTTCTTCACGTAATTCTAATTAATGATTCGAATCGTACATAACTATTATATTCACTGAACATAATTTATTTTTTCATACAATATCATCAACCTTGTTTATCAACTGATTCATTTTCACATGCTTTTATAAATCGCGTGAAAATAGATATTGTATGAGTGTAAAGTGAAATGGCATGAAATTAGATCGACTGAGTTGCTTGAAAAAATGTAACTTTTTTACTTAAATTGTCTGTCGAATCAGGACCGGGCTTCCTAATTCCGTTGACTTCTTCTCCAGAATTTCATTCAGGGACCGGGTATCATAAGATGTTTATCCACTACCATTAAGAATAGAGACCGATGGTTCGTTTTATCTGCCTCTAAAAATTTGCTGGAATATCGCCTCCAATTCCCATCTTACTACAATGTGAGTTGAAGGTTTTAGAAAATTGAGGTGGGCTTATTTAGGTATAGCTGATTTAGGTTTAGGAACTTTTGTATGGGTGAAGTCTCTTGTCACGTTAGGTGACAAAAACACCTAACTTTGGGTAATTCACGCCATATTTGCGTTATTCACGCCATACTTGTGTCATTCACGTCATATTTGCGTTATTCACGTAAGAATGTTGATTATTCAAGTAACCAATACTGTTAGGTCACGCCACCTGATGTTTATTGACGCATATTGTTAATTATTCACGCCGTTGTAAAATCAAATTTTAAACTTTGAAATATATCAAAATGGATGTCATTGTGTAGATTATGATCAATGCAACATGTTTATACAGATAAAATGATAATCTAAATTTAATTCCATAAAATATAGCCGATACAAATTATTAGGAGGAAAAAGTATGAATTTCCATTTACGTGAAAAAACTTACACTCTTACGTAAATCACCATATTATTACGTGAATAAGGATAAAATGACGTGAATGGTCACAAAATGGCGTAAATAAACTGGTCTTAGGTGTTCTGTCACCTAACGCGACAAGAGATGTTTTCCTTTTTGTATTTCAATGCGGGTGTTGTAACCATGTCTTCTTTTTTCTTTTGAGATCTCCATTGTTGAGATACACTTGATTTATTCTTTCCTCGAATTATTTTATATGGGTAAATTGTATGGGTGGTCATTGATATTAATAAAAAGTTCACATTTTGTCACCAAAAATACTTAATTCCATTTATGATCACTAGGATTAGTTAAATATTCTAAGTTTGGTCACTCTTCGTTAATCGCCGTCAACCTTCATTAACATCGTCAGTTTTTTACTGACGTGACTAATAGAAATGTCTAATCATGAAAAAATAAATACCCGGCCCGCAACGTGAACCTTCATAACCAAACCTATCAAACGAAACACTGACCCTCCCTGGCCACTTCTATCCGCTACCAATCTGCCTCCTCTTCTTACATGCTCGATGGTGGGAGCTTCAGGCTTTAAATAGTCGTCGGGACCATCTGAATCGGCTGCCCGAGCCCCAACAAAATGCCTCCACCGGAAACCTTCTCTTCTTGCCCTACTCCTAGCTTCCTCTCTCTGCTTGATTTCCGTATCCCATTTCTCGAACTCGGTAATGTTTTTCTTTTGGTTTGAAGGTTAGGACTTTTCTACTTTTTGCTTGCTTTTCTGGGGTTTTGATTCTAGACAAGGTTTACTTTTTGGTCAAAATTCAAACTATTAATTTTTAAAATGTCACGTACTTGTTCAGACGCAAAGCGATAGCGAGCGGGATTATACTAGTGTATAATTAAAACCAAATAAAAGACTCAAAAGGATATAGGTTGTAGTTGTCGTTGTCGGAAAAGAGCCACACCCAACAATTAAGTTTCCACTAGTCCCTAGCAACTAGCAGTTTTCCATTTTCGAGACAACCTGGATGTTAAGTAGTGAATCTCCGGACCGGTTAGCGTGACTATCCCTTAAGGGGGTCTGGTTCAGTGGCGGACTGAGGATTGTTGAAGAGGGTCACCTAATGAATGAGTTATGAGTATCAGTTATAATTATTACAGCGGTGTTGGAAATCTCGTATTAAGTTCTTCACAAAATTTTCGAGTTTAGTGGTGTCAGACGACACCCTTAAACAACACGTAGGTCCATCCCTGGATTTTTTATACCCATCTTCTTTACCAGTTCATTCTCACTAGTGTTAATCTAATGGTAGGAAGTTAACAGTTGATAGTTTGTAATTAATAATGTAATTAATTATCCCAACATACATTGAAAAGGGAAAGAAATTGTTCCCACGCATAATTTAAATGTAGTAAGGCTTTTCTCTCCCCCTTTTATCTTTCCTGGACGTCTCCTTCTCTCTCCTTGATTTTCCTCTTCCTCTGCTCGCCGCCGCCTCCTCTTCCCAACTGTAGTCCATGTTTTCCGATCTTCGACACACTGATAAGATCCTCTCCCTACGACACTGCAAACGGATCAACAGAGAAGACGACAACCCTCATCACCTTCCCGGCAAAGACGATGGCCCTCGTCCCCTTCCTGCGCTGGTTCTCATTCACATCCGGCGAAGAATCTGAGGTATCTCTCTCGTCCAAACCCAAATCTCGGTTTTTTGTGTAGTGTCAGTACAAGTGCAATGGTCTCTTCATTACCCACATATGTGTCTTTGAGTTTACAGATCTGAAATTTTTCATGTGATATTAGTACTAGTGATAGCTTTGTTTCTATCACTAAAGTGGTATAAAATGTTTATTGCGGCTAATATTTGTACCACTTAGGTGGTAGTTCTATAACCAATTTGTCGAAGGTGTGTCTATGACTGGACTGGTATATATTGTTGTTTATGGCTAGTAAAAGTACCACTCCAATGACAGTTTTGATTTCACATTGTTCGTTGTGCAGCTATCACTGGAATGGTATGCAATGCTTAGTATGGTTAATAATAGTACCACTACAATGATAGTTTTGTTTGAGTGTCATTTCTTTGATGTACCACTGATTGGGTATCTCTGCAGTGATAGTTTTCTTACGTGTTGATCTCTTATATCTATCACTGAGTTGATAGTTCTGAGTATCCTTGGATGCAGGAATGGACAGGATCGGATGAAGAGAGCGTATCCTTGGGTTCCTAGAGGGAAGAGGCATGGAACCTATCTTCCTCGTCATGTAGAAGTTGTCAGGATCATCCCCCGACTGTGCGTACCAACAAGAAGTGACGCCGTGAGAGCTGGGATAATGGACAACAAGAAATGAAAATGAGGAAACGTATTGATTATGTTATCGGCTAGAAGCGCAGCCCCAACTCTATAATTCAATTTTTTCCCCCGTCGCATTACCCAAGTGACCCAATCATCCTTCGGCACCTGATTTATCGTTATTTAGGCTTTCCACAAACAATTTTCTAGTGATATCATTTTTATTTATTACATTGTTGGATATTTTTTGTTGGGCTTAATTGCAAGTTTGGTCACTCGAATTGCTATAAAATTTCACTTAGCCACTAGAATTACTTTATTCCATCCGTAGTCACTCAAATTACTTACACAGTCCAAGTTCGGTCACTCTCCGTTAACTTTTGTTAGACTCCGTTAACTGAGGCCATTAAGTGATGACGTGGCTAACAGAAAATCCCAGTTAGCTCAATCTAACCCTAAAAAACGACGACCGGACCCGCCATGTCAGATTTACCTGCCATGTCAGCCCTCCCTACCCAACCTGCGAGCCAACCCAAGACCCAACCCAAGATCCAACCCAAGACCCGACCCCTCTTGATCTTTTTTATAAGTCTACCCTTCTAAATGATGGAGGAAGAGAACAAATGGTTAGTAAGATGGAAGCCTTCATTTAGAAGAGAAGGAGGAAGAGAACAGATGGTTAGGAAGATGAAAGCCTTCATTTAGAAGGGTAGACTTATAAAAAAGATCAAGAGGGGTCGGGTCTGGGGTTGGGTTGATTATTGGGTTGGTTTGTAGTTGGGTAGAGAAGGGTGACATGGCTGGTAAATCTGAAGTGGCGGGTCGGGTCGTTGTTTTTTAAGGTCAGATTGAGTTGACTGTAATTTTTTGTTAGCCATGTCATCACTTAACGGCCTCAGTTAACGGAGTCTGACGAAGGTTAACAGAGAATGTCGAACTTGGACCGTATAACTAATTTAAGTGACTACGGATGGAATAAAGTAATTTAGTGGATAACATGAAATTTTATAGCAATTCAAGTGACCAAACTTGCAATTAAGTCTTTTTTGTTGTTGGCATTTCCCTTTTTTTAGAAAACATTGTGCTCCACGGTTACTGGTCATACTAATAAAAAGTTGATGGTTTGTATACGTATCAGATTGGTTGTATATATATCTTTGCAGTAGTACATGTATCTATAAAGTGGTTCAAGTATCAGTGCAATGGTATGTATGTCAATTCAATAATATATAACTATCAGTTCAGTGATACATGTATATTTTCAATGATACATGTATCAGTTGCAGGTGGTACATGTATCTGTTAAGTGGTTCAAGTATTAGTGCAATGGTATGTGTGTCAGTTCAGTGATATATGTATATGTTCAATGATACATGTATAAGTTGCAGTGGTACATGTATCTATTAAGTGGTTCAAGTATCAGTGCAATGATATGTGTGTCAGTTCAATAATATATAACTACCAGTTCAGTGATACATGTATCAGTTCAGTGGTATGTGTATCACTGCAATGGTATGTGTATCACTGCAATGGTATATCTATCAGTTCAGTAATACATGTACCATTTCAATGGTCTGCAAAGTATATCTAACACTGTAATGAGAACATTTAGGATGAGTTTCGATTTTGATAATGGTGCAAGTACAAAGTATCAAACACTCAAAGTGGGTGGTCACATTTTGGTGTGGAAAGTATGACTTGAATAGTTGAACTGGTACTTGTATCAGGTCAATGGTACATATACCACTTAATTGATACATATATCAGTTCAATGGTATATGTACCAGATCAGTGATACTGGCACATGTTCACGGCAATGCCGCCGTCTCCCTGATGTTGTAAAGTTGCATTTCACGACAGGGAGCGGTGGGAAATGACCCGCCGCCGCCCTCCATATTCTTCTTCGTCTCCGGCAGGTTTTTCCTCGGCGGCCGTCAGTCCATCCTGCGGTGGAGAAGAGAGTTCGATGTCGTCTTCACCCCCCATCATTCGATGCCATCACAGGAGCAGCCATTCTTGGCATGCCTAGAACCGTCGTATAGAATCTCAGATCTGTATCCCCTCCCGGCGTGGCCTTCGTCGGTTTGATCTTCGGCGATATTCTCTGTGTCTTGTCCTCCGGCAGCGAGCAAACCACCAGGCAGGTCGGAGGAAATCCCACCGCGACGATGCCCGATGGTTTCAGGCCGTCGTCTACTTCTATAGAGGAGAGACCCGGGTTGCTATTTTTTCGGTAGGAGCAATGTAGTCAAAAGCGAGTTTCTACGTACACACGTTTTGGTGATCTAGAAGCGTCAAATCGTAAGTTTTTAAGTTTTAATGCGAGTTTTTAACTACATAAGCTATAAAAACTAAAATTTTGTGTAGAAACGTTTTAGTGACCTAAAAACGTAAAATCGTAAGTTTTTAAGTTTTAAAACGTGATTTTGACTACATTGGGTAGGAGATATGGGGAATATGGAAATAATGGGAGATTAATCAATGCTTAGCCCCCATCCAGCGTGATTGCTCTTTCCCAATAAAGCAATAATAATGGAAACTTTCAATTTTTAAAGTATACGGAAAATTAAAAATAATGTTTCAGTTTACTCACCCAAAGATGAATGACAGATGTATAGCTGCTAGAAGATTGTCAAACCCAATCCCTTTTGGGGTTAGCATAGTATCATATCCCATGAATCTCTGCCTACAAAATTAACAAACAACTACCTTGGAAATGAATAGGGGAGTAAAATTCAGTAAAATGTACTCCATGAGCCACATTTATCAAAGTCTGAAGTAAAGCCACCACACAAATAGCCCACCCAAAGCCAACAAATTAAAATAGGCCATGTAATAAAAACAAGTCTATTACTAGAACATTAAAAATAAGCCCAATAAGAAATCCCACACTAATTAAGCTAGCTCACTCAAAGAAAGGTGGCAAACAATTCATAAATAGAAGAGGACAAATCAACAATAAAATGATACTCAGACGTTTAAGAACTATCCACTCCCACCACTATTGGTGCCTAACAACGGAATTACAAACTTGTTGAGTCATCATTTAAATTGGTTCGGTTGAGAGGTGCACCAGTTGTTAAAGTTCTTTTTTCTCTTTTGATGAAGAAATTATTTACAAACTGACTCAAGGTTTAGCGTCGAGACTTTGCGGGCAATGAGATATGCATTCTTTGAAGAATGAACTAAATATGATGCCGCTCTTATGGTTCATAGTTAGGAATATGAAGTTTCTTCCCTTGCAAAATTACTAGAGAATCTAGTGGAAATAGGGATGGTCACACAATAAATATTTTTTTTTTTCAGTTGATTCGTTTAGTGTTGACTTTGTCGGTTTCAACAGCTACTACAGAGAGAACGTTTTCAGCAATGCAACATATGAAAAGTGATTTGCTCAACGAAATGAGCGATGAATTTCTCGTTGATTGCTTAGCTATTTTCTTTGAGAGAGTATGCTATTGGTATGAATGAAGACTCTGTTATTGATGGATTTGCTAAATTAAAATACCTTTGTGTACAATTGACATTGTAATGAAAAATAAAGTTGTACAATTTGAACAATTAACATTGTAATGAAAAATATAGTTATTTCTTATATTTTTTTCCATAATATCTTATAGGACTTTGCTACGGTGACATGCATGTCATCGTAACTTGCACTTTTAGGTCGACCTTATATAGGATTAGGTCGACCTAATATGCCATTTCAGTTTTGTGAGGTTCAACGACGCGATTGACCTTTTATAGCAAATGGTCGACCTCTTTGGGAAGCGATGTGGGTGGTTCTTTTGCTCGTACAAATTACGTTTCAAACCAACAGGATCAGTCATAAATAATGATAACAAGGACTCATAACTTCATAACATAACAACTAAACAAACTAACAAGAAATATAATAAAACACAAATCATAATTTTTCACACATAACTAAAATCTAAAACCACATAATATCAATCCACAATCGGTTTTAACACTTAACAATAAAAACAGTCAATCTAAAATCATCGAGTTCCTACTCCTGTCCCTCCACATTTTCTTCATTGGTGTTGCTAGCATTATGGTAGTCGGAAGTTACGGTGACATACATGTATCTTCCACTGAAAGATCGAAACTCATCTCGCATCTCATTCACAGTCACCTGCAGTGTGCTCATCAGGATGGTCATTTGCCCCATGTAGTCGTACATGCCAGTCATCTGGATGGAAATCTGAGCCATCTAATCGTACATGTCATCCATGCGCTTCCCAAGAGGTCGACCATTTGCTATAAAAGGCCAACCGCGTCGTTGAACCTCACAAAACTGAAACGACATTTTAGGTCAGGTCGACCTAAAAGTGCATATTAGGTAGACTCAATCTTATATAAGGTCCACCTAAAAGTGTAGATTAGGTCGACCTAATCCTATATAAGGTCGACCTAAAAGTGCAAGTTACGATGACATGCATATCACCGTAGGCATACCCTAATTTCTAAGTTACATTGCCTCCCAATTAAGAGTAGAGTTGGATAGTGGTGGGGGAGGGGGGATTCCCTTCCCCTAGTTTCCTCTCCATCTAAAAACAAAGAAAATTGCATGAATACTTTGTATTTCGACTCTTAATTTTCTATTAAAAAATAGGATTGTTTAAGGATTTCCTTTAGATTATGTATAGGGTTGTGAGGTAGTTCAGGGACAGAGCTAGTGTTGTGGCTCCATCTATATAGCCAAGTATGGAACGCCACAATATTAAAGTAGTTGTCGCCTACTGATCTGATGGTGTTACGCTCTGTTTTCAAAGAAAGAAAGGAAAGAAAATGGAGGAGAAGGAAATTTTGGAGGGAAGAGAAAATTTAGAATGGAAGGAAAATGATTATTGGAAATTGTGATAGTTATATTGTTTTATTAGCTATATAATTGTAAATAATTTAATTATTTGTTGATTTTATTTTCATTTTCATTGTGGTTTAAATTTATTCTTTATTACTAATTTGGTTCAATTGTTAAAAAAATTCCCAATTAAAAATCATATTATACATGACGCAAATCATCCATTGGTATGGTCCAAACATCGGTTTGGTCCGATGAGGTCTGGAAAACCGTATTTACGATACAATTTTACAAACATTGATTTTAATAGGGTTATAGCATTTTATACCCTTGTACTATTGCAATTTAACAAACATATCCTTCTATTATTTTTCTGCACAAACGTACCCATAGATTATCTAAACGTAACAACCGTAACCTTATGTCCAATATTCCGTTAAGTTACTGTTAAGAGGGTGAGGAAATGACTTATTTACCCCTATTATCATATTGATTTACGTCTCTCATTTCCCTGTAAATATCTTCTATGTACACATTTAAGCTCTGGTACCATCCCACCGTACTCCAAGGAATTAAATCAAGCCCTTCATCCACTCTCATCGACCGGGAAACACGTTACTCTTCATCTTTCACCGGGGGGAAGATAGGGTGCTAACTCCATAAGGGTTAGCACCATCCTAACCATCATCTAAACCGTCCACCCTTATTTAAGATCCAACGACTAAAAATATAAAAAGGATAAATAGTAATAGAAGATACAAATATTAAATTGTAAATTTAATTATTTTACAGCAGAAGCGGGCTGATTTTTTGGGATTGACGGTTTCGATTTATGGATTTGATAGCAGGGTTGTATTTTTCAATTTTTGAGATTTTGAGATCGTGGATGGAGGATGGAGGATGGTTGAACGCAGTCTATCGTCGGCGACGTCTACAAGTCCATCAAAAGCCTACTAATTTCCAAACTGAAAATCACTACAACACAAGACATAACTAGTGACAATACTATTACTACGTAAGTCTAAAAGCACTACTAAACATAGCTACTAACCTTCACTGCTACAATTAAAAACACTACTAAACAAAACCGAGAATCACTACTAAGATTAAAAACACTACTATACCTCTGGACACAATCACGAATCAGTACTAACCTTCAGAATCACTATGCAAAAAGATCTGAAGTATACTAACACGACGTTGAATAAAGACTACTACATCTAAAGAAACAATACTACTACCTTTGCATACTACTTATCTTGAAATCACTACTAATCTAGATCAGAACAAAGATTAGGCAAGAAAGAGATCAGATCTGAAATTCTAAACCCACCCAAAGGCCTTCTTAACATAACTTGAACCCATCTGGACGTCTACATCTGAAGGCGCCTCCCACTACAAAAAAAAATGGTCTATGGCAAGGGTTATTTTGGTCTATACCAAGGGTTTAAACCCCTGCTACAAGATCTACCAAGGGTTTTCCAACCCTTGGACAAGCCCTTGGCAAAGTCGCCCCTGCTACGTGTAGCAAGGGTTTTGAGTGACCCTTGGTGGAAGTCCTATGCAAGGGTTATACCAAGGATTTGGAATCCTTGCTACGTTAGCATGGGTTTAAAACCCTTGCTATTCGTCACTATAGTTGAAAGAGATTATGGACACATAATTTACATTTAGCAACGGTTAAAACCCCTGCTATACTTCGCTAACATCAAAGCAAACTAACATAATTTTCTCGTCGCTAAATATACCGTTGGTAATGAACAACCAATTTGCATCTTTAGGGACGACATTCTTGTTACTAAAGCGAAATATTGTCTGTCACTAAAGTCAGATATTCGCGTCGCTATATGTGAACCCAGATTGGGTGTTCTTTGTTCATTCCAAATGAGAGAACAACAAATTGAATTTCCTAATGATTCAACACCAAATAAATAGTAAACAGAAACAAAAGTACTTCAATAATTTCCTACTGCAACTTGACTGTTGGGAGCCATGTATAACAAGTCAGCAAAAGTATAAAATTGGAAGTGTACAGCCTATATTTGATAGCACCAGTCTATCTAACTCAATAACAAATTCCATGGTCATAGTTCTAAAACACACCTTGTTGCTGGCTCCTCCAGAGCTTCTTCAACGTTTTGTGTTGCTTCAGACAAGGGAGTGGAGCTTTTCTCACTCTCTGGCCCACTAGTAGAACTTGAGGTTACACCAAAGTTAGCATCAAAGCTTCCAAAGCTCAACTTGGTTCTCTCTGATACCATAACATGGATATGGTTTGGAATGATAACATGTTGTCGCTGTGGAAGAGGCAGCTCCAACTTCTGCAAATTAAAACTTAGAAGTTAAATCTTCCATATAACCTCCTGAAGCTGGCTGTGATGGTAAGGCAGTTAGAAGTCATACAACTTATTACATCACTAAAAGTTGAATCTGGTTCAGGATTCTTACCTGATTCTCAGAGTTAGGAGCAACATATGTATCAGCAAGAGATTGATGGCTCCCTGCTTCACGTTTTAGTGTACCCACTATACCAGTAGCAAGCCTTGAATCATTAGATGGCACTAGTACAGGATCTGAAGATGAGAAATAGACAGTTGACTCCCCTGATCCACTAGCAGTGCCAGAAGTTAAACCAATAGGACCATTGGCGACAACGGCAACAGAACTGATAGAGGAATAAATTATTAGGAGAAATGATTACTTAAAAACAGATGGCCTGAAAAACAAAAAATGCAAATTTGAATCAATATACAAGTTACCTTTTAGGGGTAGTTGTGTCTTTACTTTTCTCCTGGGAAGCTGGTGTTGATGAGCCAACACCTTTCTTTGCGGGTTGGCTGGTACTATTTTCCCTTCCAAGCTAAAAGAGGATACTTGAGGCATGCACAATCCAAGTTCTCAAACCTAAAGGAAACCCTAGCACTAGTACATTAAAAAGAGTTCTTTCCAACTAGAAGGGATCATCTTATCGAAAGAGAGCAAGGGAGAACCTACCTTCAATAAACAATTGGGATGTAGTGCAACCCCATCTGTGGCTCTGTCAACTTTGAACCAATCAACTGCTATTAACTGGAGAAGGGGATCTCCACCCACCACCTGAATTATTATTACAACCAGTGTAAGCATAGAAAAGAAAACTAGTCACCTAGCATGAGAAGTGTACAGCAGCACCATCAATGGTGATGATAATTAACAAGGAATCACCTCATTTCAGATTAAAGTATCATGCTTGCAATTTCAAACAAATTCATAAATAATGACCTAGACTTATAGAACTAAAAATACATTATTTACACTATAAATAACAATGTAGGTTAGTTCCATGTGTGTACTGTAAACAAGATCAGCTGACCAAACACTATCCCCAGAACAAGAAACGAAAAAGGGAAGAGACAGTTGGTGCCAAGCTACTAAGATTGGCAACAGATTAATAAGTAATTGACAAGTCCTGTTACACCCAAACATATCACTAAGAAGGCTATTACATAGCACCAATTTGAACCAAAGCTGCTGATACAGAGTCTTGTCTACCACTTCAACCTAATCCAACTGCCAGTTAATGAAATCGGATCATGATCAATGTTTATTAATTGGATCAAAAAATTACCCTTCAGGTGCATGTAGTAGCGAGTAAGGATCATCTTATACTAATCAAGAAAACAAAGTTTTGATCTTAAACCCCGACCAGGGTAGAAAACCCAGAACCAGAATCAGTCAGAAATAATTAACCAAGAAAAAAGACAGATGAGACATTACCTGATTGTTTTCAGCATCTTCCATCCAGTTTTGTCCTGGAAACTTCCTACTGACGAACCTCGCCATGGCCTGAACAGCAAAAATATTATGATACTGAGGAACAAAACGATAGAACTATATCGCCCTTAGAACTATAGATGCACTTAACCATATAAAAAAGATCACCAACTACAGTTTGGAAACTCTAGACTATAAAGATGCAGAAGCCAGAAAGGATGAAAAATCTGTACCAAAGGACAAAGAACTCCACTTGGAAGAAAACACGCCAAGTTTGTTGGCATGACCATCAGAGCGGTACATTGGATTGACAAACCATCCATAAAGAAGTCATGGAAACAAAAGGAATTAGAATCTCTGGATGTCCAATTAAGCCTCAAATAAATTGCAAAGTTAAAGCAGAACTAAACATTAGAGATTTTCCTGGAACACAAATTGCAGCACCCGATCAAAAGAAGGAACAACCTACACTTTCAATGATCTAGACCAACTGGCAGTATCATGTACCTTTCTATTGGGGATATCAGAGAGCGTCACCATAAAGTTCCCCACACTGTTTTCCCGCAAGGAATCCAGAGAAACAAGAGGGAATCTTCCATTTGATTGGCAGACACTTCCCTTTTTGCAGCAGCAGCTCAACGGTTCTAATCCCACCTCAACAATAATATAACCAACACTTAAACCAATCAAAAGTCTAATCATGCCACCTTCAGCAGCCATGCGAAATTGCTGGAGCTGCCTATTAAGTAACTGAGGGTAAAATGAACTAACATATATAGAGAAGAACTAAAGATGGAAGTCTTACAAGCGTCGAATTACTAGGCATGAAATTTCAATGAGAATGAGAACATAGAATCAAGTAAACAACAAACCATAATTGAGTGGATTAAGAAGAAGCAGAAATAATCATACACATCTTTTCCAAATCAAGCTGCTCCTGCGATTATTCTTGAACTACAACCCAACTCTAGTTGACAGGAAGTCAGCCCTGAATTAAGATCAAGTAATGTTAGTATTAGTATTATCATATAAACGGAGAGAAAACATCATAAGGACTAGGACTTAAGTCAATCATATTCACATCATCATAACTCAACCTACAAGAGCTCACCTCTTAAAGATGATTCCAACTTGCCCCTGCCAGCCCAACTGTTTGCTCCAATCTCAACATCAGTCCCCATCCTCACATTCCGAAGGTGCAAACATTGGGGAAGAGAATGGAATAGTAAGTAAATAAGTCCAAATAGCTCCAGATAGAGGGATCGGAGGACTACTAACTCTAAACCCTTGTCTATTTAGAAAGAACTTAGTGTCCACATCAAGTCGCCGCACTTCGAGTGATAGTAAGATCCACAGTCGACATGAAAGACAGAAGGTCCCATGCTCATCACTACAGTAAACCTAAAATCACAGAACTAGAAGAATGTTCGATCGAAACCGATAGAATAATTGAACGAAATCGCAATCCTACGCAGGGGAAGACATATGAGGAACTACATGTGAACCTTAATTTCGTATATGATATAGGGACAGTGTCGTCTTCGATTGTTAGCTCAATCACCATCGACCTCCACTGCTGCTTTCACAACATCAATCCGGTGATTAAACCATATTTTCTTGCGGCTATTGCGAAGAAGCTTGCCAACGGCAGGAAGCACGAGTACGACCACTTTCTTAGCGATGCGATGAAGCTCCGCTCTGGCCTAGCGATCTGCCAGGAACATTGTTGATTCCGCTGTGCGATGTTCTCGAACTAATTGAAATGAAGGCTTCCATAGTCTATGGCAGCGGCGATGGCGATGGCCGAGTTCAGAGCTCAGATCGACGATTTGGGGAGGAAAAGAGAGGCGAAAAAGAGGAGAATTGGGGATTTTTTTAGGATGAGGGTTATTTTATTCTTACTTTTGGTGGGGCACGTCGCGAGTATGCAACCGCCAAGCAGTGGGTAAGGAAATAGAGTTGTTCGCTAGCAACGGTTACTAAACCCTCGAAAGAAACCCTTGTTAAAATGATTTCCGAAATTTTTTGCAGGGGTTTAACTAACCCTTGCAACGTAACCCTTGGCATAGAGGGTTTTTTTGTAGTGTCCAAACAATAGCCGAAGGCGGCGCAGGCGAGATCTATGCAACACAGCTGCCACCGACGGTGGAGGCAAAGGCCGTGCCGATGTAGGCAAGGCTGAAGCAGAGGACACCAACGCAAGCAAGGGAGGCTATGACAACTAGGACGGCGCAGAGCAAGGACAAAGACGTCGGCGATGGCGAGTGATTTTATTGTTTTAATGGGTCGCTCTACTAGAGAGAGAGAGAGGGGAAAGAGACGGAAAAATGGATGAAAGATGGTGGGATTTCTCCCCAAATAACGCACACCAAGGATAGGATCACCTGTTCTTATACCCAAAATGCACCTTTAATATAATAACCCTTAGATTTACTAAAATATGAAGCAACGGAGATGCGTTAGGTTATTGCGGTGCTAACTTTATGGCCAATTAGCAGCCCATCCCATTCCCATTCACCGCTATCGCGTCCCGAATCTCCCTCCCATTATCAACTCCAGGATCACTATCGCTGTCTGATCGAGAAGAAAAAATCTGGAATGATGTTATATCAAAAAATCACATTGTTCGCAATCAGATCCTTCAAGGCAAAATCGGAAGGTAATCCCGCCATTCCTCCACCCTCATCGACCGGGTAACCATTAATCCTCATCATTTACCACTACCGCATTCCAAAACTCCCTCCCCACTATCGACTGTAGAATCCCCGGCGGCCGGCTGATCGATAAGAAGGAATCTGAAATGTTTTTCTTTTGATGCTCTATCGAAAATTCCCATTGTTCGCGGAAAAATCCGGCAAGTCAAAATCGTAAGGTTTATTGTTAACTCACACGGATCTTGTTAGCTGATATATGTGTACTTGTGTTTTGTGTATATTTGTACAGCCCATCTTGTATTTCCGTAGTCCGTTTAGCCCATTCTTTCCATGCCCAGGAAACCCATGTATGGGTCATGTATAGGTGACGTAGATGTGGCCCTAGGGTTCAGCATCTTCTTCTTCCTTTGTGAGCATATATAATCTCGGTAGCTTGGCTGTAGTCTGTAACACGCATTCTAAATAAGATTGTCAGCTTGGAGAGTTGTCACTCTCCCGTGGATTAGTCCTGGACATTCCAGGGATACCACGTAAATCCGGTTGTTCGTGTTCTTCTGATTCGGTTTATTTCCAATAGATTATCATGGTATCAGAGCTTGCAACAATGGAATCCGACCGTCCTGTTGTTCGTCTGACGTCAACCAATTTTGCTCTTTGGGAATTTCAATTTCGACTGTTCGTGGAAGGAAGAGGCCTCCTGGGTGTGCTTGATGAAACAGTTCCTCAACCGGCTTCCACGGCCGACGGCAAAGAAATCTTGACCTGGCGCCAGAATGACGCTCGCGTTCGTTCTTGGTTGTTGGGCTCTGTTGACTCCTCCACCTGTCTCAGTCTTCGCCTCTTCCCCACCGCCAATCAGATGTGGCGTCACCTCGCTGCTACGTACTCGACCGTGAACACAGCCCGTCAATTCGAAATCCAGCTCTCTCTGGCTCGTCTGGAGCAGGGAGATCGCACGATTACAGAGTATTTCAATATTTCTTAGGAACTTTGGACATAACAAGACATTCTGACTGCTGCTCTTCATCCCACGATTATAGAGTATTTCAATCTTGCTCAGGAACTTTGCACTTTCTTATGCGACTCCGTCCAGAATTCGAGGCCATTCGATCCTCTTTGCTGAACAAAGACAACCTTCGCTTTGATGGTATTTTGTCACACCTTGTCCGCGAAGAGATACGGCTTCGGACCCAATCTCAATTGGATGTTCGTCTCGGCGAAGGTGAGGCTGTATTCGCTGCCGTTGCTTCTCAAGAATCTTCTGTGTTTGCTGTCCAACGTCCTCAGTTTCAGAATGGAGGTATGTCACTTGATATTGAATGTCATTTTTGCCGTGAACGTGGGCATCCCAAGAAACACTGCAGGAGTTGGAACAATTGTGTGTACTGTAAGAGATCGGGACATATTGTCCTTGATTGTCGTACCCGGCAGCGCCATGAGGCACGCAATATTGCGGGAGGTTCACATGATGTTAGAGGTCAAAATTCTACTTATTATGACCGCCCAGCAGCTGGTTTTGGTACAAGAAATTATGGGCCAAGGGAGTTTGGGACACGTCCAGCTCGTCCCTTTAGTGGTGACCGAACAACCCATGTTGTTTACCCACCGGAGGCAAGTGGTAGCAGCTCTAGCACCAGCACTGGTTCTCTCTCGGCGGCCACCGTCGAACAACTTGTGAATGTCGCGCTTCAGAAGTCATTACCCACAGCCATTAGCGCTGCTTTTGCAACTCTCCAGGGTATAGGTAACAATTCCCCATGGCTATTGGATTCCGCTTGTTTTAATCATATGACCCACAACTCTGCTAGCTTACAAAATGTGGTTCCGGTCGATAATATGTCCTTAACGGTAGCCAATGGGGGCAGCCTAAAGGTTAATGGTGTGGGTATGTTGCATGACAAGAATTTATCTCTCTCGCATACACTTTATGTGCCTGAATTAGTTCCTAATTTAGTATCTGTGGGTCAGCTTACTGAGCAAGGTTGTTCTGTCTTGTTTGCTCCGACTGGATGTTTTATACAGGATTTGAAGACGGGGAGGCAGATCGGAAAGGGGAATAAAAGGGGGCGCATTTTTTACTTGGACGAGCTTCATGGATGCCATCCCTCGTCGTCCGTCAGTAGTCATTTCCCTAGGAATGTCAGTAGTCTTTCTAAAACAGCTTTGTGCCCGTCGGATTTTCCTTTCAGTTTTTCCAGTTTGTCAAATAATGATGTTTGGGATATTTGGCATTCTCGACTTGGACATCCTCATTCTGGTCGTCTTGAAATGATGTTTCGTCAGCCTTTACTTGGCAAGAGTTCTGTTAGTCCCACTGCAAAACATTCATGTACAAGCTGTGTTGAAGCCAAAACCGTTAGCACATCTTATCCGTCTAGCACAACCGTCATTACTTATCCATTTCACCTCGTTCATACTGATCTTTGGGGTCCATTCCCAGAGATTTCTTGTCGTGGTTTTCGCTATTTTGCTCTTTTCAGTGATCATGCCACTCGTTTTACATGGGTTTATTTCCTTCGACTTAAATCTGAGCTCAAGTCTGTGGCCACTGATTTTTTGAAAATGATTCAGACACAATTTGGTCGTACAGTCAAAATCATTCGTTCTGATCCTGGCGGTGAATTCAGTTCTTTTCCCCTATATGATGTCTATCGTTCTCTTGGTATTTTGACTCAACAGTCTTGTCCTGGTGTATCTCAGCAAAATGGTCGAGTCGAACGCAAAAATCGGCATGCCATGGATCTTACTCGAGCCCTTCTTTTGGCTTCTCGTGTTCCTGATCATTTTTGGCTGGAAGCTGTTGCTACTGCAGTCCGACTAATTAACTATCAGATCACTCCGGTTTTGAAGAACAATAGTCCATTTTGTGCTTTGCACTCCCGTCATCCTCGTTATTCCAGTCCTGGAGTTTTTGGTTGTCTCTGCTTTGCTCTCCTTCCCAAACGTGAGCGTACTAAACTTTCTTCCAAAACCATTCGTTGTGTTTTTCTTGGGTATAGTGATATTCATAAAGGTTACTTGTGCTATGATGAATCATTGCAATGTATGCGAATTGCTAGCACGGTTGTCTTTTTTGAAAATATCATGTTTTACCCAACTTCACCTTCTTCCTCTCAATTCTTAGCGTCCACTCTGCCTCTCCCTATTTTTGATGATGACAATGAGAATTTTGTGCCCCCCATGGATCCTCCCCAGCTCCCTCGACACCTAGCAGCCCTGCCACTACACATGCCAGCTCGTCCGCATCACCTAGCATTCCATCCACCACGCAAGACAGTTCCAATTCGTCCTCTACTTCCACTCCACCTAGCATTCCATCCACGACGCCAGCCAGCTCCAGTTCGCTCTCTGATTTCACATCCGGGTCCAGCTCATCTTCGAGTATTCTGGCCTTTCCACCTCCGGCTCCACAACCAGCTCCCCGGCGCTCCAATCGCTCCACCAAAGGTATACCTCCATTACGATCTCATGATTATGTTGCTCATGGGGTTGATTCCTTTGTAGTTCCTACCCGATATCGTCAAGCCCGCGGTCACCCTTTATGGGATGCGGCAATGAAGCGCGAGTTGGAGGCTTTACATGCTCAGAATACCTGGACCCTGGTTCCTCGACCGCCCTCTTCTACTTATGTTGTTGGTTGTCGGTGGGTGTATACAGTGAAAATGAATCTCGATGGTACGGTGGATCGTTATAAGGCTCGGCTTGTTGCTCAGGGCTTCACTCAGGAGTATGGAGTTGATTACAGTGAAACATTTGCTCCGGTTGCTAAGATGTCCACTGTTCGAACATTGTTAGCCTTTGCATCTCTCCAGGATTGGCCATTACACCAAATGGATGTGAAGAATGCATTTCTTCACGGAGATTTAGACGAGGTTATCTACATGGAGCAACCTCCCGGCTATACTCTTGGCACTCCTGATCAGGTCTGCCGGCTCAATCGCTCCCTTTATGGTCTCAAACAGGCGCCTCGTGCTTGGTTTGAGAATTTTCACTCCATTATCGCTCAGCTTGGGTTTCGTCAAAGCCAGAATGACCCCTCTCTTTTTACTTAGACGTCTCTCGCATGTATTGTTGCCTTACTTCTCTATGTCGATGATATGGTTATCACCGGGTCGGATTCTCAGGGCATTCAACGTCTTAAGGATGGTCTTCACGCAACATTTAATATTAAGGATTTGGGTCCATTTCTTATTTCCTTGGCTTGGAAGTCACCCGTGATTCACATGGTCTTCTTCTTAGTCAACGGAAATACATTTCTGATTTGCAAGACGATCATCGCTTTTCTGACTGCAACCCGGTTGCCACGCCGATGGAGCTTAATGTGAAACTCGGCTGAGATTCCGGTGATCCTTTGTCCGATGGCGCCGTTTATCACAGTATTGTTGGGAGCTGGATTTATTTGTCAGCTACTCGGCCTGATATTTCCTATGTTGTTCAGGTCGTCAGTCAATTTATGGCGTCTCCTTGTACAGATCATCTTGCGGCAGTTCATCGCATTCTGCGTTACTTGCGGGGTACGCGTGATGTAGGTATTCACTGTCCTTCGACAGGCTCATTGCATCTTCAGGCTTATTCCGATTCTGATTTTGCTGGTCGCATTGATACTCGTTGTTCGACTACGGGTTGGTGTATTCGGTTCGGTAATTTGTTCATCTCATGGCGTTGCAAGAAACAGGATAAGGTATCCAAGTCCTCTACCGAGGCAGAGTATCGGGCTATGTCAGATGCCACTTCTGAGCTAGTATGGCTACAACGTCTCTTGGGTGATTTAGGTGTGATCTGTCCTTTGCCTATGGATCTCTTTGTGGATAATACTAGTGCCATCCGTATTGCAGTAAATCCTGTTCTTCATGATCGTACGAAACATATTGAGATTCATGTGCATTATGTCCGCGATCAAGTTACAACAGGTACAATTACTCTTCATCATATTCGTACTGAAGATCAGATTGCAGACATATTCACGAAGGCTTTTACTACCAGTCGGCATTGGTATATCTCGAGCAAATTGATGCTTTTTGATCGGCATCAATTTGGGGGAGGCTGTCAGCGGATATATGTGTACTTATGTTTTGTGTATATTTGTACAGCCCATCTTGTATTTTCGTAGCCCGTTTAGCCCATTCTTTCCATGCCCATGAAACCCATGTATGGGTCACGTATAGGTGACGTAGATGTGGCCCTAGGGTTCGCCATCTTCTTCTTCCTTTGTGAGCATATATATTCTCGGTAGCTTGGCTGCAGTCTGTAACACACATACTAAATAAGATTGTCAGCTTGGAGGGTTGTCACTCTCCCGTGGATTAGTCCTGGACATTTCAGGGATACCACGTAAATCTGGTTGTTCGTGTTCTTCATATTCAGTTTATTTCCAATAGATTATTAGATCTGAGTATGGCAGAAAATAAGAAATTTTCACCATAGATGATGGAGTTGGCGGTTCAGGTTTTTAGATCTAGTGTCGTCCGGAAGAACAGCTGCATAGAGTCGATCGGAGAAGGCCGTCCTTGGAGGGTCACCAAAAGGCGCACTACTTTTACTTGTCGGGTTCTTGCCTCCAATCGAGAAATATGGTGTTAGGGAGAATGATATAAGATCCAACATAACCTTTTCCCAATAATTCAAGTTATTGGAACCAACTTGTTTATGACATGGTATCAGAGCTGGTTTGGTCAAGTGATCGTGTGTTCGAATCTCCACGACCCCCAATATTAACAGTTAATTAACCTACTTAATTTCAATGGGGGACTAAAAAAGGAGAGATATTTGAATTGTTTAATATGTGGGTACTTTGGTCATTTCTGACCTTCTTAAATGACTCGTTAACAGAATTTTGGACATAAGGGTACATTTGTTAAGTTTCGATACTAGAAGGGTATGTATGTGCAACTAAATTGTAGAAGGGTACGATTGTAAATTTGCAATAGTTCATCTTGTAAATAAATGCCCCTGAAAATTGGTTGTAGACTTGTAGTGGTGAACTTTCTTTGAAGGGTTGTGAATCTTTTCACTCTTTTTCATATTCAACAATAATATCGACTACATTTGACGGAGATTTTTAGTTTTATTTTTATTTATAAGCACCCATTTGTAACTTCCAAACACCTTGGATTTCAATGGATCGGACCGAATCGGAAACAGATAGTGCATATCCATTACAATATTAAAAAGTAATTTGGATTTTGATCATACTCATATATACTTACACAAGAATTGGGTATAAAATAAAAACCATGTCCATATTGGTGAACTTCGAATATCTCTTGTTATCTTTGGTAGCAATTTTTTCTTCATAACTTCAACAAACATGTTGACAATTACACCTATATTACATAGGTGCAAACTGAAAAGTACAAAAATAAATCACTAGAACGAATAAAATTAGTTGAAGTGAACACGATTATATGAAAAATATTATATGTGTATAGAAAATATCGAATATGAAAAAATTGATAATACGAGTGACCAAAAGTAACAAAATTACGTACACGAAACTTATAACGTAATACAATGTACATCCAACCACAAATATCTATTTTAATACATCTGTTGGACAATAAATGAAAAGAGCACCAGTTAGAAAGAGAACGTAACGAATCGAATCAAATCAAATACAACACAAATCCCTGAAAATTGATAAAGCATTTCCAAGGCAGCACAAAAAAACACAAAGAAAAGTCGACGCCTCTCTCCCACGAGTTCCGTCAGGTGTGGTACTGCGTGTTTAGTGAGTGAGTGAGTGAGAATGAATGAAGTAATTAATTATAAGGTTGGTTTTTTCTTGGGATTCCAAGTTGTTCTTGCCCTCAATATCTCAGACCCATCCTCCAGGCACAGCAAATGGTCCACCTCCACCGGAGCAAAATCGCCATGGTCGTCTCCGTTCACATTCCCGTCGGCGGCTGCTGCCGCCCTGCTATTTCGTTTGGAAAGAGAGTGCACAACGGTATCTATAGCAACCTCTTTTCTGAACTCAATAGTCATCGCGTGAAGCTCGTGCCCCTCCGGGAGCGAGCCTGGGACGCTGTCCAGGATCCAGTCCACGTATTTGACGTTGTTCACATGATGATTCACGTCCAAGTCGAACCACCTTGACTGTATACGTACGTACGTACATATTCCACGCACCAAAAAAACGTAACAGATTAGTGTTCTCTTAGACGTACGTACGGTACTATAGTTAATAACTATATCGCGACGAGACACGAGAAATCGAGCTGGGGTTGGTTGCTTACCGTGAGGCCGCTGGTGACACTGTCGGCGGTCGCGAAATCCAGCCGCGGTAATCTTTGTTCGTTTTTGGGGACGACAGACTCTTCCACCGGCACAATACGACACGCCAGCTCGTCCCTCACTTCCCGCACGAACTTGTGCAGCCTCCTCGTCTCGTAGTTCATCATCACACAAGTGCTGTAGCGTAATTACGTATGCACGTTAAGATTTAACTCGTATCATAATGCAAGAAATATTAACCAAATAGTAGTTATTATTAAGTACGTAGTTATATATATACTTTGTAGCTCGGACTAAAGTTTCACCGGTCTTGTCGTTTAGGATCACCCAGTCATTAGCCAACCCATTCTTCCCGACGGTGTATGTCCACGTGTCCACTTGCAGCACATCGCGCCTGCAAGCAATTACTATTAGAGTATGTGTAGTACGAGTTGTATAATGTTATAGACTTATAGTACTCCGAGTACTCTTATGTAATTTAACAGAGTTATATTCCTTATTAGGGATGGCAACTTTGTCCATATCCATGGGTTTCTTACTATCCAACCCAATTGGGTTGGGTATGAAATCCAAATAGATGGATATGAGTAGAGTTTGATGGGTTTGTACCCATATCCATTTACTTTGAGTTGAGTTGGGTTTATATCAAATGGATTTGGGTTTGTACCCATGCCCAAATACAAATTACAGTTTGGTACCCAAACTTAATAGACATGCATATTTAGTACCTAAATTTAATTTTTTTTTGCATATAAGTCCTCAAAATATCGATGGAAAATTACGTTTTGGTACCTAAATTATTTTGGTCCTACATTTTGGTACCTAAACTTTTGAAGTTTTGCAAATAGATCCAATTTTTGCATGTGTAGTTAAAACACCCTCAAGTAAATGGATATCCATATCCAACCCATACCCATTTAGATTATGGAAGCCCCAAACCCATCTATAAACCCCAAATCCATATGCACTTCACCCATACCCAACCCATTATCAATGGGTCTACTTGGGTTTGGGTATAATTACCCATGGGTGGGTAATTTGTCATCCCTATTTCTTATCAGAGTCGTAGAAGTTAAAGCAATTTTTGTATTAGTATTAGGGTTACGTATATATAAATTTAATTTGTAAAAACAATAATAATAATAAAAGAATAATATTTTTGTACCAATGTAATGGTTCATATTATAATAGTAATTACCATGAAGGATATTGGTCCACCACCATTTGTATAGAAGTGATGACCCAACCGAGGTTGTTTCTCGTCATAAACGGCGTCGAAGCGAAGCTCTCCAGCTCTACCCCCAAACTTGTGGCATGGTTACATGCCGAATCCTGCACATAAATTAACTAGTCAGACCAACAATTACTGCATTAAAAATAAATAAATAAATCTAGCTACTCGATTTATTAAGGCACAAACAATTATGATTGATTATACATGCATAATGACTATTAAGTATAACACAACCAATTAGTGATCATCACCAACCTGTATCTGTCTCATCAGTGCGGCAATGGTTGCTTTCTTGTGCCTGTCAATGTCGAATGATCTAACCATAACACGCTGCCGGTGAACCCGCCCCTGTTGGACCAGAAACCCATGAACCGATTCGGCCGCCGCTGGGCGATCGAGCTCTTCTTCGTCTGGATTTGCGACAGCAATTTCGATATCGTCGTCCTTAGCTGCAGCTAGCAAGCGATTAAACCTGTTTGTATTCGCAGCTCGGAGTGGTAGTGCTGTTTGCGTATCCCACAAGCTACTACGACGCTGACGGTTAAAGCTCAATGAGCTGTTGCTGCCGCCTACCCAAGGAATATGAACCGTTTGCTTAGAAATGGCGGCGGCGGCGGCAGTTTGGGATGCCTGAAGGAATTGGGTCGATGTCATTGCTGTGCGATGTCCTTGGGGTGGTGTAATTCTCGTATTTTTATGATTTGAATTATTAGTGTTTGAGTTCATCTTTGTATATATACACCACCAACCATGAATTCTGCTTCAGAAGCCTGTGAGTGACTAAATTGTCATATATATTAGTTAATAGTCAGCGTGTGTTTGTATTTCGATTCCCGCATCCTACACATTCACGCCGAGGTGGACGTATCGCCAGTCCCCCTCCTAAATATATATATTAACGTATGTTTGTTGCTCTCATTCTCTTGCTTACAGATCAGATCTGCAATCTTTTCTGTTTATGGAGGTTAAGAGTCGTTTGGAGAAAATGCGCCCAAAATAAGGAGAAAGTTATTGCATTCCAACGCTATAGCTACATGGTTTCGCTCACTTTCGCATCTGTCGTCTCGAGAGCAGTTGGGCACTTGGAAGTTGACACCTATCTGTTCCATTATGATAACCTATGCATCATCTATGATCGAAAGTAATGAATTACCTCATTCGCAACCCTGATCCGAGAAAGCAAATGCACTACTCTATGTGTTCTTTTATGGCAACCGAGAGTGAGAGGCGATGGAGAGCTACAACAGTTCCTTAAAACAAAACAAAAAACAGAAAAGGGAATATCGCTGCAGGATTCTTTTGAAACAATTTCCGCAAATTAGTGACCTATCCACATAATTTGTTGTGAAACCGTATGGAGAGCAGTTCTATCCATAATCTTATAGTGAGTAATTATATATAACTCAATCACAATCCAATCATAAGCGTCCATTCTTTTTCCTTAAAAGCTTTTAATTTTTTCTCCTTAATCTTTAACGGGTGATTTCTCACTTGTTTTAAGTTGGACTTTAATTTTTTTTGCACAGTTAGATCAGATTAATTGTGTTCTTCAAAATGATATCCATTTTGATATATTTTTTTATCAAAAAAAATTGAGCTATTTTTTACCAGTATATACCATATGGTATTGACTGGTATTAAATAAGAGCATACCATATGGTATGAAAATGCTTACCATGGTGGTATGAACATACCAAGACTATATGATGATTGAATACATGATAGTAGGAGTATACTAACTGTCATTTACGACTTTCATCATTGTGTACCACAAGATACCACAACATACTAGAGTGGTATTGGTTGGTATTGTGTGATATTTTTTGGTCTTGTATTTTGTTCACCCAGATATTGATAGATTCAATAGATCATGATGAACTCATTCCTTCTGTGCAAATTTTTTTAACAATGACTTAAAAACAAAGAAGATACCATATGGTATGCAGTTGGTAACGAGATACCATATAGTATACTAACTGTCATTTGTTCGGGTATTTTTTGTGATTTCCCTATTCCATAGTGAGTATTTTCGGAATTGGTAACCATATATATGTGACACGCTAAAACACAACACCAATCTGCGACCAAGTGTAATCGCAGACCGGGAATGCAGTAACAGGCAAGTTATATTATCAACCCGGGGTCTAGGTCTACTGCTTACTCAGTGATTCTCTATTATCTAGCCAACTAAAGTAAATGATTGTTGTTTAAAAGCAAAAGCAGAAATAAAGCAGGAAATTATTCGGTTTTCTCAAGCAGGAAAGAGTCACTCGGGAATGAGTCCCCCTAGCTCCTTAGTTAAGTTTCAATTGTATTTCCCTGGGTTGATTTACTGTTGATTAGACTGCGGAAGATCCGACAGTAGCTTGGAATCTCTTAAGCTGACCAAGCCCTCTCAGTCTAACTACCCGGCAGACGACTAGTCTTCACCGGGATAGAAAGCTGAAGCAGTAAGAACAGAACTCTACTACTGGAATTGGATTCTAGTACAAAGCAGTAAACTGGCTAACTCTCGTATAGCCAATCTCCTACTACCGAATGATGAGACTCTAGCAACCTAATCAGATTCTATCTATCTCATATTGCAGCAGGAATCAGGAAAAGTTTATCAGACTTCAATTGACTCAATAAACATGCATCATTCGATTAAAATCAAACAGTAATATCATCCCAAATCATTACAATCAATCCCTAACACATAGAACTAGGGTTCTTCATCCCCAAGTGAGAGAGGGGTTCTACTCCATAGAGAGAGAGAAGAAAACAGTAATCGGAGTAGTCATACTCATAAAGATGAGGAAAATCTGCTCCGGGATGATGATTTCCACTCCTATGACGATCTCCAAGCTTGATTTGATGAAATCCAGCTCCAAGATGGCTTCTAGGATGTGTTCTTCGTCCTTTCTCTCTCTAAAACTCTGTTTTTGCTCAAAAAGTCCGATTCTCTCTCTTCCAGCCCGGAATTGGGTTAAAACCAGGAAATCCCGACTCACACGGGCAGGGCCACACGGCCGTGTGGCATACCCAGTTGCCCGTGTGAGTCAAAACGCTGCGTTCCACTTAGTTCGATACTCAGGCTTCTCACACGGCCAGAGTGGCACGGCCGTGTTTGATTTCCATCTGCCCGTGTCTGCTCTCGGCAAAAGTCACACGGCCAGACCACTTCTTCACACGGCCGTGTGAGTTGTCAGGGCAAGCCGTGTTTGCTCTCGCACAATCCCACACGGCCAGAAATATGAGTTGCACGGCCGTGTGATTTGTGGGTGTGCCCGTGTGGCCTCCTTTGTGACTTGCCTCGCGCCCGATCTTCGTCCAATCGACCCCAAACTCGCTCCCAAGCCTCCATTCACGTACTAGGACCTGAAATATCACAAACAAGCACAACCTAGCATGAAATCGGCCTAAAGCACAAGAAATCACATCTCAAACGGTGTAAGAACAGGGGTAAAATCATGTGTAATTAACGGTCTATCAAACTCCCCCACACTTAACCATTTGCTTGTCCCCAAGCAAACCAAGTCAGACACAAGGTAAGCTCACATATTTCAATTAACCAACATTGGGGACAAGTCATGAAGGCGAATCGTACTGGTTTTCAAACATCAATACCTGACCAACTTAAACAGCAACCTGGACAACCACCACAAAGGACATTCGAGTGCAGCAAAATCGAGTAAAGGAAGAGTCTCCCTTCTGTTCACCAACCTAGACTTGACTCAACCACTTACTCAAAACAGTCAACTCATGCATCCAACTCAAGACATCAGAATAGAGACCGAGCAATCTAGGTCCTCACCGGGGTACAAGAGTATATAGCATATGAAAATGAATCACTCACTCTCGACCAATGGGGTCAGGACAATTTTGATGCGAAAAATGCGCATGTTATTTCTCTCAATCCCTAACATCTCTTCACCATGATGGCAGCCTCTAAATGCTAGAGTTCACATATGGGGTGTCACCACTAACTAATCAGGAGGTCTTAGACACAGGTTCAAATGACTGGCTAGGGTCTTGGACATGGGGAAAAGGCTTTTAGGTGGTGGAAGTATTCGTAGCACAAGGTTCCACATTTCCAAACCCAAACAATCACAGTCAAACAAACCGGTATTTCCTTTCTGCTATTCTGCATTACTCAATATCTCAAGAGCACAAGAGCGAAGGAGGTATAAATGTCAGCATTTCCAAGCCAGACTGCTAAGAAACACTACTTACTGGGCACTATTCAGATTTTTGGTAGTGGCTCTCTTTGCTTTCAATTTTTCTTTGTTTTTCTTTCATTTTCTTTGCATTTCTTAAGAGAGCCACCACTTCTGCATATATTTCAAACACATGCCCAGCTCAACTTTTAAGCACTACCTCCAACACTCACATCAAATTTAGTAGAAACAGCAGAGAATATGTGAAAACCACTCTGTGGAACCTTCTAAAAGATGTAAACAAGGTGATTTTTTTCATTTCAGACCAAAAGAAAGGATAACACACGGCTCAAAAGGGCTGACTAGGGGATATGACACATCAGGACAGTAAAATTTGATCGTGGGCTAATCCTATGCCCCCATCATCTTAGCTAGTGACAACGTGATTGCTACACATCATGGAAGAGGGATCTATCGCACAAGAATGAAACGAGCAGGCTCAAATCTCACATGGCTACCTATATGCTCTATCTCACATTCTGATACCCTGAACTAGATGCATAAGAGACTGTCAAGAACAAGTAATCAATCCAAGTCACAGTTGGTAAGCAAACAGTTGAAAAACTGAACCTCTACACAACTCTACTGCACGTCTTAGTCCTCATCATAGGTTGTCCTAGTCACAATCAAGCTGTCATGCATCAATCCGAAAACCATTCAATTCATCAATCAGAACACAGTGCCAATATGATCAAACAGCAGTACTTGGAACCCTCAAATCTCGAGATTTGGACAGTGGACTAGGCTCCAAGCACACATATACATTCCAACCGATACAAAGCACCCCCCCCCCCCACACTTAAGCACGACATTGCCCTCAGTGGAGCAGAGGCATAGAGAAGGAGAACGATGTTACCGGATTGAAACTGCCGGGGGACTGGAAGCGGACCAGTCAGCGAGAAATAGACGGGAAGATGGACAGTTCTGCACGAATCGAACACCAAGAACACACTAGCACACGTTGTGTTAGGGATAAATGTTAGCCTAGACGGCTACAGCAAAAAAAAATCCACAAAGGAAAACCGAAAACAAAAACAAACGACACTAAGTTCAAGCTCCGCACACATGGAGCAAACACACACAAGTCTAAAACAAAAAACAAAACACACTGAGATGGACAACGAGTACAGCCTACTCGTCGCCGAGGTCGTCCAGATTGAAGTTGATGTCGTTCATGAAAGCGTCACCACCATCAGCACCATCATCACCATCCGCTGGGGGAGGTGGAAGTGGAGAGTCCTCCTAGGGAGTCCTCCAAACTGGCTGCTCGCCCGGTATCAGCTGGAGCAGATGCTGCTGGACCTCCTGCATACGCCGTGAACGGCGCCTCTCTCACTCGATGTGTGCAAGAGTCACTCCCTGCTGGGTCTGGAGCTGGTCCAATCTCTCATCATAACCAGCCATCCTTTGGTGGTACTCGGCCTGGTGAGCCGCGTACTGCTGCTGGAACTGCATCTGATGGTCGATGATCTGCTGGTTCTGGAGACGCAGCTGCTCGAACTGGGAGGTGAAGTAATCCTGCCCCGGGAAACTGGAACTGCCACCCCCGTACTCGAAGGTGGTGGGGCGGGCAGCAGCAGTGTCATCCACGTCCTCGGGCTGGACCTCCTCATCAGCTGCACCCTCGGGAGCTTCCTGCTGGACCGCCTCTGGAATCTGAGGTTGAGGAAACCCCTCGATCCACATGACTCCTCGCTCTTCTCGAAGCAGGAGCATCTTGGTGAGCGTAGCCCGGCCAAAGGGAGTGGTCGCTCCCTGCTCTGTGCACCCCTGCAGGGATATCTGGAAGTACTCTGCCAGGCAGGTGATGAGAGGAGTGCAGTGGAGTCTCTTCAGCTCAGAAGCACTCTTCTCGAAGGTCCTCGCCACCACCGAGCCCAAGTGCAGGGGATGATCCCTCTGGCGCATGGACTGAATGAAGTACAGGGATCTCTTGGTGATGGCGCTGGCACTGTCTGAGGCTGGGGTGTAAGACTTGGCCAGCAGGTGATGGAGGAGATGGTTTTCGAGCTGCAATGTGGTGGCCTTCGTCTTCCCCGCCTTGAAGGGAAGCTGATGTGGCCGAGCGAGGCTGAAGTACAGCCTCCCGAAGTCCACCCTGTCGGGCTCGGCGACCTCTGTGATGAAGTCCCTGTCATTGACCAAGTTGAGGCCCAAGGCGTCCGCCAGCTCGTCGTAACTCATAGAGCGTGGTTCACTGCCGAGTCGGAACTGGACTGCAGCTTCGTCCTTCCAATCGGCCATGGCTGCGTGCTTGAAGGTGGTGTAGAACTCAAGCACGAGCTCATGGTAAACCGTCGCGCGGATGCTGAGTAGGCGGTGCCAGTATTTGTTGGTGACAACGGGGGAGAGGTGCTCGTAGCAGTTGAGCTTCTCCAACTCGCGCTTCGACCAGTAATGGTGATGCCCAAACTTGCAGGCCAGGACGTTCTGAAAACGATCCCGGTGGGCCCCCCTTCTCAAATCTTGAACATACTGATGCCGGAGGTTGGGCTTCGACATGATCCTGCAAAAGAACAGCCCAAAGTGGAACCAAAACAGCCAAGGAAAATGTTAATCACACCCCCACACTTAAGAATAGAAAACAGCCTAACCATGGTTTCATCCATAGTTCGGGGGTCAAAAACTCGATAAATCAAGCACAATCTGAGTGGGGGTGCACATTCACGATAAAATAGGCAACTTAAGGTTCACATCCATACCAAATACACCCTCAAAGCACATCATTAAGGGCCTCAACCGACCCCCACAAAATGGTACGAAAACAGGCATTTCATCGAACACCTTGTGTGCACTATTAAGGTAAGCATGAATTT